CAGAACCACAGACGAAAAAAAAATAAGTAAAATCGTCAAAGGAAGAGCGGCTGCCCCGAGGACGTCGAGTCATTTTCCAAAAACTGCTGAGAGCATCATCCGCGTCCCATGCTGGCCGTCTCTTCCCCTCACCAACCCGTCCCACAAGAGAAACGAACAAGAAAGAAGCAGGTTGCAGCATATATCTGGCCGTCCGCCTCGTCGCATTGCGTCCGTCCACCCCGCCTAATACACTGCATCGTCAACTGCAGATAGCCCATAGCCCACATAAACCCAACGTCGATTCCGTCCCAACGAGCTGCGCAACAAAGACCCGACCTCTTGTCCGAGCTTCGTTTGACTCGGAGCATCTCTCTTCACCTCTATCTCCTCCATTGACGCTTTACCAGCGTCGCACACAGCTCTAGTCACAGCCATGGATTTGGTTCACTCGTGAGTCATGCCAGATGAGCTGCGGTTGTGTGTCGAGCAATCTCGAGTCTGGCTAATCGATTGCTAACAATGCTGGGACTAGATTGGGCGGGCGTCTGCTCTTCGCCATTCCCAAGAGTACGTGGTGCCCTGTCTCTTCCTTGTAGTTTTTGTTTGTCCCCCTCCCCAGCAACCAACTGCTAACACACCATCCAGAGGGCCGCCTCCAACTTGCCGCGCTCGACCTGCTGAGCGGCGCCGACATCCAGTTCCGCCGCGAGAACCGCCTCGACATTGCCCTCGTCAAGAACCTGCCGATTGCCCTCGTGTTCCTGCCTGCCGCCGACATCCCGACGTTTGTGGGTGAGGGCCAGTGCGACCTCGGCATTACGGGTCTGGACCAGGTCCAGGAGCACGACGCCGGCGTGCGCGCCGTGGCCCGTGCACGGACACTGTCCGTCGACACCGGCGCGCTCTCAGATGCGGCGGCGGCGGCTGCTGCCACTGCCGCCGCCGACGGCACAGCAACACCAGCGAGCAAACCCAAGGGCTGCGAGACGGTCATGGAGCTGGGCTTTGGCGCGTGCAAGCTGCAGGTGCAGGTGCCGGAGAAGGGCAGCTACGCCGAGCCCAAGGACCTGATTGGCAAGAACATTGGCACCAGCTTTGTGCACCTCGCCGAGGAGTACTTTGCACGCCTGGAGCAGGAGCAGGACCAGGACGGCAAGACCGTGACGCCGCGCAAGCTGCGGACCAAGATCATAGAGCTGAGCGGCAGCGTCGAGGCGGCCTGTGCGCTGGGCGTCGCCGACGGCATTGTCGATCTGGTTGAGTCGGGCGAGACAATGCGGGCGGCCGGCCTCACGCCGATCGACACGGTGGTCGAGTCGTCGGCGATCCTGATCAAGTCCAAGTCGCCGAGCAACCCGGAGCTGGTCGAGCTGATTGCGTCGCGCATCGGCGGTGTCATCACGGCGCAAAAGTTCGTCCTATGCCAGTACAACATCCCGCGCGACCGCCTGCACGATGCTACTGCCATCACGCCCGGCAAGCGCGCCCCGACGGTGACGGCGCTCGACGCGGCCAACTGGGTGGCCGTCAGCGCCATGGTGGAGAAGAAGAAGATTGCGACCGTGATGGACAACCTTGTCAAGGTTGGTGCGACGGACATTCTCGTGCTCTCCATCCAGAACACGCGCAACAGCTAGGGAGCTCCTGCAAGCACGCCTGTAAGATGCAATGAGGGACGAAAGCGCGTGCCGCTCCGATGAGGAAGGTCGGTCGAGCATGACGCAAAACATATGCGGACAAAAGGGACAAAAAGACATAAAAAGGATACGCATGATAAAACTTATAAACAGCACCAAAAGAGTATGAATATGGATTGTTGGACTGTTGGACCGGTGGGGATGAGTTTTTGGCATATTTTATATCACGTTTGGCGCGCCAAGTTTCAAAAACAATGAAAAAGCAAAATTAGACAGGTTATAATGTCACTGGTAGCAGTATCAACGGAAAGATGAATGTATTTTCTATTTTCCATGTCCTACTAGACGTTAATCATGCACAAGTGCTCAGCACATTACGTGTGCCAGATAACGACGCGGCCGTCAACGCCGCTCGCTGAAATAGGTTAGTACACCTGTACAAGTACACTGCATAACAGGGAATAGGGAATAGGGAAAAGCCTACAAGAAAACTTGGTCACGCCGCGGGCCGACGACTCAAAGGGTCGGATCGTGTTGATGGTGTTCTGGTGCGTCGTCTTGAGCTGGGTGTCGTTCTTGGTGCGGCCCATCAGGTCCATCTGGCGGAATTTGTTGAGCGCCGACTCCTCGCGGTCGTCGTCGCCGAACCCCGCCCGGCCGCCCTTGGCCTCGAGCGAGCCCACCAGCGCCCAGCCCTGCACGCCGCCCTGGAAGCGGAAGGCCTCGCAGTCGTAGCCGGCGGCAATGATCTCCGACTCGCCGCTCCAGAAGAGGGACGAGAACGGCAGCAGCTGCGTCGGGATGCTCAGCACAGCCTTGGGCGGCTGGTCGGGGGCGCTCGGGTACACGACCGTGATGCTGCTGTCGTGCGCCGCAAAGGCCAGCGCGTCCCCGCTCGGCGAAAAGGCCACGGCGTGCACCCAGCCAGCGGCGTTGTTCAGATACTCGCCGCACACGGTGTTGAAGGGCAGGCGCTCGCCCCAGGCGCTGGGCTCGGGGCGCTGGTCCGTGCCCTTGAGGAAGCTCGAAAAGACGCGGGCGTGCGCGTCCGTCGAGCCGGCCGCCAGCAGCACCGAGTTGGGGTGCCAGGCGACGCTGGTAATGGTGCTGCGGATGGGCTTGCGCAGGTGCTTGGAGACCCACCAGTCGTTCTCCTGCTCAAAGTAGCAGACGGCAATGACGCGGTCGCCCGAGCCGACGGCAAACTTTTCCTCCGAGGGCGACCAGCGGGTGACCGTGGCCGCGCGGTTGATGCGCAGCAGCACGAGCGTCGGCTTGTAGCCCGTGGGCGAGGGCTCCCAGACGAGTGCGTTGCGGTCCTGCGAGCAGGTCACGATGCGGCCGCTGTTGGGGGCAATGTCGACGCTGGTGACGGTCTTGTCGTGGCCCTTGAGCTCGTCCTTGAGCTTGAAGGCGTTGCCGACGCGGCCGTAGAGGTCGATCGACGTGTCGCGGGCGACGGCCAGCGTCTTGCGATCGGCCGAGAACGAGTGGTCGGCGATGGGGTGGTGGAAGAGGTGGTGGACTTCGGGAGCGGCCATTGTGCCTCGTGACGGGACGATTGTCGGAGGACGGGTGTTCTGTGTCTGTCTGTAGGCGGATGATCCCTTGTGTGATAGGAGTAGCTCTCTACTACCACGACGCCGGGCTGGTGAGGTGAGGTTGTGACGATGGGGTTGTTGAGACGAAGGGCGTTCGGAATGGCTGGAAGCTGATGCGCCGCAATTGCGTAGGCGGCACTCAATTAAGCTGTGGCATACGGCTACGCAGTGGGGCGCTCTGAAAGGAGGGGCAGCTGGGGCGCCGACTGCGCCTGCCTTGCGTATGGAAACAGCGTTCTTGAAAACATTATGTAATCAAGAATAAAAGAAAATCAAAATAAAATAGCGAAAAAAGCCAGGCGCTGCATAGGCTCAAAGCAAGCTGTAAAAACGACGTTTTTCAAGACAACGCGAAAAAGTACATCTCGCACCACAGGCCACCCACGCCCTCTCCACCCCTACTTGCACACGGCGTCACTCTCTCTTTTGGACGACAGACAGCACCACGATCGTCTCCGATACGTCAAAGCGGCAATTGGTCCTGTTTAACCTCTCCTCCCTCTTCAATGTCGACCACAATCTCGTCGCGTGGCCCGCCACCAGGCGCACCACCAGGCAAGGCTGCGGCCGTGCCGCCCAACCAGACGTGAGTTTGAGGTTTCCTGGAGGCAAGGGATGTTACGGGCTTCAGATTTGTGATTTGTATGCTGACCTCGGCAGTCTCTATGTGCACAACCTGCCGTCGGCCAAGATAAAAAAAGACGACCTGCGGACCGCGCTGTACCTGCTCTTCTCTACGTACGGCACCGTGCTCGATGTTGTGGCGCTCCGGACGATGAAGATGCGCGGCCAGGCACATGTTGTCTTTCGGGACGTGCAGGCGGCAACACAGGCCATGCGGTCGCTCGAGGGGTTTGTCTTTTTCGGTCATGATTTGGTACGCTTTTCCTTACGCTCCTTTAGCTTCTTTTGTTTCCCTGCGCCTTTTCCGCCGCTCTCTTTCTTGCTAACACGTACGAACAGAAAATCTCCTACGCCAAGTCGAAATCCAATGTCGTGGCTCGGCTCGACGGCACCTTCCAGCTGCCCTCGGCAGCGCAGACCGTCGAGGTCACTGACCTCCAGCAGAGCATCTTCAACGCGCCCGCACCAGGTGCAGCGACGACGTCCACAGCAGCAGCTGCAACGGCAGCAGCAAACGGCTCTGCACAGACAGGAGAGGCTGCGCCAGCAGCAGCACCTGGGGCTGAAGCGGCACGTGGCCAGAAGCGGACACGCGACGAGGAGGAAGAGGAAGAGGAGTCGGAAGACAGCGATGTGGCCATGGAGGAAGACAGCGACGACGAATAAGGAGCCACAGTATCGAGGCCGCAATCTCGAGAGGAACACGATAAATGATACCCTACGTTACATTTTTATGGCTTGGAGGGTGGAATTCTCATTACACAAAGGGATGACTACCAGATCCGGGGTATATCTCACAAAACAACTATTTCGGTCTCTCTCTCTCGGTCTACTCATCGAGCCAAGATGCAGAGACGAGGGGAGGTCGAAACCAGCCGCCACACCAACGCGCGTCTACGGCAGCGCCATCTCTTTTGGCACCCAAAGGCCCACACAACCACCCACGAGACCGAGCCATACCATGAGATAGCTCTTCTTGGTGCAAGCAAAGCCCGACATGGCCTCGCCGAGGAGGCACGGATGAACGAAAAAGGATGGAACTCCAGTGATTGGATGGTACTGCCAGGAACATTTGACATTAGCATAGGGATCGTGTCAGGGCGTACGGCGTATAAACAATACAAGCCCCATCAGGGCATTTTCCATTTCTTGTCATTTAGGAAACCGTATTCGCCACAATACGTACGTCTGCAGATATGCCTCCGACGCTGCCCATGGAACGCAGCCGGTCCTGGAACTGCTCCGGCACAAGGTGCCGAAACACCGTGTCAATGCTCATCGGCGACTCGCCGTTGGGCAGGCCGTGCAACGAAAACCACAGGCACGGCGCCCGGTACGTCGGGTGCAGATGCACTTCGTACGTCACATAGCCGTAGTGGCCGCTGCTGCTGGCCGTCGCCCCTGCCGAGGGGGCCGCTTTTGTGAGCGCGGCGTCGTCGGCGTCTTCCGCCATGGCCATGGCCGCGTCACCGCCAACGCCGCTGTCGATGTGTTCGCCAAACGAAAACTGCCCCATCACATCCGCCAGCTCGTCGTCGTGCGCGGCGGCGCTGTTCTCGAGCGGCCGGGTGATTTGCAGATACGTCGTGGCGTCGCTGTCCAAGTACAAGGACGTGTTGAACGCCGTGCAGACCGACACGCGCCACCGTCGCCGCAGCGGGCCGAGCGTGGCCTGGCGGTAAATGCGGTCAAAGTCGTGGCAAACCTCGGTGAACTCATCGTGGGCGAGGAACGGGTAATCACGGAATTCGTCGCCGACGGCCGAGATGGACGACGAAGAGGCGGCCATGGTTGCCATGGCTGGCGGGTTCATTTTGCAAGCTATGACGACGGCATGCCGTAGGAAGCATTGACAAATAGGACAGTGAGGCTGTGAATTTCGTGAACAAACATTAAAATCCGTTCTCAAGCGGATAGGAAAGGCTATAGTGAGATGGGTAGAACCGTGATATGTGTGTGAGGAGAGACGTTGCGAGTTGGATTAGGCTCCGCATTTTGACGGCCGGTTTTGCCACGATTATGGTGGGGAAACAAGGCTACGAAAACTACGGTTCGCAACCTACTTCAACCACGGAGTGGACAGAGAACAACCTCCATTTCGCACAATCTTCAAGCACGCCATTTTATATTGCAAACGTTTATTTCTTTATGGAAACGAAATACCTGTGCCGTAAATCTAACGCCGTGCCCCCAATACATCCAAATCAGAGGACTGACCAAGTTTTGATGTAAAGATATGGAGAGCAATGAACAATAAGCCAAAAGTCGCAGTAGAAACAAAGTAAAGGGGAAAAAAACCCGTAAAGACATGAAATGGCGCAGAAATGGAAACGCAAGTATGTACAGCTTTTGTTGTGTTTGGATCGTTCCTCCCCTTTCACAGGCTTCGCGCCACAACACTACTGCTGCTGCTCCTCGTCGCCGTCCACGTCAATGAGGTTCTTGGCCTGGTACGCCTTCTTGGCCACCTTGGCCAGCGTCTCGTAGTCACCGCTCATGTCGCACATGGACCGGAACACGCCGTCCTTGTTCTTCATCAGCTCCCATGGGTGGCCGTACTCGACGAGCGAGCCACGGTCCAGCACCAGCACCTTGTCGTAGTCGGCAATCGTCTGCAGACGGTGCGCAATCGTCACAATCGTCGACGTCAGCTCGCGGAGCGTCTCCTGGATCTTGGAGTCCGTCGCGTAGTCGATCGACGCGGTCGCCTCGTCCATCAGCAGGATCGCCGAGTTCTTGAGCAGCGCCCGCGCAAGACACAGCAGCTGGCGCTGGCCTTGCGACAGGTTCGAGCCAGACTCGGTCACGGGCGACGACAGGTCCAGGAAGATGTTCTTGTTGGTCGCAACCGGCGACGAGGGCGTCGCCGGCTCCTCCGTCGAAGAGGTGGCAGCCACCGTCTCCGTGGCCGTGTTCGGCGTCGGCGTCGTCGTCAGCGTCGTGGCGCGGGCACTCGACGGAATCGACTCGTTGGGACCAATCAGCTGCACGCGGCGGAGAGCAGCGAAAATCTGCTTGTCCGAGAACGTCTTGAAGGGGTCCAGGTTGGTGCGGATGGTGCCCATGAACAGCGTCGGCTCCTGGGGCACGATGGTGATCGACTCGCGCAGGTCGCGTAGGCCAATCATGCCAATGTCTATGCCATCAATCAAGACCTTGCCCGTCTCGGCCTCAAGGGCGCGGAACAGAGCCAGCGCAAGCGAACTCTTACCAGCACCAGTGCGGCCGACAATGCCAACCTTCTCGTGCGGAGCAATGCGGAAGGTCAGGTTGCGCAGCACGGGGTCCAGCTCGGCGCGGTACCGGGTGGTGTAGTCAATAAACTCCACGGAGCCCTGGCTCGGCCAGTTGGCGGGCGGACGGCTGTCTTCAATCACGGCCGCCGCCTCCTGCTCGACGTCGAGGTACTCCTTAATCCGCTCCACCGAGTTCATGTTCTGCTCGTTCATGGCATACAGACGCACAAGCCACAGCATGTTCTCGGCAAAACCAATGGCGTAGCTGAGAGAGATGCCCGCCGAACCGGCATTAATGGTACCAAGGCTCAGAATGACAAACACGCCTGCGAAGAAAGCAACGAGATCGCCCAAGAGATCTGTGCGGAATGCCAGCCAGCGGTTAGCTGCCCACAGGTAGATAAACGGTCGGATCTGCGCGTTGATACGCGACAGGTTGTCACGGACAAAGCGGCGCTCGTCGCCATACGCGCGGATGGTTGTGACACCCGAGAGCGTCTCGCCAAACTGCTGGAACAGAGGACTGCGCTGGACCGACTCAAGACGCTTCAGGTCGCGCGACGCGCTTAGGTAGAACTTGCCCAGAACGATGTAGAGTGCCGTGATGAAAATACCGGCAACCAGGAAGCCGGGAGTTATGGACGCAATCAGGACTATGGTAATGCAGATGGCGAGGGCACACGACATGACGCTAATGGCCACAGGGGCCACCTCCTGGTCGACAGCCTCGAGATCCTTGCTGAAGCGATTCATCATCTGGCCGAGCGGGGTCACGTCGAAGAACTTGAAGCGGGCAAAAGACACCGAATGCATCAAGCGGTTGTGCAGTTTCCAGGACGCAGTCAGGGAACCGAAGAAGATCCAGAGATCGCGGATGAAGGCAAAGACAGCACCGACAAGACCAATGACAGCCAGGACGGTAATGTAGTAGTGCGCGTTGACCTCGGGTGCCATGAGGGCCTCGAGGGCAGAGTCGGCCTGGAAGACGGTCGAGTTCTTGGGGACCCACAGCGACCCAACCGACGTGATGTGGCTCACGGTGTTTGGCGAGAAGACGTGCGAGAGGGAGCGGGTGAACAGCGACGTCTGGCCGGCGGGGCCCGAGACGAACGAGCCAAGCGTCGCGTTGAGGTGCGACGAAGCCATGGATGCCATTTCGATGGACTTCTCAGCGTATTGGTTCGACCACTCCTTGATCCACAGGTTGGAGGCGACGAGAGAGAGCTGCTGGGAAGAGAAGACGCAGGCAGCAACAACCCAGAACCACCACGGCCCCATGGAACCAAGGTACAGCTTAATAACCGGCCACTTGACGGCGCCTGTAGCCTTGGTCTCCTCGAGAGCATCTTGCTTTTTGTTTACTTTGTTCTTCTTCGTACCGGCGGCACCGGCAGCAGCGGCACCGGCGGCGCCGTTACCATCACTGGGCAGAGACGGATCCGCAGCACCACCGTTGTCAATGAGTGTGGCGCCGTCACCGTTATCAGTCTGTTTGCCGATGCTCGAGGGCACGCGAGACGGGATACGCGAGATGTCGGCAGTGCTTGTTGCAGACTTGAGCTGGACCTCCTCACCGAGCACGCCCGAGGCAATGACCTCCTGGGACGGGCCCTGGCTAGTGATGCGGCCATTGTTCATGACGACAACAAAGTCGGAGAAGGGGACACAGAGCGAGATGTTGTGCGTGACCAGAATGCAAGTGCGGTTGCGCATGAGCGGGCCGCGAATGCAGTTGTTGAAGATCCATTGTGCCGTGTGCGAGTCGACGGCGCTCAGGCAGTCGTCCAGGAGCAGGTGACGGGAGTTGGAGTACAGAGCACGGGCAAGAGAGATACGCTGCTTCTGGCCACCGGACAGGGTAATGCCCTTCTCTCCGACCAGGGTCTCGTCACCGTTGTCCAGTGTCTCGTGCAGATCACGCTCCAGGGCGCAGGCCACAATGACGTCGCGGTACCGCTGCTCGTCAAACGGCGACGAGAAGAGAATGTTCTCCTTGATGGAAGCGTTCACGAGCCAGGCCTGCTGGGCGACGTAGGCGCACGTCTCCGCCAGATTGGTCTCCGGGTCGGGGCGGACATCCTCACGACTGCGGCCGCCAGGGAAGTACACCTTGCCGTTTATGAGAGTCATTTCGCCGAGCAGAGCCATGAGCAGCGAGGTCTTGCCGGAACCGGTGGGGCCAGTGATAACGTTGAGCTTGCCAATATTGAAGTCCACATCCAGGTCGAGAAGGCGGAAGGCCATGGAGCCGTCCTCGGCAACCACGTTCTTGCCACCCCATATGAAGCTGGCGTTGTTGCGGAAACCAATGACGCGTTCGCCGGTGGCTTCGTCGATGTTGTCCAGGCCGAGCTGGTCGAACTTCTCGGTCTCCTCCTCCGTCAGAAACTCCTCGATACGGTCAATGGAGACCTGGGCCTCCTGAACGTGGGCAATCATGTCGCCGAGCTGGTCGAGCGGGTACCGCAGCAGCATGAACAGGGAGATGGCAGTGAAGGCGACAGACGGGTACAAGGGCTTGTTCTCGACCATGGTGTAGATCAGGAAGCAGCAGAATGTAATCAGGATGGGGACCGTGTTCCACACAGCGACTGCGCATGCCCAGATAATGTAACGCTGACGAAGGGCCTGAAGCTCGGCGCGGCGCTTCTCGTCGACAATGTTGCCGAAGCGGAGCTCCCAGGCGAAGTACTTGACGATGCGGATATTCTGGAGAATCTCGTTGGTGGCGTGGATGCGCTTGTCGGTAGCGGCCATAATCTTCTTTTGGGTGGCGTTGAAAGCCTTGGCGAAGCCAATGTTGACCGGCAGGAGCAGCGCCATGACGATGAAGCCAGGGATGGCACTCAGGCCCATGACACGGTACAGCAGGACAACGGAGACGAGGAGCTGGGTAGGAGCAGCAGCAACCAAGAAATGCAGGTAGGCTGTGACCTCGGACACCTTGAAGCTGTCAACAGACATGAGGTTGATGATGGTACCAATGTTGGCCTGCTCATCCGACTTGTCGTCGTCTTTCTTCGCATCGTCGCCAGTAGCGGCCGCGGCATCAGAGTTGTCGGCAGTCGCAGCCGCGCCGTTCGCAACACCACCGGTAGCACCGCCCTGGTCGGCCTTCTTGAGTCCAAGCTTGCGCTTGATCGAGGCCACCCAGCCGGTCTCCTTTGCGCTGGGCTCGTTCGTCTTGTCAGACTTGCCACCGAGCACGGTGTCGTTGCCCGCGGCGGCCTTGCGGCGGAGAGCCTTGGCGTAGATCTCGCCCACAAGAACGGCGCGAATGTTGATGCAGATCTTGCGACCAATCCAGAGGGCCTGGTTGTCGCCGAACGAGCGGATCAGGTCGGAGACGGGCAGGAGGATGACGTAGAGCCACAAAACATTGAGAGGGGCCTGGTCGGGGTGCTCGACAAACTCCAGGATGGCCTTGAGCAGCATGGTCGGGGCAAAGGTAAAGAAACCAGACATGATGGCCCAGCCGGTCTGGACAAGCAGCGGGCGCTTAAAGTACAGCAGCAAGTGGATGCTCAGCGACAAGGTCTTCTTTACCTTCCGGTAGCGCGCCAGAACGGCACCAGCCTTGTCCTTGGCATTCAGATTCCAAATGCGCTCCATCTCCAGAGGCTCCTTGTAACCCTCCCACATAATGCTGTCGACCCAGGTGAAGGTGAAGTCAGAGAGAATCGAGGCAAGGCCCTCGCGCGAAGGCGGCAGACCATCCTCCCACTCCAGTAGAGCCGTCTTGTTGCCCTTGCGGGTGGTGATGGTCACGGCGAAGAGCAGCGACGTCAGGGAGAACTCGACAATCACGAGGACCTTGGCAAGGGGCGAGGTTGGGTGGATGAGGACGGAGCGGAAGATGGCGAGCGAGAAAAGCCACTGCGCCGAGTAGATCATGACGGTATGGTTCCACAGGTGAGGGATCTGCCACCGTGACTTGCCGGAGACGCCAGCGATCAGGCGCAGGTTGACGAAGAGGGCCGCATAGACCCAGGTAAGAAGGCCAACAACGGCGGCCGTGCGGCCCTTGGAAATAAGAACATCATTGTCGTCGGTTTCGTGTCCGGAAAAGGCGCCCTTGGCGAGGGCAATGACGTTCACGGCAATGAGGCCGGCAATGGCCAGCTCCTCGACGACAACCAGAAGAGTCTGGCCGGTCGGCCGGTCGGCCTGCACAATGGAGCCCTTGGTGGTGGTGCGGGCCAAGTGAATGGGACCGCCACCGATCACGAGGCCGTCATCGGCGTCCTCGTTGCCATTGTTGTCGTCATCGTCGTCGGCCACCGCCGTACTGCTACGGTTCGCAGAAGCACCGTTGCTCTCGTCGTCGCTGTCGAGAGGGCTTGGAGCGGGAAGCTCCGTGCGGCCTGCGGCGGACGACTGGCTGTCGAGTCTCTGGCGCACACCCTGGTAGCCGAGACCGGACTGTGGTTGCCTCCGTTTTAATTTGCGGATGCGGTGGATGGTCTGGACGGCGGCGACAAGAAAAGAAGCGGAAAGGACGATGATCGGGAGGTAAGTTTTGAGGTATCTTTGGGAAATGTGTTAGCAACCTCGACAAATTGGGACAAAGAGGTGCATGATGTTGCGCCGGGCATACGAAAGAATGCTCGAGCAAACACCACAAGAGAAAATAAAGAAGACTCTTACTCGCGCTGAAAGCAAACGGTGAAATCGTCAACGCGCCATATCGGCCAGGAGCATGACGCAACGGCCATGCTGATGAACCCCCACGCCGTTTCAGGAGCTCAGGTGCGGGAGCTGAGCTGGGGGTGAGATTGGAGAAGACGAGCAATTGGCGTCGAGTGACAAATCCGGAGAAGGAGATGAGGCGAGAAATGAGTAGAAAGGACAAGAGGAGGAACGAGAAAGAAGATGGGGAAAAGGGGAAAGGGAAAAGAAGACGAAAGGCGGAAAGAAAACAGCCAGCAACAGAAACGTACACTCAATTCCAAGAGACAAAGACGCAAGAAGAAGAAAAAAATAGAACAGGCAAAACAGGTACAAGCAGAAAAGCAAGTGAAAGAGATTTCGGTAGCAATGTCTTTTGGGGAAGCTTAATAATTTAAAGACCGCCTTTTGCACTAATTATTGCGTTTTTGGGTGCTGGACTCGGGTAGGCGTGCACTGTAAGCCGTGTCTTGCCAGCCAAGAACACAAGCGCCGTGGCGGTCGAAAGAAGGCCGATGTGTTCGCCGGCAGGAATTGTGTGTGGAGGACACGCGCTAGGTTGTTGGCGTTAGTTCAGGGTCGTCAAGAAGAGGCGACCAAACATTGTCGACGGTCGCAACTGATGGTGAGAGATATCTCGAGATCTGAAGTGCAAAGGAACAAAAAGAAAAGAAAAGGAGAAGAGAAGAGGCTAAAGAATCAAAAAGAGGGGGAAAAGAGAGAACCGAGAAGGAGCGCAGAGAACGACAACAGTAAATAGGGAAAGAGCAATGCCGAGGGCAAGGTGACATATGAGGAATTATGTCGACAGCAGAGGCAGCGACGAAGCGACGCAGCTACGGAGCAATTACAGTGAGCCGATAAGCTCGAGAGCATGCAAGCAAGCATTCCCAGGCTCACGCCGAATCCAGGAAAGAGCGGACGGGAAGGCTGCAAGCCTTTCAAGACAGCGAAAAGTCAGGAACGAGGCAAGTGGGGTCGATGTCTTGCACAAACAGATAGAGTAGCTCCTGTTGTGGATCATGAAGGCGCCGTCAATCTGCACGCGCAAAGTCGCATTTCTCCATTCGGAAGGCGCAACGGGACATGAGCACAGTGGCGCCCCCGAGCCAGTGAAGATTGGAACAGGGACAGCTGGATTTTCAATTTGTGCCATCTAGCATGAACGCATTTTGCGGTGCAAGAAATACAACCGACCATTGTCTTTTTCTCTTATTATTCTCGTATTTTCTCTTTTATTTTCTCGTATTTTTCTCTTATTTTTCTCTTAGTATCTCTAGTTAAATATCTAAAGTCTTAGCTTTTGTCTGCCAGGTGGGAACTACTTGACTGTCTCAGATGCTCGAGTGCTCTTCCCAGTCAAGTCGTTCATCGTGGAGTTGGATATGTTTCATCATATTGTTGCTTGCTCCATGCAATTTTCTAGGATCTTGATGCCCCAGGCTCCCATTTAAAAATATAACAGGCACCAAACAACTTAGAAGACGCCGGTCGGAATGATCACAAAAACAAAAAATAACTGAAGGGGATTGTTGCCTGAGCACCTCATCACGCCGTCGTTCAGGGCCAGGCAGGCAACGGCGCCAGGACAAGGCTGCCATACAGGCTACAGGAGAATGTGTATTGTCTCGATAAATCAGATAACGGTGTGAACGCTGAGAGGCCGCTAGTATTAAGGTTTAATTTGAAATGCTTGCCTGCCCTGAGCTCCTTCCCAATTCGACACAGTCCCGAACGCTCCCCGCCACCCTCTATCGCTAAACTAAGACGGTTTTCTCAACTAACTTGCAGCATAGAGTCAATTGCAACTGATTCCAACCCCTGTGGAACATGTTGCTTGATTTTGTACTGGATTTTTTTTCTTTTTTTTCTTCGTTTTGGCGCCGGGTGACGAACTCTGCGTGTTCAGAAATACGCGGGGTTGATGTGTCGTTTTGCACGCCACTGAAGAATTTGGCTTCGGCACAACGATGCATCGTTCTTACCCGCTGCGATGCCGTCCCGCTCCTTCCTCGAAGGGTCCGTTCAGCCCCCCGCTTTTGGCAACCACAAAAAGAGGCTGAGGAAGCTAGCATCAGCAGGAGAGGAACGAGGACGTAAAGAGAAGATGGAGACAGAAAAGAGGGGGAACGAGTAAATGTCTCCATAACTCGCGACATAAAAAGCACATGGCCGTGCCAAAATGGTGAATCCTTACTGAAGTACCCTATCCACGCTACCCTTTACACCGCAAGTCATCCCCATTCCACATAAGACCGGGAAAAGCCATGGCGGTCAAAATCCATATTCACTGTTTACTTACAATTTACTATGTGGCGTTTCAACGGCCATGTACGACATACGGAGGACGAACAGGTGTACGACGTGTGTTTGGCGCTCGAACTCGTTGCATGCTGCAACCAGGGCATTGTCAATGGGAGTGACATTACCAAACAGGCCCAGCTGGTCATGTCTCACTACTCCGTATTTCCCCGTCCTTTAATTGCTTCCGGCATACAACATACAGCTGCCTGTCTCGCCTTTGGTCAGCATTCCAGTGCCCGTCGACAACGGTGAGCGAGGGGCCACTATGTATGTCTTCACGAAAAAAGCAATACCAGGAACTGAAGTGAACGGAGCGCGAAGAAAGAATAACGCAACCTCGCCTCTTTCTTGTGCATGCGTCCATATGCATGCGACATGCAGCATGGGGTTTCTCGCATCCTGTGCAGATCGCCTCCAAAATGCAAAAATTAAGTGCCAAGGGTAATCACAATGAGGGCAGGTCCAGTTGGTCCGGGCTTGCACATGCTGTGCTCCCCTACCGTGACATACCTTGCACCTGGGAAGAGCACCCCGTTGTGGAGCCATGCGGAAAACGAGGGGAGACACGGCGAAGGGAGTCATCGGCCAGGCAGAAACGACACACCAGCCGCCATTTGATTTTTGTTCCTGGCAGCTGATAAGACGTATTAAAACGACATACGATGTACATCATACGGATTCTTTTGTCCCTGTGTATGAAAGCTTGTCTGGCCATTTTGATTGTCGGTCGGTGCAATAACAAATTATTGTCAAGAGCATGCTGAGCCATGTTTACCAAAGGCGTGCACCGAACATGTTGCCTTCAGAGTCCAGACTTCAACATGTGTGTCCGGACCCCGACTCTGGCTCACACCGCTGAATCCCATCCTGTGCTGTGCTCTACGTCGTATGCTGTATACTACCTGCAGCCTACCTCGTGGTTTCTTGTCCCGTGCCAACCAGTCGACCCGCCGCAACCGCGAGGCAAACATATGAAAATAATTTGTTCGATATAAAAATGCGCCGTCTTACGGCGTACGGCATAAGCATCTTTTCGTTCCCATTCACCTATCACACCACCCGCATTAGTATCTTCTTTCTTTGCTTCGCAGCTTCTGCGGCCCTGCCTGGCCATTGCATGTCCATTAAAGGATGTCTGCCGTCAAAATGTATCTTTTTGTCAAGGACCGTATTCAGTATTGCCTTGTCTACTTTTCTGGCTCTTTTGCGGCGTTCCTTTGAAGTAGGTTCGACTCTGTCGTCCCGTTTTTAGACCTTGCCCGGTGAAAGGTGCAGATCTCCCCAAGTGTGGTTCATCGTAGATCATCTTGTCTGCATGTCTTCCTTTGCTTGCTTTTTCTTTGCCGCTCTCGTCTTCTCCACCATCTCTGCAGCGAAACGTCCTCGTTGGTTTCTGTTCGACCAACGTCTTCGTATACATAAGGCACAAAGCATGAGAACTCAAGGCATGACACGTTGAATTCGAGCACAATGGAGTACTTGAAAGAAGCAAGACCATAACAAGCAAGGAAACAAGAGAGCGAATTACACAATCTCCAAAACGAACAACTTTCGATAAAAGCCCGGCCTTAAATCCAGCTCTCTATACTCGGCCATACAAAACAACTAGATTGTTCAGCGCTTACGTAGACGCAACTTTGAAGAGTTTTGTAACATTAGAAGGGATTGGCCGAGGCCACTGGATTGGGAACGAGACGTGTCTCAGATGCTTACGGAAACCAGTGGCTTCGTCCAGTTGAGTTAGCTGAGAAGATTTCACGGGGGTGGGCTCTCACCGTGCCCGACACAAAGATTGGCCAAAGGACACTTCAAGAAACAATGTGAATATGGTTTGGTAATCTACCTTCACCGAAGCCCCTTGCCGAAGCAAAGGAAATCAACTGAAGTTCTTCGTCGCTGGTCGTGGAAAAAAGTAAACAAAGAAAATTAACGTCGGTTCGTCTTTTATAAACAGTTTGGGTGCCCTTCCGGAAACAATACAAAGAAAAGCCCAGAAAAAGAAAATAGATGTAAAGAAACATTGTCAGAAAAACTCCACCGTCCAACCATAAGAAGTCTTTTTTGTTTTCTAAACCAGTACAAGACACAAAAAATATGTACCCGGTAAACGACGCTTTTATTCTTCTTCCATGCAACTTTTTTTTCTTTCTTTTCTGACAAAAACTGTCGGCGCATTCCTTGAAAATCATACACGCCTCCCCTTCTTTCTCCAATGAAACTGGACGGCGCCTCTCGCGTGTTTGAAAGGCGCTTCACTCCTCACAGTGCTTCTATCTTATAAAAAACACTGCATTCTCTGGGAGGGCATTTAAACGCGCATTGTGCGTCGTCGAAACACCCTGCCGAGACATAGTCGTCGCTGCAAGGCGACAACATCACGCGCGATGGTGACAACGGGCATAGACTTAACCCATGACAGCACCCATGCCGGACAGGTCGCCCTCCTTGGCGGCAATCTCAAAGTAACCGTAGATGATCCTGAAAAGACAGTTAGCGTTGCTCAAAAGTTCAAAATAGGCGGAGAGTCCCTCGCGGACAAAAACTTACGTGACGGCAAGAAGGGTACCGGTACCCGAGCCGAGAGCGCCCATCAGGTCGCTGGCCACAGACAGAGCACCAATGCAAGCACCACCAAAGGCGGCGGCGGTCGGGATGATGCGCTTGAGCTCCTTGTACATGCTCTGGTCACGATGGCCCGCCATCACGAGGCCCTGGTCCTTGAGCTGCTTGGCAACGTCGCGGGGGCTGGAGCCAGACACCTCAATCCAGGTCTTGGAGAAGATGGCGCAGGCCGTCAGCATGTACGCAATGTACACGACGGTGTGGATGGGGTCCAGGAGCGCGTCCTTGAAGTTGAGTGGGGGCGACATGTAGTAGACCAGGCCCGAGGTGGCAGATAGCTGGGCGGTGCCGTCCTTGGCCTCCCAGACACCAAAGAGCTGGACCAGCAGGTTCTCGGAGAAGCGCGAGTACAGCATCTGCGAGATGAGGAAGATGTTGGACGACAGAGCCGACTGCAGCATGATGGGCATGTTGGACGTGTAGAACAGGCGGACCGGGTACGAGCCGCGGGCACCACGCTGGCGCGACGACTTGACGGGGATCTCGACGCGGAAGCCCTGCAGGTAGATGACGGCCGCAAAGATGGCCAGGGTGGCCAGCAGGTTCATGACGTTGGGCAGGTTCTGGCGGTAGAAAGCCTCCTGCAGCGCGCGCTGCTTGTTCGGCCACGTGAGCAGCAGGTGGAAGAGGGCAATGACGGCACCCTCGTACTCGGGGCCACGGCCAGTGTTGATGCTGGTGGGCGAGAACGCCTTCCACATGATGGACTCGCAGATGTTGGTGGCAATGAACAGCGAGATACCGCTGCCCAGGCCGTAGCCCTTCTGCAGAAGCTCGTCAAGAAGGATGACAATCATGCCAGCGGTGACGAGCTGCAGGATGAGCAGGCAGACGATGCCGGCGCCGAGCTCCGAGGGAGGACCGTAGAGGCCGGTGAAGACGTAGACGGTGGCAGTGCCAATGGACAGGATGACGGCAAAGAGCTTCTGGGCGCTCTGGTACAGCTCGCGGTCCGACTTGAAGTCGAGGTTGACGTCGATCATGTGGGTGCCGGCAAGCAGCTGGAAGACCATGCCAGACGAGATGATGGGGGTAATGCCCAGCTCCATCAGAGTGCCGCGGTTGGAGGCCATCATCATGCGCAGCCAGTAGAGCGGGTCGGAGGTGTCGGACGAGACAATGCCGTACAGGGGCATCTGGCTCATGATCAGGAAGACGAGGAGCGTCAGACCCGTCCACATGAGCTTCTGGTTGAAGGGGATCTTGGTCTCCGGCTGCTGGACCTCGGGGAGGAACGGCACGAACGGCTTGACGAGGTCGAGGAATCGTACTGCAGAGGACGGAGAACACGGTTAGCCGGCAGCACTAGGAGAGATGGTAGAAAAAAAGTCCAGGGCCGATAATGGCGCACCACGCGACAGAGCGATCTGGTCTCGCGACACATTGTCGCTGTGGAATTTTGGAATATCACAACATGGACATCCCCTCATCACCATCACCATCACCATCACCATCACCATCACCATCACCATCACCATCACCATCACCATCACCATCACCATCACCATCGCCATCACCAACGGCACTGCGCAATCGCAAAGTACTTACAGCTGCTCATCTTGACGGTTTGTATCGATAGCGGCCCTGAAATGGCTTTTGTCGAGAAAGAAAACGGTGAGGAAAAGGAGTGGACGAAGAGAAGGGACGACACGAAAAAAGAACGAAGAAACGAAAAAAAAAAAAGACGAGTCGGCCGGATTGCAGCACACCCTTCTCCTATTAAACAATTAAACGAGAAAGAAAGGGAGAATGAATACACGAGAAGCAACGGAAACAGCGGGAAAGAAAAGGGAAGAAGGGAAAGGAGAAAAGGAAGAGGTGTTCACAGTGATGGATGCGAATTGAGTGGAGGCTCGAAAGGACACGACAAAAAAGGGGTGGTGCGCTGAAGCTGGGAGAATATGGGAGAAAAATCCCCCCTACAGCATATTAGCGCGGTAGCTCCGCCTGCCACAACGCGCGCACAAATGCGAACAAGCTGTGATCTGGCTTCAATTGAGCAACCTGGCCTCGCCCAACCACCAGTGTGGAGGTGCACGTGACGCCGTGCTTCACATTCCCTACCGCTGCCCCATGTCAAGCCCCTTGAGCCCCAAGCTTCGACGCGACTTCCCGATACGGACTAGATCGATAGCTTTAAACTTTCCACCTTTTGCGATCTCATTATTATTCAGTTACCCGGAGTTCTTTGAGTTCGCTCACGTGCATATCTCAAAATCAGGCAAGGCTCTTACACAAGGTTTCCATCACCTCCCTCACAACAAACGAGACTCATGTCGCGGCCCAGCTTTGCCAGTTTTTGTTTGCCTTGCTCATGAGAAGCAGTCTCACATACATTTTTCGCCAGTTTGCACGACATGCGCTGGCCTTGACAAAACCTGCAATGACGCGTCCAACCGAGCCGCTGGTCGTTGTCCTCGGCTCGACAGGCACAGGAAAATCCGATGTAAGACAACCGGTTCCTCGTAGCAGTACGCTTTATTTCGTATTTATTGGCTTTTTACTATTTTTGCTATCATTGCCATTATTGCTTCCTTTACTGACTACACAGCTTGCGGTCGAGTTGGCCAGCCGCTTTAATGGCGAGATCATAAACGTCGATGCGATGCAAATGTATCGTGGCCTGCCCGTGACGACTAACAAGATCTCGGTCGAGGAGCAGCGAGGCGTGCCGCACCACCTGCTGGGCACCATTGGCCTGCATGAGCCAACGTGGCATGTCGACCGCTTTAAGCGAGAAGCCTCGCAGATTATCCAGGAGATCCGCCGCCGGGGACGACTTCCCATTGTCGTTGGGGGCTCGCAGTACTACACTGACGGCCTGCTATTTGAAGACCACCTCGTTGAAAGTGCATCTGGGGGTGAAGACGGCGACGGTGCAGCAGGAGAGGACCCCACACTCACAGGAAACGGAAACGATGAGGTGCTAGTTGACAACAGCGTACAGTATCCAATTCTCAATGAGTCAACAGAGACCTTGCTAGCTGAGCTCACAAAGGTCGACCCTGTCATGGCTTCACGCTGGCACCCCAACGATCGGCGCAAGATCCGGCGGTCGCTGGAAATTTTCTTGACGACAGGGCGGCGAGCATCAGATATCTACGCCGAGCAAAGAAAGCGCAGAGAGGAAAGAGAACGAGAAAGAAAAGAGGCGACGGCAGCTGCAGCCGAAGGCAAACCCTGGCAGACACTCTTGCTGTGGGTGTACGCCAAGCCCGACATTCTGAACGCACGTCTCGACGCTCGCATTGACACAATGATAGAGCGCGGGCTGGAACAAGAGGCCAACCAAATGTACGACACGCTCCAGGAAAGCGCCGCGCGGGGAGTGCCGGTCGACCGCACCAGGGGCATCTGGCAGTCGATTGGATACAAGGAGATGGAGCCCTACGTGGTGGCCCAACGGGCACAAAACAACCATGAGGCGGCCACACCATCCGATGCTGGTGCTGCCGGTGATTCTGTTGAGGCCACTGCTGGCCAGGCGGCCGCACCCGACATTGCCAAACTTCGTGAGACCGGCCTTGACGGCATCAAATTTGGTACCCGCCGCTACGCCCGGTACCAGCTGCGCTGGATCAAGCACAAGACGATCCCCTACCTGGCCGACGTGGGAGCCCTCGACCACCTTTATCTGCTGGACAGCACCGACAAGGCGGCGTGGCAGACGAACGTGGCCGAGACGGGTGTTCGCCTTGCCGAGGCTTTCTTGGCAGGCGATGCCGGGGCCCTTCCAGCCCCCGTGGACGTCTCGGAGACGGCGCGTGAGGTGCTCACGACGACCATTGCCGCCAGCCGCGGCACACTGAACGATGCACCGGAGAAAATGGCAGCACAGCAGCACACGTGCGCCATCTGCCACGTCACGCTGCAGACCGAGGACCAGTGGAACAAACACCTGCGAAGCTCACGGCACCGGCGAGTGCTGCAGAAGCAGAAGCGACGCGCGCTGATTCCCGCGCCGAATTTGCCCGTTCCGGCGATCATAGACGAAGCAGTACCGGCTGAGGGTGCGACTGATCCTGTTGAGACACCGGATGAGACCGCGTCCCTGGTGGATAAGCTGCCAGTCTCTCAACAGCCATGATGTACCAAACGATATGTGTCATGGCTTACATTTTATATTCTGTTTTCCCTTTGATTTATGTCTTGGAATGTACATAGACGACATAGAACTCATATACCCTTTTTAACTTTTTCATTTGGAACAAACAAATATTCAAACAAAAATCAAACTGATATCCTTTTGATGCAATCCACATGACCTCTGCTTTCACCATGTTTTTATTTGTTTTTGGTGTTACTTTTCTTTTCTTTTCCTCACCACCCTCAGGCGACAATCTGGTTACCTACGCTGTTGAAAGCTTTGTTGTTTACTGTCTAGATTTTGCTTTGTAGATACTACCTTGTTTGATTTTACTTTATTTTGACTTTTCAATCTATTTTAATTATATGTATACGTTCTTTTCCTTAATTAAATCATTACCATTTTTTTTTAAAAAAAAAAAAAAAAAAAAAAAAAACTACCCCGATATTGAATGCACGGAGTACATGGAGTCTAGAAAGAAGATGTCACAGCCGGCATATGCGTTGGCTGGACCTGTCTGATGTCGTGTGCTCCGCGCGCCGTTCAATTCGCCGATCGGGATCGTCACTTTACATTCGACCGATACTTCGGCCGTGTCGACTCTAGACGTGACCAGTGCATGCAGTCATTTCTTATCCATCACAATGACATGCCCTCTTGGTTCATCCAGATGCCTAGAACACCCCGTACGATGTAGTCCAGGACATTTGGCCATGAGAACGTCCATACAGATTCGACTTATCTTGCTTAAGCTCAAAGATGCTGACGCTGCTACGACATAACTTGCTGACGCCACCATGCCCGCCGCGTGCACGAAATGAAGTAACCGCCAAGACAATATCAACTGGGGAATGCGAGTGCTGCTCTGAGGAAATGTGAAGAAAGGGGGCCAAAAACATCTCGTCGTAAGCTAGAGGTCCAGACAGGGAAGCCACAGGAGGAGACCTGGCAGGAATTTCCGTAGATATTTCCGTTGAATAGAGTAAGACGTTAGTCTATCAAAGCTTTGTCCCTTTTTCCATTTCATTTGTACTGACAAAAATAGCATGGCCAAGCCACAACAAACTTCAAATATGACGACAAGAAAAGGGGCAGAAGACGACAGAAATAGAAAGAAAGGTGAGAGCAAAACGAGGCAGGAGGGAAAGGACACGGAAAGGACACGAAAAGGGAAAGCGCGATGCAGGGGCCCTACTACTCCGTACAAGCTTACGAAATCCTTCTCAGCCCTGGGGCAACTTTATCAGATCCTCAATGCATCAGAATCCGGAAACAGAACAGTCTGGCTATATGTATGCCGTACAATAAAGCACATGAATCCTGCTTCGGACTATGAATTTGCGATCAATACGTTTGCACTGTGCGAAATGAGGCACGCTATCGTGGTCGGAGATTTTTATTATCAAGGTCACGTGCGTACTTTTATTAGTGCCCCGCCAAACGGGGTCACGGAGGGATCTGTTTCCCGACTGCTATTTGGCAGCCGTCAGACTGACAGCAATTGCCCGAAAGCAGAAAAAACTGTGTACAAAGCCAAGAGCAACGTTTTTCCCCGGCGACAGAGTCAGTCGTATCTTGGTGCAACTCATAGTCTACTTATCTCTGCTGTTCACCTTGTTAAATACGCTGTATTTCATTTCATGGTGCATTCCGTATTGGCGTAACCGTATTCGCCATGCTGCAGCGTACAGAGTAATTGCTGTGTAATACGTAGTAACCAGGCTCCGAAGTGAGATGAAAGACATGGGTATTTCCACGGCTGCGGTAAATGGGTAGCCGTTCCCAGATCGCGCGCGGGAACGAGAGTAATAATGCGCGCCAGCCTTTGGGAGACAATTCGACAGAAACAGAAGCTACGTTTTGCACATGGGCCAATCGGCCAGATTGGTATCCGTTCGTAGATGGAAAGACCCAAGGGCCAAAGAAAGAGAAGGAACCATCCACGTAGTTCAGCGCTCCAGGCAGCACATGTGACATAATGTTCTGCAACTTCACTTCGATGCACTTGCCTTTTATTCCTATTTTCTGTTCGCTTAGTGGGCGCGACTTAAAACGTATCTTTTTCCATATCCCTTTCCATTACATCGGATGGTCCCCTGAGTCTGGCCTTGAAGTCGCTCCTGCCTCACGCAGACACTGTACGGCGCCGTTCTTCTCCCATTGCTGCCTCTTTGTACTTCTTTGTGCTTTCTTTTCTGGTCACTCTCACCATCATTCTTTCCTTTTGCCTGCCAACTTTTGGCTTTGGACATCTTTTTGCCGCCGACACCCCTCCCTCGCGCCTTCCCCACCTGACGGTCTCGACTGGGCCGTTGTTCTAGTATCTCGAATTTTTTATCGTTTGATTTTGTACACTCTTTCTTTCCGACTTCATTCCTCCTTACATAACCTCAACGGAGACATATCGCTTTACCCACCGCGCAGCATTTCTTGTTCAACTCCAACGTGACACGCCCATCCTCGGCCACTTGGACACTGAGGCTTCCAACGTCAACGAAACCTTCACCCCGAAGCAGCTGAATACGTCCCTTCAGCCCCCCCTCCCCCCAAAACACACAATCGAAAGCAACGAAACACAGGAATCAGACAAGCTGTCGATCGCCCCGTCTCACCACCTCGCCACCTACCACGAGGGGTGAGAAAGCCTCCCCCCAACACTCTTCATCCATCTCCCTTTTCTCACGTGAGATCTCAACGACTTCATCCTCAAACGCGTTATCGCCACATACCTCAACACACCTCATTATATCTCTCCTGCTCGTTCGGTGTCTTCGCAAAGTCGCACTCTGCTGTCAACCGGCATTGCCGCCATGGCGTCCTCATCCACCCCCGGCCCTGCTGCCGGTGGCCATTCATATGGCGGCCCGAAGCCGCCACGCATTCTCGCATGTGTCCTTTGCCAACATCGCAAGATCAAGTGTGACCGCACATTTCCTTGTGCCAACTGTACTAAGGTGAGTTTATGCTTTCCACCTCCCGCGAGACGCTGAATCTGTTGCGTGCGTTCTATTGAAACCTCCATGCTTCTCTCTCTTCCCTTCCCGCCTTCCGGAGACAGGGGGCCCCAGCAGCTCATTCGTGTATTGTGGGGTGAGAGGTACAAGAGGGCGATAGACAACCTCATTTCACTTCCTTGTATGTTCTAGAATGACTGACAGTTTGTGGATGGAAAGGCCAATGTATCATGTACGCCCAGCACCCCCGCGCCGGCGAGGAAGCGCCGGAGGCCAAATCAGGACCTGCAGGAGCGACTCGCCCGCTGCGAAGAGCTGCTCAAGGTGTACTCGAGTGCGAAGCCCCCCGACGAAGACTCCAGTCCCATGATGGAAACCCCGCAGAACATGTTCAACCACGAGTCCGCGCTCAAGTGGAACCCGCCAGGCAAGCTCATTGTCGAGGACGACGGTGGCGTCCGCTTTGTCGACTCGGTTATGCTGGGCACCATCCACGAAGAACTGCGCGCCATGCGCGAGATTATCGACAGCGAAGACAACGAAGACATCACACCCGATACGACGGCAACACCCGACGACAACTCCGACCTCCTCCTGCTCGGCAGCATGCACGGCACCGGTGGTGGTGAATCAGGGAGCCCGGCTGCCCCTGCCACGCTTGAAGAACTGCAGCCATCGGCCGCGCACATCTTCCGGTTGTGGCAGATCTTCTTGGAGCGCGTCAACCCGCTCACCAAGATTGTCCACGTGCCCACGCTGCAGCCCTATCTGGTCGATGCTACGAGCACTTCGCCCAACGTGCCCCCCAGCGTCAGGACGCTTTTGTTTGCCATCTACACGCTGTCTACGGTGTCCATGACGCCTGACGAGTGCCTGAACATGCTTGGCTACTCGCGCGAAACGGCCCTGCAGCGCTTCTCGAATGGCGTGCGCCTGTCCCTGATTCGGACCAACTTTATGAAGTCCTACGACTTGGAGACGCTCCAAGCGCTGGTCATCTACTTGGTGAGTTCCACTGGCCGACAGCTACCGTATTTGTTTATATGCAAAAAAATGGTGCTAACCAGTGTCTAGATCTCTTTGCAGGGACGCTACAATCGTCACGCCTCATGGATTCTTAACGGCGTCGTGCTCCGCATCGCGCAAAAGATGGGTCTGCACCGCGACGGCGAGGTCCTTGGTCTGAGCCCCTTCGAGACTGAAATCCGTCGGCGGGTGTGGTGGCAGATTATCATGGTGGACGCCAAGTATGCGCTCATGTCGGGTCTCAGCCATTCGATGATGCCCCGCGTTTGGGACACAAAGGAGCCCAAAAACGTCAATGATGCCGACCTCTTCCCCGCCGCGACCGAGCCGGTCCAGGATCGTGACGGTCCCACCGAAATGATCATGGTCATGGTGTTCAACCGCATCGCGCGGTTCCTCGCCGATACACCCGGCGTTGAGCCCCTGATTCTGATGAGCGACCACGAGGTGTTCCGGGGTCCGAACGGCCCCTCGAGCCTGCATATCGAAATGTACCGTGGGCTGATTGCCAAGCTCGCGACCAGCTTGCTGGAAATCACGGACAAGTTCTGCGACCCGACGGCGGGGCCGTTGCACGAGATGGCGGTCGAGGTCAAGGCTGAGATCTTGCAAAAGTTGGAAAACTTGCTGATGCCGGCCCAGGAGCGTGAGTTCAGCGATGAGGTCAAGACGCCCGCGGACAACGTGTTCCAGGTGGCCGTCGAGGCGGCAACGCACGACAACGAGCTCAAGATGAAGGCCAAGAACAATCTGTTTGCGTGGTTCTCGCGCCTCTACTTTCAGGACAACATGTTCATGTTCATTGTCGGCCAGCTGTGCATCCGCACGACGGGCAAGCTGGTCGAGAAGGCGTGGATCGCTGTCGAGAACACCTACGACCAGTACCCCGACCTCTACGACGTCACGCAGCGGTCCTACTACCAGATTGCCAGCTTTGTCCTGCGCGCCTGGCGGACGCGCGTCGACGTGCTGCGCGCGCGCGCCAGCCTGACTGGCCAGCCCGTCCAAGTGCCCGAGTTTATCGCCAAGCTGCGGGCGACCATGCCGGTGCAGGACGACACCGCCTCGACCTCGTCGGGGGGCGCGGCACAATCGGCGACGGAGCCATCCATCAAGAGCGAGGCGTCGTCGGCATCGCTGTCCAAGGTGCCCGGGCTGGGGATGTCCGCTATGCCGTCGGCGGGGCCGTCGACAGGGCCGGGCACGGTGACCATCAGCAACAGCTACGACCCAATGGACAGCATAAACACGGCGACGGTCGCGGACCCGCCTGTGCCGTCGATTGATGAGCTGTCGCTGCTGGGCGACGACAAGGCGATGCTGCCGACGACAAACGACCAAGTGCTGGACCAGCTGCTGGCGCAGTCGTACATGGACCCCAACACCATTGACTGGGACATGTGGGGCAGCATGATGCCGCCGGGCTCGGTGGCGACGCCGTTTGACAACTTTAATACCATGCCGAACACCCAGTGGTGAGATTGCGTGTCTTTTGTTTTTGGTTGGCTCGTCCGACCTGGTTGACGGCTCTTGACATCCGGTTCCGGCGTTTTTCATACCCTCGTATCCTCTTCGTCTTTTGTTATTTTTTTTATTCACTTTCAGTTGTCTATTGCTTTTACGGTCGGTGATGTCGCATTTCTCTCCTCTCCCCACGGACCTGTTTTTTTTTGGTTATCTTTATGGTTTTCTATTTTGGTTATTAGAATGGGCGATGGGATTCAAATGTCGTGCGCGAACAATACATGTGCGATGCGAGCATCAGACGGGACCTAATATGGACGATATTTCAACGGTGTTTACAGGGGCTGCCTTGTGAGGGGCGGAACGGTGAACAAGGAGACGATGGTTTTGCCCAGCATCATGGGAGAGAGAGCATCACTCTCCCCTTTCGCGTCACCGCTATATTCCTCCTTCCTTGGACGAGGGTACTTAGAGTGTAAGAATATGTAAGGACAACCATTTATGAAGCACAGACATTGCATCGCAATACTTTTCATCCATGACCGTCATCTTTTTATAAATATGCGCCATCTGCCGCGTAATGTGTTTGCCTGTATACAATGCCTCGGACCGGTTAATGGGACATTCCCCGGTAAAACAGAACCGTTCTATATGAAAACCGTTTAAAATACGAATGTAAGATGCCTTGGGATTGTCGCCTGGTATAGAGGCTGAAACGTGCTTCCTGTTTGTTCCCGGGTTCTCTGACACATTTTACATCAATTCAATATGTCGTACAAACGCCTTCAAAACGACTTACAAGGCTGAATGAAGAATGTCGTTTTAGGGGCCTTAAAATACGTACACCGAATTGAATTACGCAAGTACGTCGTACGTAGTCGTTCCAGTTGCCTAGCGACTCCTTTTTTGGAGGAGCCTTGTTCCCCCGTCATTATTTTTAAATATATTTTCAAAACTCTCTTGAGCAAACCGCCTGGGATAAGATGTGAGCGGTCCACAGGGCTTGGCAACTGACTGCTGGGTGTAAGAGACCCAAATGGGCCGCGCAGGCTTACAAAAACAACTGTTTTTGTCCAGGAGGAACGACGCACTACAAACGAAAAGGTACCAGGAATGCTGACTCACTTCTACGGCAACACACACTTTTCTTTTCGCATTTCTTGTCTTGTTTTGGGTACGAAATACGGAGTACGACGACCGTCCGCTCACTGGAAAACCAAGTTCAATGTGTAGCAGGGGAACACTACTCATAACAATCACCAAAGTTGCACAATCTCCGGGGACGAGGGAGAGAATGGTCCACACGGTGTCATTGTGCGGCTGTAGCGAATCCCAGGCCCAATCAGTATTTCGACCAGGTCCGATAATGCAAAAGTCGTACTCCTTACGAATGTACTCCCGTACGCCGTAGTCCGTACTCCGCATTTTGCTATGCTGGGAGTCAAAAAGAGAAACCTTTTGCCAAACGTCCGTCTGCGAACGGGACGGTAGAAGTGGGCACGTTTCTACGTTTGTCTCTTTTCGTTGGCCGTGTCCCTTTTTGTGTTGTTGTCTGTTCCCGCCCATCACTGGTCTTTTCTGTCCCCCGAGAAATAAAGTATGTAAGAGCCGTACGGGTATGAAAACCAAAAAGTCGCGCGGACGGTCAGAGCCACCACTTTATGTCCGACGTGTTTGTCGTCCACGTCTCGAAATCCACAAGATGGGACGACAAAAGTACGACGTTCGCTCAAACTGAAATGTGAAATATGGACGACAGAGATAACAAACACCCGACGATGGGGGACAGAGGGGACAGTTGGGACAACCGATTCAGTGAAGAATGCACACTCGTCACAAGATTTCGTGACATAGTCGGGACCGACCAAAGTCCCGATGCTGGGGCTTGCGACTAACTTCTGTTCCCCAAGGCAGCCAGATCCATTGGCCAACACGGCACATCGGCGACAAGTCAAACTCCGGCCGACATTTCTCAGCTGGTTCCCAAGGACCACCATCAGAAATCAACCCCCTGCTGGAAGGATCCCCGTTTTCGTTTTCCTTCTTTTCAGAACCGTGCCGCACTTTGGATGGAACGTCTTGATTTGGTAGCTGTCTTTTTGCTTCTCACAGTCGTGAATCGAAGGGATGGAAGATGAACTGTCCTCTCTCTGCTGTTCTCTGGCTAGGTCCTGTAAGATAGCTTTCTCGAATAAATCGGAATAGGAAACCTCTTTTTGACTATTCCCCCGTCCTCGATAATCCTAGTATCCGGTCAAGGTAAGCAGTCCTTTCTTTCCCTTGCAGCTAACAGGGCCGCTCTTCGCGCCTTGCTCATTAATTCGGAAGCCTACCGATTGCGCGTCGGTGCATAAGAAGGAGCCTGAGGATGACCCCCCAAGAACACATTGCTTGTCTGTTTAGGGTAATACAAACGCGTCCAGGAGCGCCAAGTAGGCTGCGACACAAATAAGGCAAGGAGGATCGTTCAGGGGAGAAAGGCCGTTTCTTATTCGTTTTCCGTTTCGTCTAGTCTGTCGAGTCGCCCATTTCATGAGGCCGGAACGGTCCAATACGACGTAGAAGGAAAGGAAGGCAGCCGTTTAGCGCTCGCATCTAATAAAAACAGCGCTAACGCGCGGACCTAGAAAATTCTCAATGTAATACCACTATTCCGCAAAATACGGGGTTTACTAGAGCCGCTATTCCAATAGGTTTCCACCAAAATTTGGACGTGGCTCCACCAGAAGTCGCCCACAAAGGCTCCCTGATCCGCCGTAAGACGAAGAACCACGTTGTTTCTTAACCCCTCGGGGATTGCAGCGAATCTCACCGACGGCGTTCAGAAAGCCAAGACACAAGCCCAAAAAGGAGTTAAGAAACAAGCTTTCTTCTCCCAAGACACGCCAAAGCCCGTCCGGCGCCCAGGCGTGTACTTATTTCCTCTTGGCTTTTGGCTTTTGTACCTGGTGGACTCAGGAACCAAGGCAAGTCAGTCAACGTCAAAAGGAATACGCTGCCATGTAAAGCCCGAGCTGCGCTTTTCTTGATACATATTTACGCCATTGGGAGTGTGTGAGAAGCGCTGTAATCGGTCGTGCAATCACGGACGGTTGTTTAACCCGAGCTGACTACTCCAACTCGTAGCCTCAGCGGACGGTGCCAAATCGCAGTGTCCGCTCGTAATACGGCGTGGCCACGATGCACAGGAATTATCACTGCCACCAAAGAAAAAAAGCAACAGACCACCGATAGCCCCTACTCCCCTACAAGGTCAAAGGGTGGGAGGTGCGTGTGACTCGTTGTCGGGAAAAGACGTGTTGCGGTGCAGAGTCGGCTATGACTGGCTCGTCGACTCAGAGGAAGCGACCAGGTTGGCGAACTAATTTTTTTTCTTACCCCCGTCCCCCGTCCCCCGTCCCCCGTCCCCCGTCCCCCGTCACGTTCTGTTTGTTTGCTTCTTCACTGTCGACAGTGCTGGCACCCATCGACGTCCGTTTTGGCTATTTGGCTACGAATCCCGTCAGGCCCTCCGAGTTCTGCCTTTGGCAGTACGCGTAAAACGTAAAATCCTCCACACAGTCAATGTCGTATCGAAACAACAGTCAGCCTTCGCAACGGCCCCAGGTCGCCCTGACCTTGCTGTGTGCTGCGTTTTGTGGATTTCGTATTTTGTAATTCGTAGGACGGGACGGGTTTTGGGGCTCTTTCCTCCGAAGATCAACGCCGACAGTCGACCAGGCCGGGGTTTACCCTCTTTCCTCTTTCAGGGCCTGTAAGATTGTAAGATAGCAGGTTGGTCTGCGTCGTAATACACCCGGACTGTACAAAAATGCGAGGAGACGGGGGGGTGTGAAGGGGGGAAGCAAACAAGCGGCCCAAACTAGCCCCGAGGAACGACGGCGCGTTATGCTTCTATTTTATTTTATTTTTGTTTCCGTTCCGAGCAAAGCTCTTTCCTGTGTTGGTGTTGTTCAGGCAAACCGTTTTGGGCAAGAAGGAAAATATAAAGATCGCGGCCGCCTCTTTCTAGATTTGGTCAGTCCCCCCTTTTCGCCTTTCTTTGCCTTCACTTCCCTTTCCCATCGACTCTTTGTTCCAACAGCCAACCATTCGATGCACCACCATTTCCTTCATACATTGTTTTTCTTCGCCTCCTTCACCAGCTAGCAGTCGCTCGTGCGTGTTTGTTGCCTCCCCACAGTCAGCACTCAAAACAAACAGCCGTTACCCACCGGCGATACCCTGCGGATCGGAAGTCTCACCATCTCCGATTTGTCGCCTTTCTGATTGGCACTTTTATTGGGGCCGCCTCTTGGTCGTACAACCGCCCGCGACGTCTCGCCACACACAGCCACTGCATCAGACACATCGGCGTGCGTCCGCATTCGTCCACCATGCCTCTGCCGTTCCGCAAGGCGAAGCCCGCCGCCACGGCGTCGACGCCCGAAGTCGCAACCACAGCATCGTCCAAGCCGGGCTCCCACGAGGGCTACTACGCCAACGACTCCGACGGCCACCCTGATCCCGACAGCCTTGGCAAGGTGCACGCCCAGAAGGACCACGACGGCGACGACAACGAGGCCGAGGCCGGTGCCGACCTCGCTCAGGTCAACACTTCCGCCACCGAGGACATCGAGTATCCGTCGGGCCTCAAGCTGGGCCTGCTGCTGGCGTCCGTCTTCATCAGCATGTTCCTCGTGGCCCTCGACCGTCTCATCATCGCCACCGCCATCCCCCAGATCACCGACGACTTCCATTCCGTCGAGGACATTGGCTGGTACGGCAGCGCCTACATGCTGGCCACCTGCGCCTTCCAGCTCATGTTCGGCAAGGGCTACATGTTCTACAGCATCAAGACCGTCTTCCTGGCCGCCGTCGGCCTGTTCGAGATTGGCTCCGCCGTCTGCGGTGCCGCCCCGTCCTCGGTCGCCTTCATCATCGGCCGCGCCATTGCCGGCGTCGGCGCTGCCGGCATCTTCTCCGGCGTCATCATCATCATCGTCTACGCCGTGCCTCTGCACAAGCGTCCGCTCTACCAGGGCATGTTCGGCGCCGTCTTCGGCCTCGCCTCCGTCATCGGTCCCCTCCTCGGCGGTGCCTTCACCACCAACGTCACCTGGCGCTGGTGCTTCTACATCAACCTGCCGCTCGGCGGCGTCGCCATGGTCTTCATCTTCTTCCTGCTCAAGATCCCCGACCGCGACACCACCAAGATCCCCACCAAGGACAAGCTGCGCCAGCTCGACGGCCTCGGCACCTTCTTCTTCATTCCCGGCTGCGTCTGCTTGCTGCTCGCCCTCGAGTGGGGCGGTGCCACCTACGCCTGGAGCAACGGCCGCATCATCGCCCTGCTGACCCTCGCCGGCGTGCTGCTCATCGGCTTTGTGGTCGTCCAGGCCTTCATGCCCGACACCGCCACCGTGCCCCCGCGCATCTTTGTCCAGCGCAGCATCATGGCCGGCGTCTTCTCGACGCTGTGCATCGGCGCCCAGATGATGATTTTCATCTACTACCTGCCCATCTGGTTCCAGGCCATCCAGGGCGTGTCCGCCGTGAACTCCGGCATCCGCACCCTGCCGCTTGTCCTGGGCATGGTCGTCGCCTCCATCGGCTCCGGCGCCTCCATCTCGCGCGTCGGCTACTACTCGCCCTTTATGATTGCCGGCGTCGTCTTCATGTCCATTGGCGCCGGCCTCCTGACCACCCTCCAGGTCGACACCGGGTCCAGCAAGTGGATCGGCTACCAGGTCCTGTTCGGCTTTGGCATGGGCCTGTCCTTCCAGACCCCCAACCTGGCCGCCCAGACCGTCCTGCCGCGCCGCGACGTGCCCATCGGCACCTCCCTCATGTTCTTCAGCCAGCTGCTCGGCGGTGCCATTTTCGTCAGCGTCGGCCAGAACGTCCTGGACGCCCAGCTCATCCAGCGCCTCGCCGGCATCCCCGGCCTCGACGCCGCCACCATTCTCGGCAGCGGTGCCACCAGCCTGACCCACCTGCCCGACGACATCAAGCCCGCCGTCCTCCTTGCCTACAACGAGGCCCTCCGCAAAGTTTTCCAGATCGGCCTCATCATGGTCTGCCTGACCATCATCGGCGCCCTCTCCATTGAGTGGCGCAGCGTCAAGAAGAACCTGCCGGACAAGAACGCGCCGGCCGAGGGCAAGGCCGAGGAGGGCACGTCGGCTGCTGCGACGAGCGAGAAGGCGGCTGGCCCTGCTGCTGCTGCTCCTGTGGCCGCCCCGGGCAGTGCCACGACCACCGCCGCCGCCGGCACCTCGGGCCGCACCACCCCCGACACCGATGAGAAGGAGTTGAGCGTGGCTGCTGCTTCAAAGCCCACCGTCACCGATGGGGAAAGGGCATGAATGTGACGTCGCCGCTACCCTTCTTTATTGAGATACCCCACTCTTGTACTACCGACTACCATTTTCATTTTTTGTTTCTTTGTTTTCTCGTCTATTTTCTTGTCATCTACGGGACGCCATAATAACTACAGTCTGGTTTTGTTTTTATTTCTTTACTTTTTTCAGCATGCATTCTGGCGTTCAAAGGAGATGATTACATTATTATTTATGGCCTAATATAAGACAAATACAAAAATATAATTCACGAATTTACGGAAATGCAAATATAGAAGAGTATTGAATAATTTTTTTATAAGTTTGTCACTTTGAAACATTGTGCACGTTCCATGTATCCATTGCTTATTATGTATGTCGTACACACCTGCCCTGCGAGCCGTGAAAGACACAGCCAGTGTAAACAGTAAATATTTCCAACTCCAAGACCCGAATATCGACTTCGGACTCCTCGTGCAAAGCGATGGAATTGGGAAATGCCAACAATCAAAACACACACACAAAAACGCCGGCCCAATGCCCAACGTCACTCCGAGAACAAAAAAAGACAAATTAGGCACCGCACCCAACCTCCCTGAAAAAAAGTACGGATCAGGGCGAAGAACAAGGGCGACCGCCGAAAGCGAGATAACAGCAGCAAAAAAACAAAATATCCCATTTCCGAATTCTAAACCGAGACAATGCCTTTTTTGTAATAGAACAGGGGGTACCACACCAAGAAACAGTGAATAAAAAAAAGAACAAAAAAATAAAGCCAAGGTACCGAAATGACCGGACGACCCCAACGACCATTGTAAATGTTGTGTTGAAAACGGGTAAAACAGACAGAAAACAGATCCAGAGAGGTAAGATAAAAAACAATTCGTTGAGGTTTGTGGAACTGGACGAGAACACGGGGGACGTGAGAAGAAAAGGCAAGTATTATATTACATTGAACGGCTTTTTTGAAGGACGGGTATTGTAGGAGTGCAAAAGGGAATGAGCGGGAAAATAAAGACCGCTGCGGAGGCTGTGGAACAGCTGCACTTAGTTGAGGAAGCCCTTGCACGCCGTTGTGCCACAGAGACAGGGCACACGGTCCTCTGGGTTGTCCTCGGGCTCGAATTTGTAGTCATACGTAAGCTCCTCGTCTGGTTACAAGTTAGTATCGTGCTCGCGAGACGTTTGTAAAAAGGAAGGAGTCGGGAGCGACAAGATTGAAACTCACTTTGGGCAATGTCGCGCAGGGCGTAGATGACAATGCGCTTGCTGCCCTCCACCTTGATGATCTTGGCCGTGCAGTTGGGCATGCAGCTGTGGTTGATGAACCGTGCAATGCCGCCCTTTTTCGTCGCGTCGATGACGGTGGCGTCGTCGATCCGGAACAGGTAGCTGCTGCCGATGCCAGCCCGGATGTACGCCCGCTCGCGGATCGTCGCCACCGACTGCCGCACCTCCTGGCCCACGTACTCGATAATCATGTCGTCCTTGGGGATGCTCTCCATGGCATATAGACCCCAGTTGTGGATCGCCGAGCGCGCAAACTTGACCGTCTTCTTGCGCTTCTTGAGCTGGTTGAACCGCAGCACGTCCGAGTCCTGGCCCAGCGTCCGCTTCTGGTCGTTGAGGTCGGCAATGTAGCGCCGCTGGTTCACGCGGTTCGCCCGTGAGCTGCCCCGCGACGCCGACGCCTCGGTGGCCACCTTGGCCGCCGCCACCGCCGCCGCTTTGCCCGCCTTGCCTGCACGCGCTTCGCGCTCTTCGCGCGCCTTCTTGACCTTGAGGTGATGCGGCAGGTACTTGGACTTTTCCGAGTTTTTGATCTTCTGGACGCCCTCTGTGCGCGCGCTGCCGGTCGAGTTCGGCACGTAGTAGCCTTCGATGCGTGGCCGGTTCAGAGCGTCCTTGATCGCAGCCTCCGCAGCGGCCGCAGCGGCCGCAGACGCAGCAGCAGACGTGCTGTTGCCCTTCTCGGCCATGGCGGCATCAATCATGCTCTGCTCGTCGGCGTTGAGGCGGGTGACGCGCTCGTGCTTCCACAGGAACATTTCAAAGTCACTGATGCTGGCGGGTTTGTTGTCGCTCGCCTTGGCGGACGAAATGCTGTTGAGAAGTGTGCTGTACTTCTTCGCAAGCCGCTCGGCGTCCGGCAGATCAGCCTTGTGCAGACTGAGCGTGCGCAGGATATCGAGGGACGGCCGGAAGTCCGACGGCGTGGCGAGAGAGCGCGTGAGCGTGTCGCCATAGAGGGCAGGGTCCATAGTGCGCCTCTGGTCCACAAACTCGGCAATCTCCTGCGGCGTTCTGCCAGCCTTGAGGGGAGCAACAGGGGCGGCGGCAGGGGTGGACGCCTTGACTGCCTTGCCCTTTGTTTTGGAGGCTGGAACAGAGGCGGGGAGCTTCCCCTTGAGGGCTCCAGGCTCTGGTGTCTCGTCGGTCTTCTTGACGGCCTTGGCCTCACTGACTGGTGGCACCTTCTGGTTCGACTGATCCCTGAGGCCCTCCTCGTCTGCCGCCCTACGCTCCTCCAAGATTTGCTTCTTGGTCTTTTTGGTTTTCTTGCTGACCGGCTTCTTCTTCTTGTCGGCCTCATCGGAGACCGCGGCGGCAGGCGTCGACGATTTCGTGGTCCGCGGCGCGGCTACGCCGTCGTCGATAACCATATCCTCAGTCTTCGGAGCGGTCACGTCGGCCCGGAACTTGGTCTCGACAGCACCAATGGACACGCCAAAGAGATCTTCGTCGTTCCTCTTCTGCCGCTTCAGGGCCGCCTCCATTTGCAGCTCCAGCTTGCGTTTCTTGACCGGGGCCTTTGTTGCTGTATGCACTGTCGTTGCAGGCGTTGCCGTAGATTCTGACTCAGCAGGCGTGGCAGAGAAACTCGCTTCCGTCATCGAATCTTCGTCACGGCCGGTCCACTGGCCCGCGAGCGTCTTCTTGAGCGCCCGGCCCTCCGCGTCGGTATCGTCATCGTCGTCGTCTTCTGCGGCCTCGCGCTCAGCTTCAGACGCACGCGATTCGGGCTCTTCCGTATCGCGGCCGCCAATCGAGAAGCGGTTCTCCGTCTCGTCCTCTGAATCGTCGTCACTGTCGTCTTTGAGTCGGTAGTGTAGGGAGCGGAAGGCACTCCGAGACGATGTGTCTTGGGTGCGCTGCCGGGCAAACGGATCAAACAGGCCCTGCTTGCGAACCGCAGCCAGCTTTTTGGCGCCTTTGGCCTTGCGAATGCGCGGCAGAGCAGCCACGTCGAGGCGGCCAGTGCGCCGTTCGATCGGATCGGCACGCGAGTTGGGGGTGCTGATAGGCGACGGTTTCTTGCGGCGCTCCCCGCCGTCCTGCTCGTCAAAGAGAAGGGCGGAGAGCCTCGCGCCGCCAATGTTGTGGAGGCGCCGTTTAGCGTCATGGTTGGCCGGATCAAGGTAGTTAAACAGCAGAGGGGCTGCCACGTCGGCGCGGATGTGGCGGATGAGATGCTCGACCAGCTCGAGACGGACGGTCTCGACAGCGGCCCTTACCGGGTCGAAGTTCTTGGCGCGCTGCTTCTTCTCTTCCTCGAGGTCGGCCTCTTCGTCCTTGCGCATCTGCGCCTTCTCGTCGCGCAACAGCTGTTCCTCGGTCTTCTCGGGAGCCGGACTATGGCTGCGCCGGTTCTTTAACCCAGAGGTAGTGCCGGCCTTGTCTTCAAGGCTTCCTCCGGAGTAGCCGCGGGCGTATAGCTTCATGACCAGCTCATATGTGAAAAATGCGGTACGGTTGGCTGTCTGGAAGCAGCGTTCGGCATCGTGCTTGCCCGTGGCACTGTCGCGAAAGACGACAAAATAACCGGAAAGATCGGCGCGGATCTCCTCAAAGTGCTGCATCTTGAGCCGGCGCCTCATGTGCGCAATTGTCTGAAAGACCACTGGGACGTGGTCGCAGCTGATAAAGATAAATGGGGTATGAGGAAGGCGAGGCGCAATCGGATTCTTCTCGATGCACTGTCCAGGCGGTCCGTCTGGGATCGTAGCGGCCGACGCCGGTGCTATGACTGCAGGCCCTCGAGGCACTGCGCTACCCATGCCGGCCTTGGGGCCTGCACCAGGTCCTGCCGTAGCTCCCACGCCGACGCCAGCGCCAGCAACTGCGGCAGCGGCAGCTGCAGCAGTAGCAGCAGCAGGCGCGAGCGCTCCTGGCGCCTGCTGCATCCGAAGTGCAGCAGGACCACGGGGAGCAGTCGGCGGTGGCCGCAGGTTCGCTGGGACACCAAGACCACGTGGCGCGACAGGTATTCTCACCGCATTGGCCTTCATTTCCTTTTCTCTGTCCTTTCGCAAGGTCGTTTCCAACATACGACTGCTCTTCCGGCCATCGGGGTCGTACTCTACACGAACTGGGGTGCCTTCGACGCGAGAGCCGTTCAGCTGGCGCACAGCACGCCGTGCAGCATCAATGGCTGATACAGGCACAGGCCGTGACCGGCTGGGCTTTGTGTCCCGGTAGCGGAATGTGCCGAAGCCGAGATAACTGCCCGTCTCCGGATGCATCTTGTTGCTACTCTCCGCAATGTCACCGAAGGATGCGAACATGGCAATGATCTTGGAAAACGGTACGAGCGGGTTGAAGCCGGACACGACGACTTGTGTGGGCGGACCAGGGCCGAGCGACGTCCGGGGATCGTAGACATATGGCTTCAGGTCGTACGGGGTGTGGCGTAAACGGGCGCGTGCGAGATGGAAATCGACATTGATGTAGTTGAGTCGACCGCCTTTGGCTAGACGGGGGTCCGCGGGAGGAGCGTCATCTTCCTATACGAATGTAAAATCATGTATTAGCACATCACTCTTTTTCTTTGCGCATTTTTTCAAAATTGAAGATGACACTCCCACCCGCGGACCCTTTTCATATTCTGTTTACAAAGCTTCCTCCTCTTGCGGTCCACATTCCCTGTATATCTCATATGTATGTATGTATATGTGTATATGTGCCCAGGAGTGGATTGGGGCTTGGTGCATCAGGTCCGGAGACTGATGGCGGCGGTTGGGAGTGTCGTCTTCGAGCAGCGATGACAATAAGGATATGGCAAAGATAGTGGCTTGCGTCTTGCGTACTGCGCGTACTGCGCTCTGCGTCTTTTGCTCTTTTTCTGTTTCACCTCACCATACATGATGTATTGCGTGATGTGTCATATATACGTACCGAGCCAAATTCTTTGAGGACATGCTTCCCTCTTCGCTTGAGGTCAAAGTTCGAAACGGTATTCTTGTCGTCAGGCAGCTGTGGATCATAGACACAGGCAATGCCCTGGACAAGGCGGTGCGGGTCCCGAGCGGGCACGCGGTCGCCGAGGAGAGTATCAAGCCCGATGGAGGGATTGAGGCCGTTGGCCATCATGTGGTCGGATAGGGAGGAGGACGAAGTGGGTGTAGGCACGAGCTGTGATGGCGGAGGAGGTGGTGGAGGTGGTGGAGGCGGTTGACGGTTGGGTGAGGTGGTAGTAGACGATGCGGACAACGGTTTGTTTGATGGCCAGCCATTGATTGCCTGGTTAGGGTGATGCGACGCGCCTGATTGTAGCTGCTGCTGCTGATGCGGTATGCTTGTAGACGATGGAGAGTGATCGGCTGTGAGCGGAGTGAGATAGCTGGCACCATTGCTGCTGCTTGTGGAAGGCGGGTTTGATGCCGATGCTGATGCCGATGCGGACGCGGCTGATCCGGATGACGCACCAGCGCGCGCGATTGATGACGACGTCATTGGTGGTGATGTTGCTGCGGCTGTGGACTGACCTTCACCAGGCAGGGATTCTTCGTCATCTCCTGATGGCCTTGCGGATGGCGCACTCGGGCTGTCGCGTGGGCCAGGCGACCCGGTGGCGCGCTGTTTTGAGGCCCGCTCGCGCTCTATGGCGGTTGCGCGGTCCCGCGCCGCTCTTGGCGCGGCTGGGAAGAACTGCGCAAAGCCAGCGCCGGACGCAGGAGGCATCGCGGCCAGGCAGTGCGAATGAGAAGAGAGAAGGAAGGGGAGGGGAGAGGGCAGGTCGTCCGATTCAGCGATCTCCCCGCGGTCTTCTCATCATATCTTGTCGCAGTGAATGAGGAGGTTGAAATGGGGTGTAAGTTGGATGAGGCGACGGCACGCGACGGTGCGACGGTCCGACGGTACGATGACGAGGATGAATTGATCGATGTGAGAGAAGAAGCGCCAGAGAAGGGAGGCGATGGTAGCGTCCAAAGATAGAGTATGAGCGCGCGCGTAGGCGTGAATGAGGCGAGGCGAGCGTCGATTGAATCAAGGCGAATCGCGCGAAAATGTCAATGGATGAAGAAGAAGAGGGCAGCGGCGGAGAGGGAGACGAGGAATAGAGATGAACGGGATGTGAATGAATGAAAAGAGAGGAAAAGAGAAAGGAGTAAAGGGAGGAACGTTGGCGGCCGAGCCTGGGAAAATCGCGTCGCTGATCTCTTTTTTTCGGCCGCCGTGTCTAGTTTTCGCCCTCCTTTCTTGGGCTCGTTTTTAACCCTTTGTCGCAATATTTGGTGTGTGCTGTTGGTCTGGCGTCGGTACTTCTGACTGGCGGAGACGCGCGTGTAACAGTAAAGGAACCAGCCTGGCAAAGTGGCGCGAAGCTTGTCGAATGACGAAGGCTGAGTTAAGGAGAGGTTGGTTGTCGTGAAGACGTAGGATGAGATGATGGGAAAAGGATGAAAATGGTAGGAAACAGACAACGGACGTCGTTGGGAAGGCGCGTGTCTCGTTGTTACCTTCTGGTCACAATTTCAGGGTTCGAAGGCAGGAAGAGGCGGGAGAAATGGTCTTTGGTGGCAGGGGGTTCAATGTGTGGAGGAAAGTGCGAACAATGGAGGCGACGAAAGTACCACGTTCATATTGAACATATTGAAAGGTACTTTATGACGCGGGACACGCGACAGGGGGAAAGACAAAAAGAAATTTGCTGGAAGGCGCGAAGTTACGGCATCTAGGCAGGCGCTGTGAATGGCCATTGGCGCGCAAAAAGCGGTCAGTCCTCTACAGTGCGCAGCGTACCACTTTAATTGAAAACCCACTGAATAATACAGTGCATAGCACTGTTTGGCACTCCGTACATTACACTGCGGTGACGACACAGGCGCTCTAGCGTGACTAGCATTGTTTAAGAGACTACAACAAAGCTTGCTGCTTGCATTTCTTATTACAAGATGATATCAATGAAAGTAATGAGGGCACCATTCTCCCCATGAATTCTCCAGAGCTGCTGCAATCAAGCAAGTTGCATGGAACAAAGGTCCATTTTGCAACGACTGCAAAACAATATAAAAAAACAAACCAAATGGCAAACGAGAGAAGCCAAAAGAACACAGATCCCAGGGTGCGTGCGTGTTTGTTTGCGTCTTGAAAAGAATGGAGGTATAGTGTAACCGAACGCCTGGCCATAAAAATCGAAAAGAAAGGAAGGAAACGAAAGGAAGAGTCTAGAAGCAATGACCCCGCTAGAACTTGATGTCCATCTGGAAATCATCGTCCAGATCGTCATTCACAAACGTCCCGGCACTTCCCAGGTTGTCGTTCTCATCGTCCTGCGCATCAAAGATGGACACAAAGGCCGGCGATCTCGGTGCCGCTGACGGACCTTCAAGTCCATCATTGGGCATGTCACCGAGACGGGTCTGTTTTTGAAGTGGTCGACGCGCTGGGGTTGCAACCACGTTGTCAGGCGCTGTTTCTGTCGCAGTAGGGGCAGCACGGCGAGTTGTCGAAGATAACGCTGTGGAGCGGAGGGTCGACGGGGTATGCGCACGGGCCGCAGGAGCACCGTTGTTGCCGCGCACCATCGATAGGGCAGTGCGACCCTTGTTGTAGCCCAGCGTCGTACGCGAAGCCGCCTCGGCAACGGGATGGTGGAGATTGGTGCTCTTTGGCCGCAGAGGGAGAGCCGACGTGGTAGTCTGTGGTTTGCGTAGCGGCAGGCCGGACAGAAGCGAAGAAGGGATGGACGACGCAGAGGAAGCAGTCTTCTTCTGCAGAGCGGTGCCTGTCACTAGAGGCTTGTTGGTCTTGGAGGACAGCGCCAAAGCCGATGCAGCTTTTCGTGAGGCGATGGTCGCTGGTGGCTGTGTGGTTGTGGATGCTGGTGTCTTTGTTTGTTGCTGCTGCTGCTGCTGCTGCTGCTGCTTGCGCTTGTTGGCAAAGTACTCTTTGCTCGCCGGCACGTCGCCAATGGACCAGTCAAACGAGTCCATGTCCTCTTGGACGAGGATGTCGAGCTTTTCAAAGGCTCGCCGCTGCTGCTCGGCGAACGCCTTTTCGCGCAGTGGCACGCCGTCCGTCTCGTCGACGGGGTTGTAATAGTGGTCGTAGACACCACGAAGGCGGTTCTGGGGCTCAAAGGCGGCGAACGTGAGGACGCCCTCGGGGAACACGTCCGACTCGTATGGCCGGGGAGCCACGGGTGGCGGCGCATACTCGATGTCTTCCTCGTAATCACTCTTGCTGGTTCGGGCGTTGTCATCACTCAACACCGACAACTTAAGCGGGTTGACACGTGGAGTCGCAGCTTTTGGCCTGCGGTTGCCCGTCTGTGGGCCGACCGTCTTCTGCTGCTGTTGTGACTGCTCGATCTCTCGGACGATGTCCTTGACACCACCGACCCGGCCCTTTTGCTGCTGCATATGGGATTGCTGTGTGGCATGTGCCTTGGCGTTTGTCGTCTTGTTGCCCAGGGGTGCTCGAGCTGTCCGAGGTTCTGCACCATGTCAGCCTCGATCCTTCTGTCTGTTCTTGCTCTTTTCTGGGGATTGGCACGTTCACCCACCTAACGGCGTCACCAAGTTGCTCTTGCCTTTTCCCAACGTCCGCAGGTTCTCGTTTCCGCCATTTTGCCGTCCGCGGAGAACGCTTTTGCCGTCGTTCAGAGGCACCTTTATCGGCGTGTTGAAGCTCTTGCCACCCGGCGTCTTTGGGCCCAGCGCATGATTCTTCCCGGCCGCGCCGCCAACGCTGTGGCCAAACAAGCGGTTCTCTTGGTCGCGTGCCGCGAGCATCGTCGGCACGATGATCTTGTTCGTTCCTGTTGTTTGATGTCGATTTCTGTCGAATTTGGTAAAGTTCTCGGTGGATCGAATTCGCGCGTCGCAGATTGCTCGTGAAATGGCAGGCGGTCGATAAAAGGAAGATTTTGTCCAATTTGATGGTATTAATAGGATGATGAGATCAATGGAGTGTCATCACCGTGTGCTCATTTTTCACTGTGCTGTTGTTGTTGTGTCTCTAAGTGGACGAGGCCAGGAAGCTCCCAAGAATGCTGCGTGTTTATTCCGGGGTTAGTCTGTGGACCTGAACGTTGGTGGGGCAACCGGGAACACAGCGTGTGTCTCTTGCGAAGTAGCCAAGAGCTTAGCAGTAGCGGGCGTGTTGACCCCTGCCTTGTCCCTGATCCCAGTGTTCTCGAAATTCTGCCGCCTGGACGGCAGCCACGGCGCGCTCGTGTTGACCTGAAGACCTGAAACCTGTCCAATTCAGGCTCCTGCCAGCCGCCAACATAATCCGACCGTGCATGCACCCACTTGCCTCTTGTCCTCCCACCACAAAACGCCAACCCCACCTTCCCATTTGCTGGGCCCTGTCCCTCTTTTGTCTCGCCGGTCGTTGTCTCCTTGGGCAACTTCCGTCATATGAAAGCCGATACGAAGAGTATCTTCGTTTGCACGGGTCTTTCGTAGTGTTGGAAAGAGGAAAGAGTTGTCACTTGCTTACTGCCTCCCACCCTCCTTCTCGCTGATCAGACAACCCGCAACGACCTCCATCCCTCCTTCCTTTTGCCTCCGTGCTTTGTTGCCTTCCTTCCCCTCCACCTCGATGTTCTCCGCAGCAGCACCTCACAGCAATACCTGACGCCCGCCCAACACCAAACCGGCGGCCCTGCACTAATGCTCCGTAGTCGAATGTTGCACACTACTTGCGGTCAGCCAGGTCCAGAAAAGGAGGGGCCGTTTTAATTCGCACCTGCCCAAACCGCACCCCATTTCCCATTTCCCCTTTTAATCCCTTGGACGAGATTCGTTTACAATTCTTCTTTCTATCCCCTCCTCCCTTCCTCTTTTCTTCTGAGCTCCTCTGTTTTCTATCTCAACCGCATATTCACATCTACACACAACAGCGCATCCCGCACAAACCCGAGCTCTTTCGTCTGCCGCCAACCTACACGAATACAGCCAGCCCGCCCACCGCCCCTCTACAAACATCACCATGGATCGCATTAAGGAGGTCAGTTCAGGTCCTTCCCCCGCGCCTTTCGAGCTCTCCCCGTTGAATCTTGATGCTTGGCCACGCCGTTTGGTCCTGTACATTGTCCTGGACTTTGACCGCCTTGTTTCGTCGCCTGTTTTGTGTCGCCCAAAGCTGCAATGCGTTCTGTATCGCGGCAGGGTAGCTCGTCACCCGTTCGGAAGCCATCCTGGCGAGGCCGACCGGTCTGCGTGGCGTGTGCACTTTTCAGCGCACAAAATATGGACAACGCGCTAACTATGTCTCTGTTCCCCCTCTACAGAAGATGAACCAGCTCCGTCTGGAGGCGGACTCCGCCACTACCGAGGCCAACGAGCTCAAGGCCAAGGTCAAGGAGCTTGAGCAGGAGAACCTGTCCAAGGAGCAGGAGGTCACGTCGCTGTCGCACAAGAACAGCCTGCTGGAGGAGGAGGTCGCCAAGCTCGAAGCCACCATTGCCGACTTCAAGAAGGCCGCCGACGAGGGTCTGCAGCACGGTACCCAGAACGAGACCCTGACGCGCCGGCTGCAGCTGCTCGAGGAGGAGGCCGAGCAGGCCGACAAGACGCTCCGCGAGACCAACGAGAAGTACGTTACTGCCCGCCGGAGATTTCGGAACCCGGCGTCTCCGTCGTCCCAATCCCATACCCCTTCCGCTTTCTTTCAGCATATCGAGAAATACCCCTTGTCGACAAAAGGTGACTCTTTTTCTTCTTCTTTCCTTGCCCACGTATACTAACCCCGTCTTTCCTCCCCACCGATAGACTTCGGCAGACTGACGTCAAGGCCGGCCACTTCGAGCGGAAAGTGCAAGCACTGGAGAGCGACCGCGACCAATGGGAGCAGAAGTACGAGGACATGGCCAACAAGTACAAGGCGGTGCAGAAGGAGCTGGAGGATTTCCAGGCCGAGATTGGTGCGATCTAATGGGGCTGAAGCACGACGATCGGCGGAGAGCAAGGAGGAGGAAAACATTGTTCATAGCAACGCGTCGCTGGACGGCACAGGAGCGAAGAGGACAGAAGAGAAAGAAAGGGACGGCATATATTTTGGGTTCCCAAGGCCGTGTTTTTGTACTCTCAGCCAGCTTTGTTGCTGCACGATCACTTTTTTTATACACCCACCAATACCGCATTCCATTTCTTGTTACTTTTTCCGGTCCCCAGGGTGAAGACGTGAAACGAATACGCCGTTTGTCATTGCAGTTCATGTTGATTCTCTATAAAATGCGCGCTTCTTAACCAATGTGCCCAAATGCCGAATCACTTCGCTTAGAACGACCGTTTCCCCTTCTTGTTCTTTGATCTCGAAAGGGCCCGTTCTGCCTTGCTTTCGTATCGGAATTGTTTCTTCTTCTTTTTTGGCCACTCCTTCTTCTTTTTATGGTCCTTGTCGTCTGCTGCCGCAGGGTCGCCCTTTTTGAACCTTTTCTTTTTGGTCGCGCCGTCGCCGTCGCCGTCGCCGTCGCTGCCCTCGTCGCTGCCAGCCTCGCTCTCTTCGCTGTCGCTTGTGTGGCGCCCGGACAGTGCGTGCATGCCCTCGCGGTCAATGTCGACAGCCTCGACCGTCACCGTGGTGTATTTGTCCTCGTCAATGTACTCCTCCTCGTGGTCAACAAACTCGGGTGCCGTGGGCGTCTCTTCGTCGCCCGAGAAGCCCTGCCATTCTTCGTCGTCGCCCTCCTCCTCTTCGTCCGTCACCTCCTCACCGCCAGCCAGCCGTGCTTGCCGCAGGGCCTCGTTGACTTGCCGGACGTGATTCTCGACATCCTTTTGCCGTTGCTCTTTCAACTGTGGGCTGTTAGATTGTGCGTTTCTCAAACGGGAGGCACTCAGCTGGGGGCACCCGGGCTCTGTTTGCTTGCCTCTTTGCGGAAAGCGATCTTCTCCTGGCGCGCCTTTTCTGTGGCAATCTCTTGCGCCTGCTTCTGGCGCTGCACCTTGCGCTTGTGGAAGCCCGTGAGGTAGTCGGAGCGGGCGCTGTCGTCAAAATTGATTTCCTCAATGGCATAGTCGGCCTTGCGCTTCTTGCGCGGCTGGGCGGCGAGAGGATTTTTCTTTTCACGAGGCCGTGTGATAAACATCGCAGTGGCCGGGCGTCCTCTTGTATTTGGGTGGGAAGATGTAGTTGAGTGCAAATGCAGGCGTCCTTTGTGTGCGGTGGTTGAGGTTCGAGTGATCTTTTTACAGGAAAAAACTGTTATCGGAAATCATGGCGGATGAAATTGTACTTTGGAGCACACATAATTAGTGTGTCTGTTGTTGTACCTCTCCTCTCTCCGATAAGGATCTGCCATTACGGTGCCCGTTAGACTGAATTGGCTGCCGCCTGAGGGCGCTAACCACTATAGCCGCAAAGCGCTCTTTGGGTCAACGACGTACACTATCGCAAAACGCAGCTTCCCAAGCTAGGCTCCCAGCCAATTTTCCCTCAACTGTCAACCCCCTCGTCCAACGCCCATCCACGGGGACTCGCTGCCATCTCGCTCGCATCATATCCACAGCTTCAACTGACTGTCCTTTCGATTCTCGATCGATATACACTTTCGCGAGGAGCCAGTCATGCGAGTTTCCGTCGTCGCTGGCCTCCTGGCCGCGGGCACTGCCCACGCCTTCTCCGACTCCACCCCCTTCCTCCTCTTCTCTACAGCGGAGTACGTCCCGATACATCCATGTCGATGCGTGTATCGTTATCAAATGAGCTTGTGCTTCTCGTGATGACCTCTGCTAACTCGTCAGACTCCCCGTTGAGCCGTTCATCAGCCAGCTCCAGACCAGCGCGCGCGTCCTCGGCTCCGCCAAGTCGCTCCTCGCCGACTGCCCTACGAAGAACTACCTGCTCGTCTCGCAGCCCAACGCCCATGCCAGCGACTTGTACTCGCCCCCGGACTGCGAGGCCCACCGGCTGCGACGCACGCTCGCCGGCAGCGACATCCGTGGCCGCTTCACCGTGTCCGAGGTCGTCGCCCCCGCCGACCAATCGAACAACCTGACGACGGACGCGTTCCGTTCGCATATCCACGATGCGTGCCCCGAGGCCCGCATCATCGAGGTGGACCTCCCCGCCCTGCCGCTGGCGCCGACGTGCGAGGAGCGCGCCGAGGCCATGGGCGACAATGATTATGTTTTGGGCAACGCCCTTGACGAGCACCTACCAATGGGCGACCTGACGGTCGTTTACTTCTCGAACGGTGCCGCGGCACCCGATGCGAATGTTCACGACGGCGTCGATTATGTGGCTACGTTTGAGGACCCGGCCCAGGTGCCGGTCAACCGCCGCCATCGCAACGTTGCCCGCCAGGAGTCGGCGCCGTCCAAGGAGCGCGACACCCGCGGCCTGTTTGAAAAGTACCAGTTCTTCACGCCGGGCATCTTTATGAGCCTGATCGTCTTCTTCATTCTGCTGTCGATCCTGTACGTGGGCCTGTCGGCGGTGGCTAGCCTCAAGGTGCCGTACGGCGCTTTTGACAAGGAGATGGGCCCATCCGCGCAGAAGAAGCAGCAGTAGGCAGCCGGAGGTACGTTTGGGGGATACTGTAGGAGAAGAGGATATTGTTAGAAGACGGGGACACAACCTGTTTGCGGTGTATCATCATCCATTTTTCTCTAAATGTGGTCAGTTGGGAGTTCTTTTTGGGTTTTCTTTCTTCTTTTTTCCCTTTGTCTTGTTCATCATTGTCGCCCTGGAGGTTGTCTGCTCCAGATGTAATCATTGATCATTGCATATAGTCGTTTTCATATTACATTGTATCAGGACTTGTTGCACAACGTGAAATCATATTTGAAATGCCCAAAGGCGGTTCGTGGCCCGCCATGAAAGATGTTGTCTTGCGTTGGAAGAAAAAAAATATAGAAAAAGAAAGCGAACATGAACAAACAAAATCTAACCCATTTTAAGTCTCCCGAACGCCATATGCAAGCAGTGGAATAAAAAAAGCAAAACGTTATGCAAATGCCATGAGGCCCTCATACCAGGTGGCTCGGCAGCAAAAAGTTGGCAATGCCCTCCCGCACGCCGTACTCGTGGCCGCAGTTGCCGCACACCAGCTTGCCCTCCACAATCTCCGTCTCCACCAGGACATTGTGCAGTTCTGCCAGCAGCTTGTCGTCCGACGCCAGAGCCTCGTCCGTCGGCGCCTCCTCGGGGAGCGACGGAAAGCCGAGCTGGAGAGTTAGCCGTGTACAAAATGCAGAATCACGTAGACCTGGCCTTCTACATACCTCCACTAGAGTCGTCCTCAGAGCAGGCCAGTCCAACCGACGCACAATGGTGGTGAGAAAGGGCTTGTTGAGCTCGAGGTCGTCGTGCGCGAGCTCGGCGTCGCGGGGATGCAGCGGGAACGAAGCCGACGTGGCCTTGCAGGCCTTGACGGCGCACGTCATAAAGTTGAGACTGAGAATCTTCATTTTTCGGAGAGTTGTGTGAGTTTGTTAGGAGTTTTGTGAGACAAGTCAGTTTATATTAATGGTCCTGATTGCTCAAATGTATCGCAAAAAAGTTTACAATGAGATTTTCGACTGTAGTGTTGGAGTCACGTGCAGCCTACAGAGTGGCGCCAAACGAAATCGCCAATTCGATTAAGACGATCGCAACGACGCCTATAATTTGAGACGTCATTGGCTTTTGTAATCAAAACTGCGTCATGTCCTTTTATTTTCTTCTATATAGAATGCCTAGTCACATGTTTGTTTCAAAGAACACACCTCTTCGCACGTCTACGACAGCACCTTTTCGTAGCCAACATCCTCCTTTTTCGAGTTCTTGCGACGCGTCACCTTCACCCAGACGGCCACAGCCGCCAGAATCACACCAAAGAGAAGACCCTTCTGGGCCACCGACCAGCCCTCGGAGCTGCCGGCAGCCGAGAACGGGTTGCTGTTGGTCTTGACTGGGGAGCCAGGGGCCGGAGGATCCTCCTTCTCAGGCTCAACGCCGGGAGCCCAAGCAGCCGAGCCGTATTCCGCAGCTGTAGGGAAAAAAAAAAGATAAGTTAGCAAGTGGCTCTGTTTACCCAATGGACCTGACAAAGAAGAAAACGGGAAGAGAAAAAAACAAAAAAAGGGAAAGGGCACGTTGTCAAGGCGGGAAGTCATTCTCTTTCTTTGACCGACCATGGTCCTTGTCTATTGCTTTCTGGGATGTGTACAATCTTGTCTCTTTGGCTGATGGGGTTGCACCTTTTATGTATACGTGCCCTTGTATCTCTCTTTTTTTACTTGTTGTTTTTCTCTACAGTTCCACGTGAATACCTTCTTCGGGCACGGGGAGCTCGCCGCTCTCGGTGATCTTGACGGCCTCCGTCGGGCGGTCCTGGGCGCCCTTCTTGACGTTCTGGATCTTGTCGACAATGTCGTAGCCCTCGAGGACCTCGCCAAAGACGACGTGGCGGCCGTCGAGCCAGCTGGTAATGGCCGTCGTGATGAAGAACTGCGAGCCGTTGGTGTCCTTGCCGGCGTTGGCCATGGACAGCATGCCCTTCTTGGTGTGCTTGAGCTTGAAGTTCTCGTCCTTGAAGCGGTCGCCGTAGATGGACTTGCCGCCGGTGCCGTCGCCGCGGGTGAAGTCACCACCCTGGATCATGAAGTCCTTGATGACACGGTGGAAGGTGGAGCCGCTGTAGCCGAAGCCCTTCTCGCCGGTGGCGAGGGCGCGGAAGTTCTCAACCGTCTCGGGGACGGTCTTGCCGTAGAGGCCCATGACGATGCGGCCAAGGTGCTCGTCGCCGTGGGTGATGTCAAAGTAGACCTTGTGGGTGATCTTGGGGCCCTTGGCGGCCTCGGCGGTCTGGACGAACAGGACGAGGCCGAGACCCAGGATGAGGGCCACGGAGGCGAGGAGGCGCCGGGGGTTGAACATGGCGGCGTTGTAGGCGATGGTGACAGTAGTCAATGTAAGAAACCACGAAGGAATGGGTTTGAGCTGCAACATTTGATGCAGGGAGTAAAGAGAGAAGAAGTGGGAAGAAGGGCGAGGTGAAGGGGAGACGATGGAGACGGCAGAAGAAAGGGGAGAGGGGTGGGCTCATTGGCTGGTGACACTAACTGGACAGGTCAGCCTCTTGGGAAGCTACGTTTCAAACTGGCAGGAACGTGCTTGCCCTTGCTGCACGCACGCCGGGCGCTGTGTGTCCCAATACGGTTTAGTGCATTTGGCACCTCTTCAGCCGGATATCAGCATTTCATTCGGCAGGTCTTCAAACGGTAGGCGGTTCCTGGATACCGCAGTGGGGTTGCTGAGGAGCCAAAGGCCAGATAGTTGTCGAAGAAAAGGCACAAAATTTGACATGTATGTGTGTAGGTACATCCGTTACGATGTAATACAGAGTGTCTTTGGTCGCTGATGGGCTGTTGAACCTCTGAGCGAGTTATCAGTCGCTGTCTATCTTTTGCTTTGAGCTATCACCGGCTACTACAGCGCACTAGGCCCTCGGGTAGGGGCGCTACTGTGTACTGTAACAGATTGATAGGGGCCGAAAGTTGATTCGTCAGCGTAGTTTTAGCAGAAACGGCCACCGTTTAGGGTAGTGAGCAGGCACAAATGGCACCGAAGACGACGAGTGGCGAGCGCATCATCAGATGGCGTCACGCATTTTGTGCTGCCGAGCCGCTCGATGTGAGGCAGGCTGTCATTTTATCAGATCCGCCTCGTCTCACTCACCTGTTGCTTGGAGATCCGATGACAGGTAATATTTCTATTCTTTGCCTTTCATTCTTGAGATACGGTGTTGATACAGGTAGAGTGGAATGTGATTTTGTTCGTTGCATCGTTCAGACGACGGTTGAAAAAGACGCAAGGAAAATAAGAAAATGGGAATCCGAAAGGAACAGACGAGAAAAATATGTACGGCATACTGTAGTGGGAAAAAGGACAAACCGTGGGGAAGTTGACCAGTCTTTCTGAACGCCTCCCTTCCTTCGCCTGAAGAAAGAAATGGTTCTGATTTTCCATTGTGAGAACAGTGATCGAAGAAGAGAAGGCAAACGAGACAAGAAAAAAGAGAGTCCCAGAGATGAGCAAGATGGACATCAAAACGCCATAAGTAGAGGAAAAGCAAGATGAGAGAAACACACGTGAAAGAAAATGCACAAGAAAATGCACAACAGCCAGCCCCGCGGCCCCATACAACCAGCACTCACACCTCCCTATCCAGGGTAACATAAAACATAACGCCTCTTTTTGTGTTCGTGATATTTTTTTTATCCCCGACTCATCCGGATGCTTCGACTGCGGTGTGCGAAGTCGACTTCCAGTGGAGCCAGACCGCAAAACAGAACATGGAGAGTATTTTGTGAGTGGATTTTTATAGTTTTGGCCGTCGAATCGACTGGGAAATCATCGCATCGTCATTGTCGCGGCTGGCGTCGGGGCCGTCCTTTATAGATTTGGTGTTGGTTTTGGGTCCCTAGGCGTGGGCAGCGGCCTGCTGCGGTGCGGCTTGTGCCTGCGATAGGGTCTTGCCGGTGCCGCTCAGGCTGGTCTCGGGACGCTTGCTGCGGTAGTCGGCGACGGCGGCCTTGATGGCATCCTCAGCGAGCATAGAGCAGTGCACTAGATTGTTAGTTGTGTCTCTTGTCTTGGGCTGGGGGGACGGGCCAGCAAAAAACTCACTCTTGACCGGGGGCAGGCACAGCTCCGAGGCGATTTCCGAGTTCTTGATGGCGACAGCGTCGTCCACTGTATTGCGGTCAGTACAAATGTTTTGCGGGAAGAAACGACCAGAGCAGAGAATCAAAGAGGGGATGGGAGGCATACGCGTCTTGCCGTGGACGAGGGTGGTCAGGTAGCTGGAGCTGGCAATAGCCGAGCCACAGCCGAACGTCTTGAACTTGGCCTCGATAATCTTGTTGGTGACGGGGTCGACACGGATATCGAGCTTCATGACATCGCCGCAGGCAGGGGCGCCGACGAGGCCCGAGCCAACCGAGGGATCCTTGCGGTCAAGCGAGCCGACGTTACGGGGACGAGAGTAGTGGTCGATCAGTGGAAACGAGGAAACCCACGGCAAAAGTTAGCACAAACGAAAGAGGAGAAACAAGAGAACAAAATGATGCCAGTTTTGGGCCGGCGGGCGGCCAAAATGGGGTTGATATCAGGAATGGCGTTGGGGCTGCACCGGATTGGGTGGAGGTCGGTTTGGCACACGGGAAGTCGCAGCAGTGAGGCACTTATCTTTCTCGTGGTAGAAGCGGCGCGCGCTCGGAACGGTCGCAGCAGGGGCAGCCGTCAGCGATGGCCGGGTGGCGGCGCGCAGAGCAGTTTTGGTCGACACAGACGCAGCGACCGAGGACGCAGCAGCGAGCGAGCGCGTCAGAGCAGTGCGGGCAGTGAACATCGTGGCGGTTTGAGTGGATTATTGGAGACGAGGATTTTCGGTAATCGTTAGCGAAGCGAAATGTCAGCGAAATGTGAGTTGCGTCAAGTCGGGAAAAGTTCGAGTTGCGATGCGCGATGATTGTGACGAATGTTTAAATGAAAGAGAGAGAGAATGCAAGCTTGGATAAACGAGTCAGAGGAACAGTGTTAAGCGGTCCGCGGAACAAAAGGTTGGATTACGAAAATCACGGTGGAGAGGGGAGGATGGGTGTCGAGGAGGCGAAAAAAAAGTTGCGTGTGTGAGCGATCAAAGGCCAGGCCGAATTACGGTCCCAGCTGGCAGCTCTGGGGAAGGTGCGGATGCCCTCCAGGAGGGGCAGGGGCGAGGGTGGGCGAATTGGAACGCAACAGGGAAGTGAGAAAATGACACACTTTCCCTTTTTCGGTTATCAATCTCTTGTCCGAGGGACAGAACTACGGTGAAAATAGCTTGGGGGCGGCGATAACATGCACTATCAATCAGATTACAGAGGCTGAGAGGGTGGTGCAGACGTTGTCAGCGACGTGACGTTTTAGCAGCTGCATTATTAGCGGGGCTTCCTCGCTCGGATATAACTGAATCACAGCGCTCAAACTTCGGAGCCCCGGAGATTCCACACAAATTGAAATCCTGCGCCCAATCCTGCTCAAGTCTTACCCAGGCCAGCGACGCCCGATTGGTTCTTCAGGCATGTTTCTTGGCGATCTCGGCGGCCCTTCCCCCCAGTTTTACCATGGCAGCAGGGGATTTAGTAGGCAGCACGATGTTTCTAGGACTTTGGAAGTAGCTAAATACAACCGCCAAAATTCGAAAATACCGAAATTCCGATTGAAGGAATACGGTATGCTGATTGGGCTCGAGTTCGGCACGACGCAAAAGGATATCAATATGTGGAGACAAAACAGTGGCAAGCACAGAGGCGAAGAAAATGTAAAACTGAGAAAGGAAATGAGCAGTGGCATATCGTAACCTTGATTGAAACATTTTGTATCTTGAGATGCTCGCTATTCGCAATTCACCTTTCTGAATATTTCAGGCCTGAAGCCCATTGCCGCCCCGGCCCGATAATACTGTCGCTTCGCTGGTGCCCTTTTCGACTTGCGTCGTATAGCTTCCTTTTCAGACTCATCACTGTCTTCGATGGCATCTTCCCCGTCGTCCCAGTCGGGAATGGCTCGAATATTGACCCGGTTCGCTTCGAATATGCCGTTCTCATGAGCGCGTGTGAGCTCTTCCACATACGCTGTCCTGTCTACCTTGGCATCGAACGGAATGCTTGCCATGTTTGGTGATTTTTGAACAGTAGGGAAATCATCCACGGCTCGCTGCTCGTCATTTTTGTCGCCAGGAAAGTCTTCAGGTGTTTGCTCACGGTCGAGGTTTTCGTGTCCGACATCCTCATCGAAATGATATTCAAGTTCCCCGAATTCTTGCTCGATGGGCTCCTGTCCAACGACATGGCAATCGGCCTCGTGTCCAATAGCTTCTTTTGCCAAGGCCTCTTTAGATGCAACGCGCCTTTGTTGACAACTGTCATATGCATCCTGACTCTCAGACGTCTGCTGTATGATGCTTTGTGTACTTTCTCTAACTGTCGCCTGCGGTGTAGCGAGGCTGCGACTGCTCGACTTACGAGCCAAATGAGCTGACATGGACGGCGACAGAATGGCAAGCCCGTCGCTCTCGAACCGTTGCTGCTCCGTTTCCGACAGTGTCCCGGAGGCCACCGATAGCCTACCAGTTGATACGAAGGACGGCGTCGTGATTCTATTACTATTCGTTGGTGTGCTCGGCTGGCTTTCAACAAAGTAAGGGCTTTTCTCCCATCGTTGTCTCTGCGACAAAGAAGGATGAATGCTGGTCGGTGGCCGGTTGGATAATGGAGGAAGATAGCAGTCCGTAGAGCACCGATTTTGTGCCGAAGGTTGGTCATTTCCAACGATGGACGACGAGGCTGGAGCCAGACGAAATGGGGATTGCCCACTGCTGGTATTGGAAGAGGGTCTGCTTTTCGATGAGGCGAACGTGCCATCTCTGCTCCCAAATGCAATAGGGGCTGGTTGGTAGCGGTCATTGCCCGTTTTTACGTTTGTTTCATGAGATTGTCCACTGGGTTGTCGGGCGGGTACGGTAACCTTACGTTGCCCTTCACAGTCGCGCGTTCTGGTGCGCAGGTCCAGGCTCGATTGACTGCGGTATCCCTCTACCGAAGTGTGCCGCGGTGAGTGGCTCCTTGTACTGAAAATGTCTCTTGGGAACGGTCGTCGACTCGTATGTGATTGTGGCAGTTGCGGCTGTGACGGGGGATGTATAGGTCCAGCCTGCTTGCTCCATCCCCAAACCGGAGCATCGGCGTTGTGCTGCTGAAATTGTATTTTGAGCGGCTTGTTGGCAGCGAAGGACCCGATACCGGTCCAGTCGTCCATCTCCAAGAATCTCTGCCTCTTCTGCCGTAGCGCGTCATCAATAAGCGTCTTGGGTGTCGAAGAGCTTCCCATGTGTGCCTGTCTGGTTGCCATTCGCTTCCCAAGCACAACACCAGAAGAATACTGGAATGTAGATAGCCCGCTACTCTTGTCCGGAATGGTGACCCTATGCACACTGTTCGTAGGTTGCCATGACTCGTGCCCTTGTATGAAGTCTCGGTCGAACCTGTCTTCGCTGTGCTCAATTTGCCCCGGCTCCGGCTCCGGCTCCGACCTTATTTCAGCGCTCACGCTGGCCCGGTACTGCCGCTGTGACGGTGGAAATGGACTGAAGGGCCTGCTGTCGCTAGAGATGCCTCTTGTTGTATTTTGATACCTGCTACCATTATCGCGGTTTCTGCTTCCAAAAACGGTCTCAAAGGTGTTTGTGTCGTACCGGCTCATGCTCCCAATGACGAGCAGTGTAATTTGTAGGTATTGTCCGATAAGTCGTGGGCATTGCTCAGTTTCGGCGGCATTGCCAAATGCAAACACAAATTTCCTTCCTTTGCAGAATGCAATTCGAGGGGTGGTCCAAGTCACCACATATATTACATCGTGGGGAAAGAACAACCTTCTACGCCTTCCCTTGATGCCGTCGTCGACTTAACAAGGCTGTATTTCCCGAAGTGGAATGCAACTTCCCAAAAGGGTAGTTCGTTCCAACCGACATGGTGTCATCGCCAATTGTCCGCCATCACCCCTACCCCACCTTCCTTCGCGGCGGACAATGCCTGGACCAAGACCTAGGCGCCAAGATAGCATGCAATTGCATGGGCGCATCCATAGCTCTTTCCCACCCGCGACGCATATTTGCAGCCCTTTCGTCCTCCCCAACATCCAGAGACTTTTTACGCTCCCTTACCGACTCCATTAACAATGCAAGCTGGTGCCCTTCGAGCCTCGTCCCGGACTGCTACTTCTTTGACTGTTCACGCATCTCGCTTGTCTCGCACTCCACTCGTCACTTGCCGACAGGCTTCGTTTTTCGGCCTCGCAACCTCATCCTCCCGTTTCCGGTCCGCGCTGCTTACTGCTCCGTTGTCTTCTCGCCTCTTCCACTCCTCACCCGCCGCCATGACTATGACCAAGACCCCGCCGGCCCAGCTGCCGGGCTCGGCGCTCCTGCGCAAGAATCTCCGGATTGCCTGCATCCAGCTGGCCAGCGGCGCCGACAAGGCTGCCAACCTGGCGCACGCCCGCGACAAGGTGCTCGAGGCGGCCAAGCTGGGGGCGGGTCTTGTTGTGCTGCCCGAGTGCTTCAACTCGCCGTATGGGTGCGATTACTTCCCGTCGTACGCCGAGCCGCTGCTGCCGTCGCCGCCGACGAAAGAGGCAAGCCCGAGTTTCCACGCCCTGTCGGCCATGGCCCAGGAGGCCGGGGTCTACCTCGTGGGCGGGTCGATCCCGGAATCGGTGGAGACCAAGGACGCCGTGCGGGACGACGGCAAGACGTACTACAACACGTCCCTGACGTTTGGCCCCGACGGCGCGCTGCTGGCGACGCACCGCAAGGTGCACCTGTTTGACATTGACATCCCGGGCAAGATCAAGTTCAAGGAGTCGGATGTTCTCTCCCCGGGCAACAAGGTGACGATTGTGGACCTGCCGCCGTACGGAAAGATTGCCGTGGCCATCTGCTACGACGTCCGGTTCCCCGAGCTGGCGACCGTGGCCGCACGCCAGGGCTGCTTTGCACTCATCTACCCGGGCGCCTTTAACACGACGACGGGCCCGCTGCACTGGAGGCTGCAGGGCCAGGCCCGCGCCATGGACAACCAGGTGTACGTGGCGTTCTGTAGCCCAGCACGGGATCTGAACGCGTCCTACCACGCGTGGGGCCACAGCTTGGTGGTGGACCCGATGGCCAAGGTGCTGGTGGAGGCCGACGAGAAAGAGACCATTGTGACGGCCGATCTGGATGCCGACACCATCGAGTCGACGCGGAGCAGCATTCCATTGCGTGACCAGCGGCGGTTTGACGTGTACCCTGACGTCAGCGCAGGCAAGGTGCGGTACGAGGAATAAATGGCCGTGGAAAATGTAACTTGGAATACGAAAGATAAACACAAAGGAATAGACTTTGTCTCGATTTTATAAACGGAATCTGCGCAATCTTCCTCATGATGTTTCTTTCGGCGGACTGTCACCCGTCAGCCGACCACCGAAATTAACTCGCATGCATAATTTTCACGTTCTTGTGTCCAGACACCTGTTTGAAATCTCATTCCCATTTTTAAATTTCCCTTTTAGATATTCCCTGCCGAGAATGATGCCTCTCGCTCCTAGGAGATATACAAAATGCCACGCATGTTAAACAAAAAACAGAAAAAAAAATACTGCAAGTCAAAATTACCAAATATGACTTGCTCAAAGGCATTAAAGTCATCATGTGAAAAGACCTCGTGAATATGCCTGTGCCTGGGAACACACTAAGAGCACTTCTACCACCACATTCTCGTACTCCTCCGTCGCTTCTGCCACTGCCACAGGTGGCACTTACTGCAGAGCCTTGGCGGCAAAGTTGGGCAGGATGAAGCTAGCCTTGTGGATCTCGGAGTTGTAGTACTTGCACAGCTTGGCCTCCTCCTCGGGGGTCCACTTGCGAAGAGGCACCTTGACGTTGGCGTTGGGGTCCTTGCTGCAGACCATGAAACCAATCTGGCCCGATGGGTAGGTGGGGATCGTCGTGTAGGCGTACTCGGCGACAGCAAAGACCTCCTTGCAGTCCTGCTTGAGCTTCGTGATGAGGGGCAGGTGCAGCCACTGGTTCTCGGCTGTTGGTCGGGGCGAAAGAAAAAAAAACATATGTTAGCGGATATGCGTTGGTCAAAGAAATCGGGGAGGAACGTACAACCTTGGGTTGTGATGACGCCGCCCTCACGCAGGGCGCTGTGCAGCAACTCAAAGTACGACTTCTTGAACAGGCTCTCGGCCGGGCCGTCGGGATCCGACGAGTCGGTGATGATGACGTCAAACTCGTTCTTGTAATCGTCGAGGAACTTGAAGCCGTCGCCGACGTGGACCTTGACCTTGGGGTGGTTGAAGCCAGCGGCCATGCCGGGCAGGTACTGCTTCGACAGGCGGATGACGGCCTCGTCAATGTCGCAGAGAATGGCCTCCTCGACGCAGTCGTGCTTGACGACCTCGCGCAGAACACCGCCGTCGCCGCCGCCGATGACGAGGACCTTCTTGGGGTTGGGGTGCGAGTTCAAGGCCAGGTGGGTGATCATTTCCTGGTACGAAAACTCGTCGCGCTCCGTGCACTGGATGACGTTGTCGAGGACCAGGACGGTGCCGTAGTCGGTGGACTCGAAGATCAGCACATCTTGGTACTTGCTCTTCTCGTGGTGGAGGACCTTCTTGACGCGGAGCGTCATGGCCTGGCCGGGCCACATATCGGAGATCTCGCGGAACCAGCCATCTGCGCAATGTTTGTTAGTGTCGGGGGCATTAATGAAAATGCTCCTGGCCGCTTCTCCAAGATGCCATTCCATTTCCAGGGCATCAGCGTGTTAAGGTGCACAGCGTTGTTCGCAGACAGAAAAAAAGAGGGGCAAAATGTTGCGATAAGCGATAAGATAAAAAAATTGGTGGAGGGAGAGGGCAGCTGAGGGAAAAAGCTTTGCGACGCGCAGGGTGGGATGTAACACGTATACCCAGACTGTCGCCAATGCGGACAGAAATTGGAAGAGATAGATTGTGATGGTATGGAAATGTGGTTTGGTAGCCCAAATCGGCTTGTCACCAAACGAATCCATTTTTAAGAAGACGGCAAAGGAAAGTGAAAGTGACACCACAAGCAGGGGAGGCAGAGTTGACGGTAGGGTCAGGAAGCGCACAAACGGTGCGGGATCGAGAGCAGGGCTAATAAAGGACGGTCGCGAGGGCGACGAAAAGGTTTTCGTCGAGATTGGGGTATTGTAACAAAAGACGCAAAAACAGCATCGCGAGATTGGGCAGCTGTACGGCCGCGGGAGAGGGCTTGGGAGAGCGGGAGGAATTGGCTCTGGATCTTACCCTTAATGGTCTCGTGGACAATGTCGGACATTTTGACGGTAGGTGAAGAGAAGTGTCGTCGAAAACGAGATCCGGTCGGTGTTGGAGGGGGTTGAGGTACGAATTGACAATGACAGTGACGAGAGGAAGAAACAGTAGCAAAGCTAGGGGGAAGTGGACGGTTCCGTCCTTTTAAAGCAGGCGAGGCCGAACAGCGTTTTACACGCTGTTGGAGTCGCAGTAGTTGCAGGAGCGACCGTGGCGCACATGCACTCATGCTCTCAGTAACACCTGCTTTTCTTGCTCTTTTTTAAAAGTGGGGGGAGTGACGAAAGAGGGGGGTGTTGAGCCAAACGAACAACACAAAGTGAGGAAGGAGAGAGGTGACGGGAAGATTTTTTCGCGCTTTTTTTGCTTGTGTTGTTTGTGCTCCTGCTCAATTCGCCCCAGTGCAGCCTCTAATACGGCGGGCGGCCCCTATCGATGGTCACTCTCTTCCCTACTCACAATGAAGTCACTCCTTTCTTCTTTAGGCGCTAATACAGTTGGCAAGATGTGAAAAAATTGTACCCGGCGCAGGCGACTGTAGATTCCTTGGCCTGACCCATTTTGTGGTTGCCTCCTTGCCTTTTGCTGTTATGAAGCAAGTGGCCGAATCAGGCAAGTACACACGACCCTGCATCCTGTCTCCTGCCATCTTCTTCACCATCGTCCCTGCCGCACCATGAAGACAGAAGAAAAAGAGGGGACTCGTAAGCAGTTTCCGTTTTCAGTATTTACTTACGACGGAAATCTCGTAACTTGACAGTGAAATTATGTGTTTTCATTTCGTGATACTTTACATTCTCTAGGAACATCGACAGTCCGTCTCGAAGCAGCAGGCCCTCTTCGATGCAGACAGGGGCATCAAAGGGCAGCTGGGTAAAAAAGCAGAGGAACATATGCGAGCAGCTGAAGCTCGGGCGAACAATCTCTGAGAGGACGACAAATGAGACACGAGAAATAGGAACTTTGAACAAACGACGAAAACGGTGGGGTATAATCGATTGTTTACATCTCTATCCGTGGAAATTTAGGAAATAATATGACAGACGGGGAAAGCGGAGAGAGTCAGGTAAGTGAGGAATCTGAAAGAGACGGAGTCGAAGCTCATCATCTCGTATAATATACATTCTAGGACAAAGGAAAAATAACGAAAGTAAAGGGAAAAGAAAAAGAAACAATTGGGTATATCCGCCGCTGTGTTTGCTATCTTATCTTGTGGTGTGTTTGGGCTTTGTTTTTGGTGATTTTTGTTTTCGATTTTGTTCGATTTGGTGTTCGTCTTCTCTTAATTTGCAAGGGTTGCTGCTTTCGTTTGCCGCTGGCGTTTGGTTTGAAACTTGAACATGCTGAATTCCAAAAGAAAAGAAAAGCGCAGCTTGGCATCATGACTTCGTCAGGTTGAAGGATACCTTCGTCACCCGTCCGCATTCTGCCCTGTCGGCCCCATCTTGGATCCAATAAAGGCACCGACGGCAGCGACGACACCAGCAGCAATGTTGGGACTCGCGGACCGAGTGTTGGCCATAGACGACGAAACAGACGAAGCAGGCATCAGGAAGCTCTGATCGATCCGTGCAATCCACTCCATCTTGTCGCGCTCGCTGCGTGCCGCAAACAGCCATGTGTTGTCCGTCCCGTAGATGGCAAACACGCCTGCCTGCAGCCGGTCGCTGAGCCGCTGGAGGCCAGGGCGGCGCTTGGCGCCGACATGGCCGACGCTGCCACCGCTGCCGGTCCAGATGGTTGAGATCATCCGGCCCGACGACGTCCTCCGGTGGCCAGCCCGGTACGGGGTCGTGCTCTTGGAGGCCGGTGTTGGTGGAAGTGACGGTGGTGGCGAGGTCAGGCCGTTGCTGCCATTGGTACCGTTGTTGCCGTCAGTGCCGTTCGTGCCGGTCGTGCCGTTCGTACCGCTCGTACCGTTCGTTCCGTTTGTACGGTGACTCTCCGCTTCGCTGGCGCTCTCGTCGCCGTTGCTGCTGCCGCCGTTGGTGTACCCGCCGTTCTGCTCCGACTGGCTTTCGTCCTGTGAGTAGTCGTGATGGTCCTGAATGTCGAAGCCGTTGTGGCGGTAGTCCGGATGGCGGCTCTCCAGCAGGCCCAGGATACCGGGCTCACTCTCGACTCGGGCGTTGCGCAGGCTGACGAGACCAACTTCGTCACCATCCGTGACGTTGTGGATGTGCAGGTACGGCCGGCGCAGTTCCACGAAGCGCTTGATCCACCGCGTGGCGTCATTACTCGGTACCAGGAGATAGCCGCCCTTCATGACTTTGGGGTTCTTGGGCACGCGGATCACGGTGGTAACGAGACTGGGTGGCTCGGCCGAATCCGATGTCACACCGTTGACGGGTGGCGCCGTATTCTCAGGGGCCAGGAGCTGCGCCAGCGGGTCTGGGTACTTCTTCCACAGCTTGAGGCTCTTGTGCAGCACACGCTCTTCCTCGTCCGTGTAACTAGATGCAGGCGGACCTGGGACCTCAGGCTCGGCTCCCGCCTGAGTACGGTGCTCCTCCAGTGCTTTGTCCTCTTCGTCGGCGGCCACGGTTTCGGTACCCGTAGTGGGCGTTTCACCCGGCTCTACTTCGTTGGACTCCGCAAAGGGCTCGGTCGAGGGCTCCGCCCTTGGTGTAGCAACCTCGTCGTCGGCCCCTGGTTCGATTTCTGGAACAGCCTCGAGGGCGGCTTCTGGTGCCGGTTCAGCCGGCGCGGCTAGAATCTGCGAAGCGTCCGGCGTATCCCGAAGCAGTTCCTCGATTGATTCCATCTCGCCGTTCCGTTCCCGGGCCGCTTCGTCAACCGCGACATCGTCGCTGGTATCGGCGCTGTGGATCCCACTTTCCGCAAGCAGGCGTGCCTCGTGCTCGGGCGTGAACTTGGGCGCCGGGAGGCCGATGCGCTTGAGTGCGTTCTGTGCCGCGCCAATCTCCAGGATGCGCTGTCGCTTCTTGCGTCCGCTGATGTAGTCGCTCACGAGCGTGACACCGCGGGGCGCCCACGCACCCAGATTCTCTTCGCCCTTGACATAGTCGTGCTGGCTGTTCATCCGCCAAAGGTCACCCACACGCTTGATCGGTGCCGGTCGCGTGGCAATCGTGAACATGGCCGTCGAGGAGCGCACAAACCGGACAGACTGCCAGAGCGTCGAGAGCATCGACGGCTGCCGCACAAACGACCGCGAAAGGATCTGGCAGCAAAAGGTGGCCGAGAACTTCATGGGCTCGGCGAGCTTTTCCGACGTGATGTCCCACCACACCGTCATCTGTACGCGGAACTTGTCGGCCGTCACGCGGTCCATCAGAGCCGAGTTGTGCTGGCTCGAGTCCCATTGGCCGGTCAGTGTGATGCTGCGCGTGCCGTTGGCGTTGTTGCGGAAGGACGGTGCCGACGACAGCTTGAGTGTCACGTCTGGCGGCGGCACACTGTTGGGGTCCGGCTGCTTGCCCGATGCATCCAGAAGCTGAATCTTACCGACGCGCAGCGCGCTCACACCGTCCCACGGCAGCATGTCGCCCGAGCTGTGTGACACGTTGATGGCAATGCGCCGCTGGATGCCTTGATGCAACTGGAACGTGCCCGGATCCAGCTCGTTCAGCTGTGCTACCTCCACCGGCACGTAGGCGCCTTCCTCGTTCATTTCGAGAATCTGGATGCGGGAGAGGACGTCATGGCGCTCTTCGGTAAAGAAGTGCGATTCAGCGATCCGCGCAGCCTGCGGGCCGCTCTCACGAGTCGGTAGCGCCGCGTCACGCATGTCGTCCCAGCTAAGGAGCTTGTCCAGGTGCATGGACGACACCTTGGCAAAGACGGCGACACGCAGCGTGGCGTCCTGCGGGCCGGCAATGGGAACGCTCATGCTGTGCACGCTCTCAAACCGGATGGGGTCCTCGTCGAAATCATCGATCATCTGCGTCGTCGTGATGCCGTCGTCTTCCGAAATGCCGGGGATGAACAGTTGTGCGTGGACCTCGGTGCCCTCACGCTCGGGGAAACCAATCATCTCGTGCATCACAACGTTGAACTTGAGCATGCTGGGCGGTGCCCGGGCACTCGATGGCTCCAGCGCCAGCTTCATGATGCCGATTGCATGGCCTGTGTAGGGCGAGATAACGTCGAGCGAAAAGTCCTGGACCCGAGACTCAAAAACAGTCTTGAGCGGCACATCCACATCACCTATGAGAGTGTACGCGGGCATGTGGCTTTCAATAAATGGACTGGCCATGTCAACGGGGTCGCCGTACTCCGGTTGGTCGAGGAACTGGTGGAGGAGGCGCATCTGCCGGATGCGCTCATACAGCTTCTCCAAGCTCCACAGGCGCACCACGTTGTACTTGTAGTCGATTAAGCGCACGCCGACGCAGGGCTTCTGGGCCTGCTCGAGCGCAGGATCTTCGCCCTCCTCCAAATCGTTCAAGACCATGTCGTAAGAGGAAAAGATGGAATGGCCGACATCGACGACGGCGAACTGGAAGAAGACGTTCTCGCCCAGTTCGTGGCTCATGATTTGGGCCTCCTTCAGAGTGGCCGCATGTTGAAGCACTTCCTCGGCCATCTGCACGTAGTGGCGGCTGCGCCAGTGTTTGGTCACCTTCTTGGCCAGTTCGATCTCTTCCGGCGACAGCTTCGGCTTGGCCTTGGGCCGTTTCAACGGGTCCATCTTCTCCATCTTCTCCTCAAACTGTTGTCGCTGCACGTCGAGTTGCTTTTGCATTTCGACTTTGAGAGTCTGCAGAGCATCCACCATGCGCTCCTTTTCCTTCTTGATCTCTTCGACCTCGACGTTGGCGGCCTCGGCCGTTTTGAGCTGGTCCTGGTACTCCTCCTTCTGCTTCTCAAGCTGGATCTGGAGCTCTTCACGGACTTCGCGCAGCTTGTCGTCCACCTCGCCCTGCTTGGGCGTCGATGGCATGGTGAGAGCAGTATCGAGAGAGAAGTTGTCAATCGTTCCCGTAGACATGTACTTTTCACGGATCGGATACGACGACATGGATTCCATGTCTTCGTCTCCTTCGCGGCCTGTTGTCACACGCTCCGCACGCGCCCGCTGGACCTCCTCGAAGAGGGTGTTGAGCTCGTCGTCCGTCAAGCTGGCAACGTTGCGGTCGGTGCCCAGAATCGCACCAGCAGCCTCGCGGCGCGCAAATGACCAGTCCGAGTCGCGGCCGCTACGCGAGAATGGTGCAGGCGATTCTGGTCGGCTGTCGCTGAACCCTCCAAAGTCAGAACCAGCCTTACTGATCGACCGGTCGTGCCCGTGGCCCATACCGCGTGGGCTCGGCGATGGGGACATGCGGTCTAGACTCTGGAGTTGGCTCGCTGTGATGGACTGCCGCAGCAGGCTCTGGCCCTGCTCCGCGCGTATTTCAGCCCGCTCGGCACGCGCCTCCATGGGATGGTTGAAACGGAAAATATGAAAGTCGCCGAGGATAACGCGGTACCCCGAGTGCAGCTGCTTCGGTTCGGTGATGCGCTTTCCGTTGACCATGACAGCAGCGTCCGGCATGGGAACCACTGTGACCGTGCCGTCCGGTGCATTTTCAAACGTACAGTGATCTTGTAAGATACGAGAGCCGTTCAGTTGGATGTTGGCTTGGTGCTCGGTTGGCGAATCCACGTTACCAACGGTGGTGGTGCCTGGCTTCAGGTTGTACACCAAGCACTCAGCGAGCAATGGGTCGTCGGATAAGTTGACCAAATGGGGCATCTTCTTGGGTGTGCTGAGTCCGATAAATCCCTTCTCGATGCTGATGCCGAGCTCTTCGAGTGCCGCCTCACGCTCCTTGTGAATCTCCTCGGTCTTGGCGAGCTTCTGCTCCCATGTTTGGTTCAGGTCCGTGAGCAGCTTCTCGCTTTGGCTGAGCTGTTCGGCGATCTCTGCTTTGGACACGCGTTTTACGGTACCGTCTGCTTGCGTGATGCTGACGAGCTGTTTTTCCAAGGGCGTGCCTTCCGCATAGACCTCGTCGGGCGGCACATTCGCACCGCCGGCACCTCCTGGGCCGCCGCCACCGAGTTTGCTTCGAAGCAGTGCCAGCTCCTCCTTCAGCTCGCGGATCATCCGCGCGTTGGCGTCCTCGTTGATGACGGCGTGGTTCTTGATACGTTTGGCTGAGTCGGCATAGCGGAGCGTACTCAGTGTCTCGTCGTAGTTGATATCGGCGGGACTGATGGCAGCAATCATGGCTGTCATACTGTTGCCACCAAGCGAGTCCTTGAGCAGCCACGTCAGGACACTGTCTCGGTAGGGCACTTGTGTCGATGCGCCGCCCTTCTTCTTCTTGCCTGTCGAGAGGTCGGCCAGGGCAGCAATGACACGGCCGAGGGTCGACAGAGAGCGATTGATCTCGGCACCTTCTTTTAGCCGCGCGCCCGTGGCACCCGTGGACGTGGCTCTCTCGGAGCCGGCCAGATCCACTAGACTGATCTTGGCGACCTTCTCCATCTCCATCTTGGTCTCGACGTCAAACTTCTTCTGGGTCAGCATCAGAGTGAACACGGCGTGACTTCGACTCGAGGTTTCGTTCATGTTCGTCGCAGCCACCGTCCGTGCCTTGTTGCCCTCGTCCATGAGGTGCTCAATCTCCTGAAAGCTTCCGACGACAAGCTTGGCCAAATCTTCGACGTAGGGGCCCGTGGACGGATGCTCGCGGACCTTGAGGTTGCCCTTTGTGGCCGGGTTCAATAAATCGCGGACGCGCTCGTTGTAAATTTCGAGGTAGGACACTTCGACGGTGCACTTCAGGTTCGGGTCGGACTGCATCTCTCCGATCCGCTTGAACATGTCCTGGCAAATCTGGGGGATGATGCCGATCTCTTTGCCGTAGCCCATCATTGAATAGGACTTGCCCGAACCGGTCTGGCCGTAGGCAAAGATACAGTTGTTGTAGCCCTGGAAGGCATTGTCGAGCAGCGGCAGGCCGAGATCTTCGTGCAAGTTCGATTGGCCGGCGTAGTTGGGGTCGTCTTTGTTGAAACTCCAGTACGATCGGTCAAAGGCGAAGACTTTCTGTGACGTATCTTTGTTTCCTTTTGCAGGCCCGGCGTGGTCTGGTGGTGGTGTGAGAACCGTCTGGTTGTCGCGCATTTCCACAATGCACGCGGCATTGCGATCCATTTCTGTGGAAGAAAACAGTCAGGTCAGTACGGATCGGAACAGATGTGCGCAGTGCATCAGGAAATCAAACCAAAGGAGCGGCATACCTCGTCCATTGAAAGGACGCACGCGGACCACGACCTTGATGTTCCCGCCGGCGCCGGCGGGAGCACCTGGAGCCATGATGGGCGAGTTGTGTGTGCTTTCCGGGGTGTGGAAGGAGTGTAGCTGTCAGGTTGTGTCTGCCAGGTGAAAAAGGAGCGTAAGTCACCGGCCAGTCGTGACTATGTGGTCAGCGGTGTGCGGCGAGTTGGAACCCCACTAATAATCTGACTGCGCCCTCAAAGGTCTTGTTTCGCGTCGCCACTGGTCTCCTCGTCACACAAAATGAACAAGAAAACGGGTGCCGCCGCTACACGTCAACAAGAGCGTGCAGTGGGCAGTCCCGGCACGGTAGAAGAGCAGGCAACAGCTGGTGGCTGCAGCACATGTCTCTCTGGCGCGGTGGCCAACGCCGCGTCGGAGCGCAAAGTACGGGTCGGGGCGCAGAAAAGGGCGTTGCGGGTCGCGAGTGGATAATATGCGGAAATATCGGGCACACTCAGTCACGGCGGTCGTCGCTGAAAGTCGCGGTGCGCGCAAATCGTCGGTCCGATCGGGTATTCACTCGTGCACGGCTTGGGGGACTCGGCGCATGAACACGGCACCGCTGCAAAATGGATGAACACCGGCCGTTCTCCCCACCGTGTTTACCAAGGTGCCAAGCCGTCCCAGTCGCGTCGCAAACAGATCCTGCACCAGATTCTCGTCGTCTTCACGTTTGTCGGCGCCGGGATAAATCGCGAGTGGCTTTCGAGGTTCGTCGTTGTGGAAAATGTTGAGAAACGAGACTCCAAAATGGAGAGATGAAAGGACACGCAGGCGGTATGCAGGCACCGCCCCTAAAAGTGCGTGCCCCCCTTTAGGTCGTTATCCGGTCGTGAATTCGTTGCGTTGGACGTCGTCTACTTTGGTCGCGTTTTGGTCGCGCAAGTGAGGATGCAGAGCCGTAAGGAAAAGAAACAAAAAGGAGAGGATGACCAAGGAAGAACGTCGCAGGTGTCAAGAAATGCGCAAACCAGTAATTCATAGAATGCACAAGGAAGGCAGACGAGTGTGGCTGCAAATTAGCACCAAAATTGGTTGGACAGGCAGGTGCGGCCCCAACCCCAAAATGACGAGTGCCCCGTGCCTTCCCGCGTCAACAAAGTAAATCGATTTATTTTCTATTGAGGGCTCGACGCGGTGCGCGCCTGCCGTTTCTCAAATGTTGGGCGCGCGTGTTTGGAAAGGTGTGGGTGGGAAATAGAAGGAACGAAGGGCAGAAAGAAAGAGTGGAGTAAGGGGAAGAGGGGACGAGGCAGCCTTTGCTATGACCCCATTGGCTGGGGCTCAACAGGCTTCGTCATACCAGTGCCAGGAGATTACCTGCCAGGGGCCAGAAAACAGTCACCGTCCCGCCTGAGTCTTTTCCAACGGGGAACAAGGACAACCAAGTATTACGTGCAGACTGATGGACGCCACCTTTCTGGCACCTGTCTACAACTGCTTCGATGTATTTACTAAACTCGGTTGTAACCACAATCGCAAATGTTGCTTGTGCATTGTGTATCCAACCAAACCAGGGTTTATTTCAAGTGACGCTTTGGGTTCAGGTTTTCAAACGTTTAATCACTTTGATTTCTGCCTAATCCGTCTCTCAGTGACTCCAGGCGCACGGGACTGCAAGCATAAACCACTTTGATTGCCTCGTTTCTTTTGGCCAGGGTGCTTTTGTCTTGTCAAAAATCGTGTTTGATGAGCTTCTTTTGGTAATACATCAATCTGCAGTATAATGTAGGGGAATTGGTCTCAAACGTCCATGGTATTGAAACAAAATGAAACAATTTTGGAAGGGTAAAATAGAAGAGAACAGTCGGGTGGAAAAGCAGTATAGGCCTTTGGGTCATAAAAACATCTGTAGACATGTAAATTCGTCATCAAAATAAGGCGACAAAGGAAACATTGCAAAAAGGCCACGCTGTAAGGAAAGGCGCAACCGTCATCTTTTAAAAGTTCCAAAAGTCGCTGGCCTGCGTGGCCTTGTTCGGCTTCTTGCCCGGTACTGCGGGCGCGGCCTCGTCATCCTCGCCGCCAAAGCTCCAGCTGCGGCCCGACTTCTTGCCACCCATGCCGTCGCCGCCGACCTGGATGCCGCGCTGGTCGCCAGCCTTTCCGGACACGTGGGTGCCAGGAATCGAGACATTCTCCTTCTGTGCGTCTTCCGCATCGTCAAACTCCGCGCCCCAGTGCGACTCCATCATCTGTACCGCCTTCTTGCGGTCGTCGCTGATACCGGCCGGCTCAGCAGCGTCACTGGCCGCAGGCTGCTCATCCGCCATAACGAAATGGGCCTCAAAAATCTTGGAACGGTCCTTGAGGTTGGTGATGTTGCCCAGCGCGCGAGCCGGGGCAGGTGTTGGTGCCGTTCCGTCCTCCTTGTAGAGGTTGTTCTTGTACAGACCCAGGCCGTCGTTTTGACCTGCGCCACGCGGCTTACCAGTCGCCCGGGGCTCGCCAGACGGTTCCCCATCATCCTGGAATTCAAAGTGTGTCTCGGCGTCGCGGCGGGGCTTCAGCTGCGCAGGTTTCCGAGAGGCAGCCGAGGGCGTCTCGGGGAAGTCGTCGTTCTCGATACCAAAGTGGCGCACTTCCTGGCCACGTGTCACCCGGGAAGGCGGCTTCTGCGGCGTCGCGAAATCCTCAAAGGACCACTGGCTGTTGTGCTTCGTTCTAGGGAGCGCATCGAAAGCCGTGCCGGCCTTGGGGGCATCCTGCGGGTCGGAACCGTCGGCGAAATCGAAGTGGTCGTAGCGCTTGGGGTTGGGCCGGTAGAAGCGCTGACCCTCGGGGGAGTTGGCATCGAGAGCAGCAGCGGCAGCCTCGTCGGCCTCAAACAGGCGCACGGGCTGGTAGTTCTTGCTCGAGCCGGCCTTGGGCGCGATCGCCTTTGTTGGTGACTGCGACCGCGCGCGGCTCCCAACGCTACGTCCTCTGCTCGGTGAATCGCCCGCAGGATCGCCCTCTTCCTCCTCGCCATCCTCGTCGCCCAGAATATCGGCGAAAGACCGCTGGTGCGGGCGGCGGCCAGCGTAGGGAGACACAACGGCATTAGCGGCGGTCTCCTCGTCTGGCGGGTTGTCGTTGAGAATGTCAGTCACGTCGCGCTGCTTAGGTCGCACACCCGCGTAAGGCGATACGACGGCAGCAGGCAGCGTCTCCATCTGTTCCCGCGACGCGAAGAGCTCCAAGGAGGCGTGAGGATCACGAAGAGCAGAGTTTCCGCGTGGCCGAACAGGCAGATCGGTATTGGCGCCAGCCGCGGCCGCGCTCTCCTGGCTGCCGCTGTTGGCAGCGATAGCCGAGGCGATCGTCTTAACCTGCTCGGTGCCATCGCTGATGGGCCAGTTGCGTCCGGACTTGCCAATCACATCAATCTGCTTCAGCAGTGCGCCCTGGTCCCAGGACTGGCGGATTTGTGAAATCTTGCCTTGAGCATCGAATGAAACAAAGTGGGTCTATCGCACGAGACAAGCAAAATCTCCGGTTAGCATTTCAGATGCATCGTACAGGCGGACGAGCCTGTAGGCACATTCAAAGATTCCAAAGGGAGGGGTCGCCGAAAAGCATGTAGCCGCGGGTTTTTCTGGTCACGTACAACTGGCAAATACACCTTGCGGTCAGACAAGAAGTTGTCGTCCAGTCGTGGCAGATAAGGTCCACCACTGGTGATGAACTCCAGAGCAGTGTCGATCTCGAGGGCCAGACCGTTTGCCGACTCCACGGAGCTCAGAACGGCCTCCTTGTTCTTCTTGAGCTGCTTGCGCAGAGTGGCAAAGTGCTTGATGATCTCGGTGCTGCCGTGGATAGAGGTGGATGTGGTTATGTAGTACAAGGACGCGTCGGCTGTCAGGTTGGCCGAGTTCGGGGCACCCAGGAACTGCTGGTACACAGTTTGGAGAGCCATGGTGAAGAAGACACGCGTAGGTGAGCGAATTTGGAGCGGCTTGTGAGAGTGAGGTAGCTGAGAGGGAAAACTCTAGTAGAGGTCGAAAATATCGAAATGCGACAGCAATCGGGATTTGTAAGTAGTGAGCGAGGTTCAAGAAAAGAAGGAAACAACGAGGCAGGACTCGTCTGGTAGTTTATATTGTGGAAGGTCCGAAGTTTGAACGGCAGACAAGGGACTAATCAGGAAGGAACAAGGGAACCAAAACAAAATGTAACGAGTTGTAGGAAAAGGAAGAATGGAAGGAAAAAAGAGCAGAGAAAGAGCGACAGGGGACGAAAGAGGAAAATATGAAGGAAGGACGGGGGCCAAGACTGGCAACAGCTGCGTGTGCGCTAAGCAAGGGGGCATGTGGTGTCGTCTGTGAGTCTCCGCGATAAACAAGAATACGGAGGAAGGTGCGGAGGCTGATCTGTGTTTGTTTTGTTGACCGTTTGTTGTTACAGGCCAGGCTACTGTGAAGGGAAGGAGGGGTCATGTCAAGGGACAGAGCCCCTGCCCCTTTAAAACGGCGCCTCGCACTTGCCCTTTTCAAAGTATTTTGTATCCTTGGGACGTGTCATCCTTTCAGACGTGTTTTTGCCTCGCTGAGTCGCGTCTTTTTCCCATACCCTCTCTCTTCTTCTAGTCGACGAAACATGCATGGGTGTGGATTCTGTGCAATAAGAGCAGGCATGTACATGCATGTGGTGCCTGCATAAGCTCAGCCCATACAGGGACACTAGCCAGAGCGGCTTGTTTACATGACAACCTCTCATTCCTTCGCGAGAGCCGGCCACATGCAGACAGCACAAGAAAGCAAAATCGATCGCCCTCTGCTAAATGCTCGGCGACGGCAAAAGACGCATCACGCTCCAAGCAAGGACGACCAGACGGTCTGTCATAAGGCAGATCCATCAGGCCAGGCAACTGCATATCGGACTGCGCGATTTGGCACGGTCTCGGCCTCATTTTGGCAAAAGAGAAGAGGCGACGTGCGCGACTGCTTTGCTAGGCTCCCTGACAAGCTGCCCTCCGGCTCCTTTTGCCGGCGAATTACCATCTCGTTTCTCGATCTCGCCGTCCTTTCTTTCTGCCTTCTAGATGCCACCTTCCTGGTAGATCGACCACCAGGATCGAAAGCACATCGAACAATTCAAGCAACAATGTCCTGACGAAAGTCTTATGCGGCAGCATTATTGCCCAGGGGTGTCAGCCCCAGTGTTGCTTTTTCGTGGAAAGGGAAAGGCCTTAAAAACGGAAACGGTTCTTCTTTAACGGCCAGGATGGCGATACTGCCCCTCTTCCAATACCACATCCCCCTCTTTTTTGGGCGTCACTTCTTGAATCCTTGTTGAAGAGAAGGGGGAAAGGCCTGAATAGGCCAAGGTCTGTGTTTCAGTTTTGTGCGGCGGAGCACGGCGAGCACGTCCCTGCTGAATAGGGGAAAAGCACGTTTCAAAAATTCGGCCCACACCGATCTTTGGCGACCGGTCCGCCCAGTGACAGCTCTAGCCCTGTCGTCCTCTACATATACACGTATGCATGACTCTGCAAGAAGGATTTTTGTCTTTCTTGGAGAGCTAGAAGTTGAGAAACGATAAATAGATCGCAAGTTTCCCTACCTATTTACATTTACCTATTTTCTACACCATAGGCAATCGCAAGAAGCCTCAATCCAACAGACACGGTCATCCTTTGAAATCCGCATCCGTTCAGGCCCTCGATCAGTGCATGTTGTACAGAACGAGTTGAGGTGCCTCGGCAGAGTTTCCATGCACACGCAACGATTGTTCTTTCCGAAAGGGCCATCAGAATTCCTTGCCTCCAAATACAGTGCAACAGGACTCAATGAGTTGAGCCACGCCGTGCTTGCTCCTGCCCCGTGCTACAATCGCATGCCGTTTTAAAGTTGTCTTTGGGTTTGGACACGGTAGAAGAACATATACGGATTGTGTGTGCTTCTCTGAATATTTCGTGGTGGAGCACAGTCTACTTCGGTCCCCGAGGCGGAAACAAGTAAGTCGTTAAGCCTCGCTTCAACACAACGATGTGTACAATGTTGCAACCAGCCCATTATCGGTTTGTCTCTCCCGCCTATGCGCACGCTGAAATGAGTTGAATTCAGTTCAAGTCCCCAGCTAGGGCAGGACAATAGCTTCAGCACACGCTTCGTACTATTGTGACAGCATGTTTGCGAATAAAGGATCGATGAACATATTGACACTACTAACCTGCAAGCATTTCAGATACGCAACCCGCATAGCTCTTTATGCATCGTCAGTTACGGCATATAATTCTTGACAGCTACTTTGGCTAGTTCGTAAAGCAGATTGCACTTTATCAGAGGGAAGTAGTCGAGTGCTGTAGTTGTAAGTACGGTATTGGCCCACGTTTTCAAGCTACCTTGAACATCGCTTCGTAGAACACAGACAGGAAGTCAATGTGCTCCTCTTCGCGATGTATCTACTGTAGGTTGTTGAGCTTTGTAGCCTTGAGGAGCTCGGTCCTACGAGCCTGGCCATTGCATATATGGAAGGGTGAAGTCAATAGTAATGCTCGAACCCAGTTTGAGAGCCGCCGCGTGAAAATGACGTAACCAGCACCGAGGCTTTCATGCTCTGCTTTGCAGGCTGACAGCAGGACGTCACTCCAAGTCATCTACCCCTGCCCCGTCCGTGTCGCTTCCTTCTGCGGCTGGGTTATTCTCGTGTTCTCTGATAAATTTTATCATTTCTTTTCAAAAATAACTAAATCGTGGATCTAACGAGATTTTTTTTTTAAAAAAAGACAAAAAAACTTAGCAACCTAACACAATAGATGCTGCCCCATTTTGATTTCCATTGGGTGAATCTCACAGAGGTGTTTAACCTCCATAGTCATGGAATGTAAGCTGTGATTGCTCATTGAGGTTGGACAACAGCTGTTTGCCCTCGCATATTGCCTTATTAGACGAAACAAAAGTGACTGTGAAATGGGCCCATGATGGCATGCTGTGCCTACCCCACCAAGATGCCGAGTGCCAGCCCTGCCTCGCTATTGTTTTGGTAGTCGCGCAAGCCTCTCCCGATAACTAGCGCCTTCTTCTAGGTACTCATATTTCGAGAAAGGCATTCTGTTTCCTAGTCCACATGTCAAATGGCCCTGTCTGCTCTTCCGCCTGCATCCTCCTGCATGTTCCGACGGCCAGGTAAAGTAAAATGAAGCGTAATACGGAGCGTTTGTCTCTGCTCCACAGGAGCAGACCCGAACCGAAGGCGGTTTTGATTGCTCACCTGCTCGTGTCATTCTCCCATCGTTACCGTGAAGGAAACTGTCGTTTGCGTATTTTATCGTCAGTCTTTTTTCTTTGGCTTCCGGTTTTGCATCATTTTGCGGTCCGTTGCTCTTGCCCGTATTCGGCAGACGGTAACTGTCAGCGGCCAGGTTCGGCACTACCTTGTCTGGGCGTTGTATTTTGTCATCAACCGCGGGACCCACGTGAGAGAGCGAGCGCGGGAAACTAGAAACCAAGGAAGGCCCGGCGAAGAAGGCCGCTCCGGCCCAACAGCTGGTTTTCACCGTTCGTTCGTCTACTACTTGCATCCTCTCTCGGCAGTCCAAGGCGAAGCTGCAGCAGTTTGGATCAACATTCTCCTTTCATCGCCTGTTCACCGTGAAAACTACCCTCTAGTTTCCGCGTGGTGGTGCTAGGACTGGGCCTCCGCTTTCCCTTTCGGCCTGTTCCCACTGAACCTCTCGCTTTTTAGTCCGCTTTCGCTTCCACCTACTTCTTCCTTGGCTGGCGTTCTTTGCTCATTCTCTCCTTCCCACTTCTTTTCACTGCGCTCTTTCTCTGTTTTCTTTCTCCAAAGCTTCTTCGCATCGCGCCTTCCCCAAAGAGCAATCTGCCGCGCCGTCAGCGATTTTTTGGTGCAAGTACATTTTATTTCTGATTTTTTTTCCCGCTCCACACCAAACGTCCTTCAGCTTCCCCCTCTTTTGCCCCAATCAGTTTCCGCCGGCAGTAACATTGTTTCGACCCACGAACCCGAAGCTCCTGCTCCCCAACGCCACAAACACCGCCTCCACGCACAACGCAGGGATTTCCGACAGCGAGAAGAGCTTGAAACAAGAGCTACAACCCGCGCAGCGTACGAACACACACGCCGTCCAGAGCGGCGGGACGCATCGGCTCCTTCCCGCCGCTTCCTCCTTCGACCCGACTTCACGGACGGCGACGGAGCAGCTCTTGGTGGTGGCGGGTACCCCGGGATAGGTCTCATCTTTGTTGCTGTTCCTGTGATAAGGGAGAGTCTGTGAAGCGACCGTTGGACCGCACCGATGTCGGGGCATGTGCCGAGAGGCCGTGCTGCCGAGGAGAATAGGATTCATGATGCCAATGTGAGCGGTGGAGGTCGGAGCGACAACGACACCAACAGCAGCAGCAATAGCAGCCGTAATAGCAGCACCGCGACAGCGAGCTTCACCGCATCGCCGCCGCCAATACCGCCGACCTCACGAGCCTTGTTGGACAGCACCGGAACCCCTGCCAAGCGGAGCGATGGAGATGTGAGGCCAGCCCGTGCGACAGCGAGCACCGCAACGCCTTCGACACCCGCGCCGACGGCGATCTCATCCACTCCGATTCCCTCCGATACCGTTCCACCCGTCTTGGAACCGATCACTGCTGCGCCCGCGTCTCCAGATGCTCCTTCTTCCTCTGACCCGTCGACTACACATCCGGCATCGCATCCGTTTGCGGAGCGCTTCCTGCCTTCGCATGTCGACGCTTCTCACGTTATCTCCTCCGCCGCACCCACGTCATTACCAATCGAGCTTCCCGCCATCCGCGCCGAGAATGTCCCGACACCACCCGCCTCATCCCCTACCTCCGAATCTCTGCCCTCGTCTGCCACGACACCCCCGTCGTACACGCCGGGCAACCCAACCTCTGCATACGCAGCCAATTTGCACCTGCTGACGCCCTTCCAGCGTTGGACGCTCCGCGCATCGGAATCGCAGTTCAATGCTCTGGCCGGCGCCGTGGGTGGGTTTACGTCGGGCGTGTTTACGTGCCCGCTCGACGTGATCAAGACGAAGCTGCAGGCGCAGGGTGGATTTGCAGCCATGCACCGCCAAGCCACTGCCACAGGGGCAGCCGCAGCAGCCGCCGGCCAGAGCCATCACAGACTATACAATGGCCTGGTCGGCACCGCACGGGTCATCTGGCGCGACGAGGGTGTCCGTGGCCTGTACCGCGGCCTGGGTCCCATTATCATGGGATACCTGCCCACCTGGGCCGTGTGGTTTACCGTTTACAACAAGAGCAAGAGCGTTATGAGCGAGCGGTACCACATTGAAAACACCTTTGTGATCAACTTTTGGTCATCCGTCGTGGCCGGCGCGAGCAGCACGATTGTGACGAACCCGATCTGGGTGATCAAGACGCGGCTCATGTCACAGATGCCGCGCGGCCCGCCAGGCACCGTCGCCCCCGCCACAGGCGGCACGCCGACCTCCCGCCCCACGATCTCGACGCCCTGGCACTACCGGTCGACGCTCGACGCCGCGCGCAAAATGTACACGACCGAGGGCGTGCTCTCGTTCTACTCCGGCCTGACCCCCGCGCTGCTGGGCCTGACGCACGTCGCCGTGCAGTTTCCTGCCTACGAGTACTTCAAGACCCAGTTCACCGGGCGGGGCATGGGCGAGTCGCCGAGCGAGGGCGAGGCGCCCGCGCACTGGCTGGGCATCTTGTCTGCCACGATCCTGTCCAAGGTCCTGGCCAGCAGCCTGACGTACCCGCATGAAGTGATCCGGACACGGCTTCAGACGCAACGACGGCAGGCCACCAAGGCGGCCGCACAGACCGGTGGCGGTGCAGCAGGCGCACAGGATGCGCCACGCTACCGGGGCATCGTGACGACGTTTCGGACGATCCTGCAGGAAGAAGGATGGCGGGCATTCTATGCCGGGATGGGCACCAACATGATGCGCGCAGTGCCTGCAGCGACGGTGACGATGCTGACGTATGAGTACGTCATGCGGTCGCTTAAGCGGACACGGCAAGACGCACGGCACACCGTCGAGGGCCGTTAAAAGGTGGCATGACGAAAAAGAAATAGAACTGTGATTTTTTCGCAAAGTTTCGCCTTTTGCTTTCTTTGCCGTCTCCTTTGCGGCTGTTGTGCTTTGCATCTGCATTGCCTTTCCTAGAGTCCTCTTCTGCATCTTTTTCACATCATCTCCGGATGGATTGATGATACCGTGTACTATGTCTACACTGGGCGGGCTACTCGTGTTTCTATCTTGTCATGTATTTATTCATTTGGTTTTTCTGCTCATCTTTGTTTTTTTGTTCACATCTGCGAGCCGAGTAACGGAACGATGGCCACAGTCGTTTTATGCCGTCATGTTTTCACCAAGTCTCATCTTTCTAGCACCATAGACGCAAACGATTGCGAATCAAACGACTCGAGAAATGCAAGCACGTAATGCAGTCTCTTTTCTTATCTTTTGTGTACTGGGGGTTTTGATGATCTCCCCGTGTTTCGTGGGTGTATCTAGATATTTGTCTCTTCAACGCTCATAACTCATGCTCCGGTCTGCCAAATGCTCCCCCTATCCGTCGCCCACTACTTCGTGATCCTGTCCCTAGTTCTTCTCGTCGCCATCGTCAACGTCTGGAGGCGCATACGGGTGGATCAGCATGTCGCTAAACTTTTCCAGCTTCTCCTTGCCGCGCACCTCCTCGACGAGCAGCGGCATCTTGACCACGTTGAAGTCGTCGTACAGCTCCTCGATCTGGTCGAGGTACTTTTTCTGCATGCGCCGGCGCGCGCCGCACTGCTCGCAGGCCGACCCTTTGCGGGGGTAGAGCAGCTGGTTGACGACGATGCAGTGGGTGTCGATCTGGTAGCTGGCGAGCTCCTGGATCATGCGCTCGGTCTCGTAGAGCGACAAGAACTCGGGGATGCACACGCAGACAAACGTGGTGAGCGCGTCGTCCTTGAACTGGGTGTTGACCTCGGAAATGGTCTGGCGCAGCGACTCGAGCTGGGCAATCATGCCCGAGAGGCTCTGGCCGTTGGGCAGGGCGCCGCCGCCGCCGGCACCGCCCGCGCCCATGAGGCCGTTGAGGAGGGGCCCGTACTGCTCGGACAGCTGGCTGATCTTGGCCAGGGCCTTTTCGAGGACGGTGGGGAACTGCAGGAAGCGCAGCGTGTGGCCCGTGGGGGCGGTGTCAAAGACAATCGTCTCGTACGACAGCGACTTGACCTGCTTCAGGACCTCGGCAAAGGACATGGCCTCGTCGATGCCGGGGATGGACAGGGCCAGGTCCTGGACCATGGAGTTCATGCCGGCCGCCGCGCCGCCGCCGCCGCCGCCACTGCCATCCTCGTTCATGCCGGCCAGCATGTCCTGCAGACCCGCGCTCGGGTCAATCTCCATGGCGCTGAGGTTGGTGAATCCGTCAATCAGGCGGGCGTCCTTGCCAAACTTTTGCGCAAAGGCGTCGGACAGGTTGTGTGCGGGGTCCGTGGAGATGAGCAGGACGCTGCGGCGGACCTTGGCGAGCTGGATGGCGAGGGAGCACGAGGTGGTGGTCTTGCCGACACCGCCCTTGCCGCCGACAAAGATCCAGCGGAGGGAGCGTTGGTCGAGGATGGACTGGAGCGTAGGCTCCATGACGTCGTCGTCGTCGAGGTTGACCACGGCAGCCATTCTGGGAGATGTGGGGGGGTTGTTGATGGGTACAAGGTGGTGGACGTGTCGGAAGGAGGGTTTTGAAGCTTTAAGGCGCCGAAGAAAAACTTGTACAGCGCGTGTATCGTCGTGTTGAGCTGTGGATGGAGGATCGAAGTCATGAACGTGAAGCTCGACAGGACACGGATTTTGGTGGGGACAGTTTTGGTGACGGTCTCGGTCGCCACTGCCCATCGAAGCGGCTAGAACCGCAGAGCAAAAAAACAACGAGCAATGGCTAAGGAGGGGGAAGTTGCGATCCACCACAAGCACTAACACAAAGCTGCCGTTACCAAACAGATTATGTTCGCCAAGGCGTCCATTATCTGGATGTTTAATTTGGGAAACAAGAAATCTTACGAGAGCTTATGTTTTTTCTTAAATTTTCTTATATTTGAGAAGCTCCCTTTGAGCCATGAAAACAGAAGCTGGGGTGTTGTCAGAATGCTGAAGAGTCCGAGGCGTTGGTAGAACCATTACGTAGTTTAGGAAGCTGCGCTGAAGATTGGCGGCACAGCCAATAGCGCGACGTCACCGCCCATGCTTTCTGCCGCACCTTCCTCTGCCGCCACCTATCCGTCCGCGCCACGGAGAACACTTTCTTCAATAACGTCGGCATTACTTTACAACACGGACAGTAGCGTTGGCTCTTTCGACATCCACAGCGTATCACAATGGCGCCGACGGAAATAAGCAACCCGCGCCGCATTCTGGCGGTGGCACTGGCGGAGTCTCAAGAGCATCTCGCGCGAGTCATCAAAGGTAGGTCGTGATGAACAAACAGGGCTGTTGATAGCTGAGTGATTCTTACAGTTCATTGTTTAGACCTCACCGGCGAATACCCCGCGGCATCGGCCGGTACAGGCGCTCTGGCGGGCACGACACAGGAGCTGGCGATACAGACGGCGTACTACAACGCGCAGGTGCCCATCTGGCTGGACCTCATTGGGCAGACACCGGCGGAGGCAGAGGCAGAGGCAGAGGACGCAAAGGACAATCCAAAGGAGGAAGAAGACAAACCTGACGAGACGAACGACGCGGTGAAGGAGCCAGAGGACGGCCCGACGACGACAGACAAAAACGCCTCGAAAGACGACACCTCGGAAGACCCGTCGACACCGGAACAATGGGCTGATGCGTTCCTGGCCGACGAGGCGCGCGAAGTGCGGGAGGCCCTGGGCGGCGTGGTGGTGGTGGTCGACGTGCAGCAACCGTCGGCCTTTGCACGGCAGCGCGACCTCGTCAAGCACGTCGCAAGGCTCGTGCAACGTCTTGGGCCCGTCGTGGATGTGAGCTTGCAAGAGGAAGACGAAGATCAAGAAGAGATGTTGGCGGACTTTGAAGGTGTCGGCATCGTGGTAGGCGTGTCACAGAAGCCCATCGACGAGGAGACAATGGAGGTGTGGGACGACGCATGTCTGGTTGCCGGGTTGGAGTTTGTCGCCGTGGCCCCGGGCCAAGAGGCTACCAACGAGTTTGGTGGTAGGTCTTTTTTCCTTTTTTTTTCCCTTCTTCTTCTCTCTTTTTTTTCGTCCTTACAACAGACACTGACAATGTAGAAAAAACCGGCATTCCGAGACTACTCGAGGCGCTGGAGGCCAACGACTGGGAACTGGTCGGCGATGGCGAGGGCGACGAGAACGACCTGTTCGGTTCGTTCCAGGACGTCCGACTGCCCGGTACAGCGTCGGACGACGAGATCAACTTTGACGACCCGGAGAGCGTTGATTTCGGCTTCGACCGCGACGACTTTGCAGGGCTGCGGCAGGCCATCTGGCAACAACAAACGGCGGAGCTGGACGACGACGACGAAGAAGACAAGGACCAGGCGGCCATTATGGAGAGCATGATACAGCGGTTGCAGGCAGCACGGCTGCAGTCGGAACTGCTCACGCCGGCCCAGCGGCGCGCCATGGCGGCGCGTGTTGTGGGCGACGTCATGAGGGAGATATGACCGACATGAGAGCTCAGGACACAAAAATTAAGTCGATATTATGTACGCTATAGACAGACAGGACAGGATACAAGCCTCCCTCCAATGGCCTACAATCTGGAATCCACCTCGTCGTGCGGCTTCCACTCGTCGCCGCCCAGAACCAAGTGGTCGTAGCTGACCATGACGTGCACCGGCTGCACGATGAAATTCTTGTCGTCGCCATCGGCGGCCGCCGCCAGGTCCGGGTCCGTTGCGACGCTGATCCAGTCGTCCAGGCTGTCGACCCAGAACTCGGCCACGCCGTCGTAGTCGAGCACGGGCAGCCCAAACGTGGCCGCCTGTTTGCGGTTCTCGGCCGTGATGTGCTGCTGGTTGTAGCGACGGACCTTTTCGCGGAACGTCTTGCTGCGCAGGGCCGGCGCGACGTGGTTGTTGGCCCAGTAGGCGGAAAAGAACTCTTGGGAGACGTCGGGCAGCTTCTTGATGAACATGGTGATTTTGACGTACTTGCCGGCACCAGACGGCGCCGGGCCTTGGAGAGGAAGAGGCATGTCGAGAGAGAGGAGGTAAGAAGTGGTTGATGCTTTGTGAGAGGTGAATGGGAGCGACCAACGTAAATAATCCCTCGTTTATTTATATTTTCTTTTGCATTAATCTCACGTATTCTTCGCTTACCTTCGCTTACCTCATTCCTGAAACTGTTTATAATGTAAGCAATCCTGGCGTTGGTTTCTTCCTCGAGCACGACAAACAGTCTTTCGAGTACTTCCCACGAGTCTACATGCAACACTGCAACAGATGGTCGGGAACTCGGGATAAGACACTCCGGGAAGGGCAGGACGCTGGTCTGATCCTGAAAGGCAGAAGGCTAGACGTTGTTGGTGTTTCCGGGCGGATCTTCCTGACGCGTTTAATGGATGGCAAGCAAAGGCCAGGAGACATACCAGGAGAGATCATCAGAAACCGCCAAAGGCGCTCCCAACCGCGTAAAGCTATCCCCGACCACCGAGCGCGCACGAGAGAAGAAAGCGGGGATGGCGCTGGGGCGTTCTGGGGCAGGCTGGTGCTAGCTGCTTGGAAGGTCAGCTCTGAAGGGTTTTGGTGGCTTTCATGGAGATGCATTTCCGTCGAGCGAGGGGGTTCGTTTATTGGCGTTGCGCTTCCCCGTCTTTGGCCCTCTTTGGTTGTCCGACTCTCTTGATCGGCGCAAGTAAACAGGAAATGTAATTACGATATAAGTATCCTTGGCATGCTCGCAATGTCCATAGGTTGGGGAAGAGGTTGACACCTCGACTTGACAACTCGTGACATCACCACCTTGAAACCATCTCATGCGACACGACATACACACACCATACAGCGCTCAACAGCCCCCCCATGGATACAGGCGACATCAAGGGCCCCGGCCTGCTCTTTGTGCAGTCGCGCATCACCCGGCCCGATATCATGACCGAGGACGCCTTCATGCACTGGTACGACACCGACCACATTGCCGAGGTCATCGAGACCACCGGCGTCGACTCGGCCATTCGCTGGAAGCACGACCAGCTCGCCACAGCCCCGCTGCCCTACCTGTCCATCTACCCGCTCGAGGACATTGCCTTTCTGCGCACCGACGAGTTCAAGGCCATCCGCGTCACCAGCGACTTGCTGCCCGGCTCCAAGCTGTGCTACGATCTGGCCTCGTTTGACGTCGGCTACTACAACATTGTCCAGGTCGCCGACCCGACGGCCAACGGCACCAACGGCACCAAAGGCAAGGGATTGGCCAAGTCGCTGGTGGCCGAGCAGATCGAGACGTCGGATGCTGCCGGCCTCCATGCGTGGTACAAGACGGCCTACCTGCCCGCCCTGGCCGCCAGGCTGCCGGGCTACCTGCGCACGACCCGCTACGAGCTCAAGTATGCGCGGTCCAACGACCAGTCGCGGCGCTTCAAGGGCCTGTCGTCGACGGACGCACCGCCGCCCACGCGGCCGACATGGCTGGCCATTCACGAGTTCTCGACCGATGCCGGCGCGCGCGAGGCCGACTTGCAGGCCGTACAGGCCTCGGCGTCCGGGTTCGACGCTGTCAAGGCTGCCGCCAAGGTTTGGCAGTCGGACCTGTACCACTTTGCCAAGAGCCACGGCAAGGGCGAGCTCTTCCACGGCCGGGAGTTTTAGTCGGGGACGATTCCAAGGGGTAGAATAGAATGTACCGCAACAGTTTGAATATGACATCAATTTCTTCATACTGAGATCGTCTTTGTGATATTTGCCATATGGTGTGTTCCGTCTCGCGCGTATTGAGATGCAAAGCCTCAAGGGCCACCCATCTGCCAGCGCATCGGTTACGCATCCTTGGGTGCGTCCGGCTGCTTGCTCCAGTGCGCGCCCTGCACCTCCGGCAGCGCCGTCAAGTTGCCAAAGATCTTCGCCAGCACCGGGAACTCCTTCTCCAGGTCCACGCCCCACCGTTCCACCGCGTTCTGGATCGCCGGCACCAGACACACGTCCGCCAGCGTCACCGTGTCGCCCACCGAGTATTTGCCAGGCGGCCCGCCGTTCGCGCCCCCTGCCGTCACAAGCGTCTCGTACGCCCGCAGCTCTCTGACGCTCCAGTCGTACGCCCACTTGGTCTTCTGGTCGCCGTCGGCACCCAGGTCGTTGCCCAGCTTCTCGAGCGTGTGGTTCGCTTGCCGCGGCTGCAGATCCGCCACAACAATCTCGACGAGGCTGCGCACACGTGCGCGGTCGGCGGGGTTCTTGGGCAGCAGCGGCACGGCATTGTCCGGGAAGGCTTCCTCGAGAAACTCGAGAGCGGCCACCGACTGCGTAATGTAGACGGGCGTGCCGCCGCCGGATCCCTCGATTTCGGCTGCCAGCGTCGGCAGCGACTGGTTCGGGTTGATGGCGGTGTACGCGGCGCCGCGGTGCTCCTTGTTGAAAAAGTCGACAACCACAGTCGTGTGCTCAATCTTTTTGAGCGCCAGTGCGATCCGCAGCCGCGTGGTGCACGACGACCTGTAGTAACCGTACAGCGTGAGCTTCGTCATGTTGATTGATGGTGTTGGCGTTCGGAGACGGGTGATGTTCTAGAAGATCACGGTGACTGGAAACGATGACCTTTGAAGCTGTGGAAATATATGGAAATGGGAAATGGGAAAAGGGTCGAGTGGCTCGGAAGACAGCGGGGGAAGCCAGAGAGGATGCTCTTTCCAAAAGCAGCCGGATCGGCTTTCTTGCCGTTGCCGTTGATGCGAAGGAAGGCGCATCTCACTGACGCAACCCAGTCAAGGCAGTTGCGCTAACACACCCCGCGATAGCACACGCCCAATGACACCATCCAGCATTGCAAGGGCGCACTAACGGTAGCGGGGCCGCATGTGCTTGTGGCTCTCATGGTGGGAGCTCATATGGCAAGTGCGAACCAGTCGAGCCGAAATATGTCGTGTTGACTCATTTGTATGGTGGCATCGCATGATATTAACATGTGCTGCTCGCGAAATGACAATGGAGGGAGCCGTGCCGAAACTGTGAGCGAGAAAATCGACGAGGAACGAGCGAGGGATGTCCCGGGCCTCAACCGGCGGAGCCGAAGTCGCTTTGAATGATAGGATGGACAAGGTTGTACTTGTTTTCCGGCATTTTATTTGCCAACGTTTTTGTCCTCTGCATTCAAAGATTCAAAATAAAGAAGAAGACAAAGAAAGAAGCTGCCGATACATGAGGCGAAATGTGACGAGAATTTAGTTTATACATAACAATTCACATTTCGAGACACGACAAGATCGGATCCAAAGACTACTTTATTTAAATATATGATATATACAAGCCGCTCTTCATGGCAGCCACCACAAACTCTTATATGTTATACCGGAACCCGGGATGGTCGTCGCCCAGGTTCGCCACGTCCTCGGGCCGTCGGTCCAGCCGGTACGCCCGCTGACCGAGTTGTCGTCGCCGGTTCTCCACCCACATGAAATACGCCAGAGCCGTTGCCGCGGCGGCACCAATCCACAAGAACCCGAGTGCCACGCCGTAGCCCGTCACATACGTCGGGCTTTCTTCTCGCCGGTAGATGGTGGACGCCACGACGCCTGCCATGTTGCCCAGCGCGCTCTGGACGCCGACACCGAACGCGCGTTTCCAGCGGCCGGCCAGGTTCTCGACGAGCCAGCCATAGGCCAGCGGCAGCGCCGCATAGCCGCCGATGCTAATCAGGAACGAGGCGCCGTACTTGGCCTCGCGGTTCATCCACGTCTCGTCGAGCAGCATGCAGTAGCCAATGGTGGCGACAATGGTGGCGGCCATGATGAGGGCGTAGCGTAGGCGCAGGCGGTCGGCGAGCCAGGACACAGCGACCATGAAGACGGCGGCGACAGCGTAGACGGGCAGGGTGTGGATCTTGACGTCGCGTGCCTTGTAGCCAAAGTCGTGCAGGATGCTGGGCATGAACATGGACGTGCTGTAGGCCGTGGTGCCCGTGCCGACGGCGACGAGGGCGCCGAGCCAGATCTTGTAGTCGGCGAGGGAGCGCAGGACAGCACGGCGGTCGAGGCGGTCCATGGTAAACGTGTCAACCGTAGACCCAGACCCGACCGCTGACCCGCTACCACGGTCTTCGGCCACGCGCTGCTGGACGAGACGCCGTTCTTCGGCCGAGAGGTAGCGGCAGCGGTTGGGCTCGTCGACGACAAGGAAACAGGCTACCAGGCCGATGGCAGCCGTCACCGACCCCTCGACAATAAAAACCCAACGCCATCCCTTGAAGCCGTTGGGCGCAATGCTGCTCACAACGTCGGTGGTGCTGTTTTTCGGGCTGACGGTCTGGGCGCCTGCGATGCCCTTGCCGATGGCGTAGGCCATGAGCGGACCAAAGGCGGACGCAGCAACGTGGCCGCAGAAGAGAAGGCTCAGACGCGTCTGGTACTCGCGGCGTGTGTAGTACAGGGACGTGATGTAAATCACACCTGGCTGGAGGCCGGCCTCGAAAATGCCGAGCACAAACCGCACAGCGACGAGCCCGTGGTACGTCTGGACGAAACCGGCGCACAAGTTGGCGACGCCCCAGCAAACCGTCATGGCGCCGAGGTACCAGGACGGACGCCGGCTTCTGCAGAGCAGGAGGCTACTGGGGACCCCGAAGATGACGAGTGCCGCAAAACAGATCTGCATGAAGGGCGTGTTAGTGGCCGTTCCTTCACTTTTCGTCCTGTACATGGGGAACCCGGTAGACACACATAATAAGCAATGTTGTACTTTTGTACTGTGAGTGAGAGGTCCCCCATGAGGCCCATGGCCTTTGCATTGCTCATGCTGATGCGGTCGAGCGTCGAAACCAGAAAGACAACCAGGAAGATGGGTAGGATGCAGAGGTCGAGCTTCCAGACAAGCCGTCGCTCAGCTTTCCGGCTCAAGGCTGATAAATGTGACGTTTGACAGTGTTGCTGTTGTGATGGTGACAGTAAGGGTGGCTCGCTGCCGAAGGATCTATCACGTCGTGCCGACTTCGGCTCGTGTTCCGTTTCGGGGGCGATGGCGTCCACTGCTGCAATGGATGCCCGGTCGGACACCGTCTCGATGATGGCTTCCATGCCAGGCTGCTGCCGTCGTCCGTGTGGCCGAAACGCCATCGTGGCAGGTTGGGTGGGCGTGATGTTTATGCTCTTGTTTTGCGACACCTCAATGGCCAAGTGTGCGGTCCCATGTTGAACCTTGTGCGGCGTTCAAGGCTTGAAAAGGTCGAGGGTTAGGGTTTTGGCAAAGGTGGATGGGAAAGGGATGTTATTTCAGTCTGGGCATGGGATTCCAAGGGATAGATTCCGGCAGGGTCCTTTTGTCAACCAATACAACAGTGGAAGCCAAGACATAGTGAAATCATCGTGGGGCAGCACAGAAGCCAAGAGGATGGAGATGGCGCAACAGGCTAAATATCGACAGTCAGGACAAGCGATAATTAAATCTCAGGGACCACCGACTGGGGGGAAGCCCTGACAAAGTACATGGCGAAGTAATTCAGAACAATACGTCAGGGACCTTGCCCAGGCAGAGGCATCCACTGGGATAGGTGACTACCGCAGGGCGGACAACGGAAGTCGGAAGACGAACAGGCGGAAAACCGAATAGGGGCTCCTGTAGTTAATTAAGACGAATGAGACGGTGGGCGAGGTGAAGGGCGACATCAATTAATCTCGCTGTCCTAACGGCGCATCGTCTGCCGTCTTTCTCACGATCTCACATGGAAGTTCGGCACAGCGACTGGTGGGGATGCCGCGCGGTTCATTGGAGACGAGAGTGAGGCAAATGGGGTCTTCCGGTCTTTGCAGGACCCACGATACAAAGCCCAACTCATACACAGCGGCCTGTTGGCTACTACTTTATCAACACCAAGTCGGGGAAGGAACATGATTGTGCGAATGTGAAGCGTAGGAACGGAAAGAGCAAAGGACGTGTCACCTGCCGCACGGACTGCCCGAGAAGAGCCACGCGACTGGCTGCACGAAATGCCTCCTCCGTATAGCACTATATTTTGACGGTATTCAACGACTCGAGTTTGTTCTGAGGTCCCTCTGTATATATACGCATGCTCGGCTGTTCCTGCCAGGCGCTGTCTGCCTCACCAGCCGTGATCAATTTAGAAAAGGGAGGGATGCACCATTTACTGCTCGAAACAGCACAACACCGCAAATTGAGTGACCCCTTTATACGGCTATTCATGCAGTTGTGTTGGCTCTTCGTGTTAGCCGAGTAGCAGAAAGCAATATGGGCCAAGTTGTTGTGCCAGAAGGGACACGGAGACGGAGGTTGAGGCAGAGCACACCAGTAAGAAGTTTGCCTAGAGCGGTATCAGACAATATGCATATAGGCGATCATGGACTGTCCAGCTATACAGTGCTAAAACAGTGTAAATACGATGTAACTACCGTGTCGACGACGGTGTGGCAATGCGCGGCCATAACGGGACTAGCGCATTCCTATTCTTGGTGCAAGGCAGCAGCTTTTCTTAGAACAAAGGTGCCATCGACAGGAAAGTCATCAACCACGACAGGCGATGTCAGACAAGGCAGCCAAATAAATTCTGGACTCGGCGAGGACCGCAGCGAGACACTGAAACCCGACGCGCCTGTGGTGCTGTTGGTCGAGTGATTTAGTGCTTGTTGATGCTGTAAGAAGAGGGCCGATTTGCTGCAGGGACCCCGTCAGGTGACTTCAGGCACCTCCCATTCAGGCCTCCTTCCACTAAATCCCGCGCTACTGGGGCTTAACTCGCTGCCTGCCCACACCAGTTAGGCGGGCGTCGTACTACCACCCTCATTATCCTTTGCATCGCCAGATTCGCTCGTCTGCATCTTGCATCCTCTCTCAACACAAACATCGCCATTCTTTGCTTCGACGACATCTAAACGAACATCGAATACTCGTGTCGACGTCGAGCGCATAAAACGAACGCGTCCCTGTACGCAGCTGCCCGAATAATCCGACATTGCATTTTCACGATTGTCACGACATCGATCGACATCCAGCAATTGAGAGAGGCCCCTCTCGATTCCCCGCGAGGGCCCTTTGTTGGCTGTCGCCCCCTCTCTCGTCCCTCTCCGACCTTCCTAGTTCTGCATCCGCCATGGATTCCTACTTCCCACTCCCCGGCCTGCAGCTGCCGTTCCAGCGCCGACTGAGCCGACTCTACAACGACACCAAGAAGTCGTCCGACTTTGTCAAGGAGCCCGTCCAGAATGCCGAGGACCCCGAGATCAAGGCCCTCCACCGCAAGCTGCGCATCCAGAAAGACCGCCTCGTCAGCTGGGGCCTCGAATGGTCCGACCCCAGCCAGTCGTCCGAGGTCCTGATCGACTCGTCGCTGTCGCGCGCCGGCCTGAGCGAAGTCGTCAGCAGCATCATGTCGACGATCAAGGAGACCCTTGCCGAGGTCGAGCCGCTGTGGCTGAGCTCCAAGCGTCTGGTGGGCAGCGGGGCTGCCGGAAGCGGTGGAAACGTGGGCGGCGGCGACAGCAAGGCCGCCGAGCTGTCCGCCGACCGCGACCGCAAGCTGCCCATTGTCACCTGGGACAAGGCACGCTTTGCCGACCTAGTGCGCGACCTGACCGTGTCGATTGACACTCTCTATGACTTGTCTCGCACGCGGTCGTCGGCGGCCACGGGTGGCGGTGGCGGTGGTGGTGGCAGCGGCCTCGGGAGTGATGTCAAGCACCCCGGCGGCCCCGGCAGCGTTCCCACGCATCACAGCCCCGTCAGCGGCAACATCCACAGCAGCAGCAACATCCACAGCAGCAGCAACAACAACAACAGCAACGCTCCCATTCTGGGGACCCCGGGCAACAAGCTGGCACTCGTCACGTCGGCGTCCTGGTCTCCCTCATCACCCAAGCAGCTCTCCATGCAACAGGCCCTGCAGCGCCACCTGCAGCAGCAGGGCCAGTCGCCCTCGACGATGATGCAGCAACTGACGAGCGACGAGGCCAAGCTGTTTGAGTCGTCGCGCATGCTCGTGCCCCAGCAGATCGACTCGGCCATGCTCACCAGCATCGAGTCCGGCACCCGCCCGCCCGAGGACCCCAAGGCCCGCGAGGTTGTCTTCATGAACAAGCAGGCGTACGCCGACCTCGTCCACCGCCCCGTGGGCCAATCCTACGCGCCCCTGCTGCTCGAATACGCCTACTTCGACCCCGTCTACTCGTCCACCGGCATCATGCCCTCCATGGCCCGCTTCGAGAAGCTGTCCGCGGGTCTGCAGGGCGAGGCCAGCCATATCAGCGGCAACCCGCGCCTGCTGGGCTACTTTGAGGACATGGACCACTCGCGCCTGGGGCTGGTCTACCAGTTCCCGCCCGGCTTCCACGCCATCGCCTCACCCCAGACCGCCTCGCAGTCGCCTGCCATGATGCGATCGTGCCTCTACTCACTCGGCGACCTGCTCGGCAGCCCCGGCGTCGAGCCGAAACTCGAGGCCAAGTTCCGCCTCGCCGCCAACCTGGCCAACGCCGTCTTTGAGCTGCATGCTAAGGGCATTGCTCACGGCAACCTGGTCGACTCGAGCATCCTCTTTGGCCGTGTCACCAACCCCGACGCCGGCCTGCCCTCCGCCGACGTGTCCCAGGTCGACATCCGCAGACCTGTGGTGTCCTCCTTTGACCTGTTTCCCGATACGCCCAACCCCGCGAGCCGCAGCGACATTAAGCGCCGCAGCTCGCGCCTGCACCAGCACCCGCTGAACCCTATTTCCTTTGCGCCGGGCGCGCCGCCTATTGTCGACGCCGACCCACGCGTGTTTGACCTGTACTCGCTGGCCATGCTCCTGCTGTCCATTGGCATGTGGACGCGCCTCGAGAACCTCGTGCCCCACCAGGACTCTGCCATGGTGTCCGAGGCCGTGCTCGACCAGCTGTCCACGCAGTGCGGCACGCTCTACATGAAGGCCGTGCAGACCTGCTGGACGGCCATGGAGCTCGTCGTCTCGGCCGGCAAGGCCGCCGGCGAGTCCCACCTGGCCCGCTTGCAGGTGCGCGCCAGCAGCTACCTCGAGGCCTGCTGCGTCCTCGACGATGTGGCCAAGCTCGAGGAGCGTCTGCGCAACGATTTGGGCGGGGACGACGACCTTGTTTCGTCCTCCGTCGCCAAGTCTACGACGAGCTCCTCGACCACGCCGATGCCGACGCCGGCGCAGACGCCGTTCACGCCACCCACCCTCGTCCACTCGCACTCGGCGCCACCGATGCCGCCACCCAAGATGTCTTCGCCGCACCCGGCACCTCTCACGACGCCATCGCAGCCGCCCGCCATGCGCACCCATCGCAGCCTTCTTTCCATGCCGCAGCGGGACCGCTTCCCTGATGAGTCGTTTAGCGACGCGAAGCCGCCGCCCGTGCCACCCAAGACGAGCGGCGCCGGTGGTGCCACTACGAGCCCGCTGGGCTTTGCGCTGCCGCGGCACCCGTCTGCTGCGACCGCCGGGTCTGCAGCACCCGGCGCCATGTCGCACATGTCGCATGCGGGCCATGTGGCCACGCAGCCATCTGCACCTGCACCTGCTCCTGCTGAGAAGAAGCGCATGCGGCTGTATCCGCAGGTTGCTCTGCCTGCGGATGTCGTCGAGAAGTGGCACACGTACCTCATGCCGCAGATCAACTACGTCCTGCGCCACTTTTACCGCAGCCACCCCGAATCCGTCGAGATTTCTCTCGAGTCCGTCGGCGACTCGCTGCGCAACACCCGCCCCACCGTCGTCGTCGTCTGCACGTCCGTGTCCAAGGTGCGCAGCATCCTGAAGCGCAAGATGGCCAACGTGTTTGAAGGCACCAACAGCGTCGGCCTCAAGGTGTGCACCGGCCGCGTGATGCGGTCGCGCAAGGATACGAGCAGCGGCAGCGGCCCTCGTGGCGCGGGCGCCGACAGCGATGTCGTGAAGCGTAGCGGCGCCGATATTCACTACAGCAGCGCCTCGGCGGCCAACACCCAGTTCCAGCAGAAGCCCGAGAACGGCGCCAGCATTGGCGCCTGGATCGGCGACCGGCACCTGCCGCCCGTCAGCTTTGGCGGCCTGGTCCTTGTCGACGACAAGCCGTTCGGCATGACTGTGCACCACATGCTGGACGACCCGGACGCGTCGAAGGAGGCGGCGGCCCGTGAAGGCCAAAAGGCCCTGCGTAGCAGTGGTGGCGCTGCGGTTGCACCCGCCGCTGCGGCCGCGACGACGGCCGACGCGGCCGGCGAGGGCGAGGGCGAGGATGAGCAGATTGAAGAACTCGGGCAGTCTGTTTTGGACTGGTACGCCGACATGCAAAAGGGCGGCGGCTCCGGCGCTGCCCACTCGAGCGGCGGCAGCGACGTCGACGTCGACGTCGACGACGACGACGAAGACGAAGACGACTATGCCTGCGAATTTAGCGACACGAGCTCGGCCGTGTCCGAGTCCGACATTACGAGCGAGTGGTCGGACAGCGACAACGAGGACTACGACGACCCACGCCGCCGCCGCCAACGCGACGACGATGACGACTACGCTGCCAAGGCGGACGACGAGACGGACGAGCCCGGCGACACGCCCGGCGTCGAGCCCGGCTATGGTGAGGGCTACATTGTCACGCAGCCCGCGCTCGACGACGTTGACGGCAACTTTTATCCCGACGAGGCGACGCAGGACGACGACCACCTGGATTCCTGCGGCCTCGGGGACGTGTATGCGTCGAGCGGTGTGCGCCGTCGCGTCGACGAGCACGGCCTCGTGCACGAGATTGACTGGGCCCTCTTTGAATTCAAGGAGGACCGCCAGCCGCCCGCCAATTCGATTCCGCACCTGCCTCTCGGCGGCGAGGCCGCGCCCGCCCTGTCGGACGTGTCGTCCTCGGGCATCCTGCGGCCGACGACCGTGGCACCCGCGTCGGCGCTTCCGGGCCTGGACGTGCAGTGCATCGCGCGCACGTCCGGCCTGCAGACCGGCCGCATCCTGCCGACCATTACGTCGGTCAAGATCTACGGGCGCACGTCGCCGTCGCACACGTACCAGATTGCGGCCGCGGGCGGGCCGTCGTCGAGCGCGCGCCACGCGCAGACGACCCCCCGCTCCCCCTCGCCCTCGCCCATTGGCATCCCCGGCGACAGCGGCGCATGGATCGTCGAGCGCGAGCACGGCCGCCTCTGCGGGCACGTCCTGGCGTGGAGCGCGCGCAAGCGCGTCGCCTACCTGTGTCCCATGGACGTGCTGCTGCTCGACATTGCCGAGACGCTCGAGGCCGGCGAAGTGCGCCTGCCGGGCGGCGACGCCATTGTCAAGATTATGGACCCCGAGGAGCGGCGCACCAAGGAGACGGCGGCGTTGCCCAACGTCTCGACCGCGACGTACGCGAACAACAGCATGCGCGGTGGTGGCGGCGCCGGTGCTGCGGCGTACAGCAGCCAAGGTATGGCCAGCGGCTCGGGCCGCCCGACGCTCAACACGTCCCTCAGAACGTCGTCGCTCAGCCTGCACGAGTCCTGGCCGACGGAGCCGTCGCCCGACGTGCCGATCCTGCAGGGCGAACGCGAACACCAACACGAACACGACATGGTGCCCCTGGACCCGGTCGACGAAGGGTTCCAGGATAGCGACGTGGTGACGGTCGCGGGCAGTGCCATCAGCCGCAGCAGCCGGACCAGCAGCAACCCGGGTGCGGTCGACAGCCAGAACCCGCGGTGGCAGGAGTCGACCAAGATCATGGAGATGGTGGGCAGCATGGGCAAGGTGCGCCTGGACAGCAGCAAAGACGTGCAGGCGCCCTGCTAGGGGGACAACGGACGCCACGCCGTGCAACGGCCACGACACGATTTGTATCTTTTCTTTTTGTGTGTTTTCTCTTTGTCTCTTTTCGGTTATAGCGCATTGATACCACGGGCAAGGCAAGTTGATTTTGTATCCACACGGCGTATGCAACTGGATTTGGTACCGAGTTTGGGTACCTGGCAGGGAGCTCTTGGCTTTAGAATCAAAACTTTATATAGCTTGAACGATCTTCTTTGACAATATTTTTTACACACCTGCACATTCACGTATAATAGACTGAAGTGTAAAAAACAACTCGTTTTCATTAGCCGCCAACGTAACGAGGCGGCACGACTTTAAGCAAAGAAATCACGGGGAATATTGTACACATTAAATCATTGACGCTTTTGGGCGCTGTTTGCTCGTTCGCCCTCTTTCCCTTTCTCTCCGTCGTAGGGTTTTGCTTTTGTTGCTCCGCACCATTCCCGCCTACAGCATCATGAAGGCGCTGCCAAACATGGCCGCCAGGACAACGCCCGCCACGCTGCCCAGCGGTAGAGAACCGCCGACGCGGCCGGGCGCCGCGTTCTTGGTGGACGAGCCGGTGCTGCCGGTGCCGGTGGTCGTGGGCGTGGAGCCGCTCGAACCCGTGCCCGAGGCGGACGCGTCGCCCGCCGAGTCGTTGCCGGCCGCCAGCGGCGCCAGGTTCGCGTCCGTCACAAACGACGCCGTCACGCCCGAGCTGTTGGTGCAGGTCGACTGGTTCTGGGTGGCGGCGCCCGCCACAAAGTTGACGGACGCGCACTGGTACAGCAGACCATCGGGCGCATCGACCACGATGCCGAGGACACCCTTCTTGCCGGCCCAGCTCTCGGGCACGGCAATGGCGGGCTGGCAGAACTTGCCGAGGCCCGTCTGCAGGGTCTCCGGGTGCAGCTGCGTCCAGTTGTTGCCGGTGGCGGTCTGGTCGAGGGTGGCGCGGTACAGCCAGGTGCCCTGGGGGTGGAGCAGGTTGATGGCGACGTTGTCGCCGCCGACATGGAAGTCGGTGACGTTGTCCTTGGAGAAGTCGGGGGTGAAGGAGCCGCAGGGGCCGATGCTCTCCTTGTCGTCGTTGAAGCCAATGGTGGGCGGATAGTCGAGCGTAAAGTGTGCGCTGACGACGGCCGAGGCAGCGAGCAGGAGAGCGGCAGACGCGAGAGGAGCCATTGTGAGGATGTGCGGTGGCAGCGAGAAGAAGAGTGTGGTGGCAGAGAGGAAGACGAGTAGTTGCAGAGCAGAAAAGATGGTGGGCAGAGGGTTGTAGCAGATTGCGTGTGTGAGGCAGCGGGAGGGTTGGGTTTTCAATAAAAACGGAAAGAGGCAGAGAAGCAGGATGGCAGGTACAAGAAGATCCGATGTGCCAAGACACGGCTTCTTATAGGACAAAGAGGTACGCAATGAGAGGCGAGGAGAAACGGCAAAAAGGGCAAGAGCAGGGCCCGAGCTATGCACAATGAACACACGGAGGAAGGAGCTTACATGGAGCTCGGCTGGAGGAGGGGGAAGCGACCAGGGGCAAGGTGTGGAGTTCCGTGAGGGAAAGAGCGTTTGGGGGGTGGTATTAGTTGTCAGCTACAGATTTACGTCGCTTGGCCTGAGTGCTTTCCGCGCTGGTTAGACATTAATTAGGGCACGTTGCTTGGTGGCGCTTCCCGTGAGTGCAGTGAATAGGTGCGTGGCGGCGCCGCTAGGATATGGAAAGTGGAAAAGATGGTACGAAGCAGTTTCCGCATGGGACCGGCGTGTGGACCCTGTGAGGGTGTTTCTTGGTGTTTCTTGTCCGGCGCCTGCCTCAATTTGATACTTTGATACACCCAAGAAGCACTTTCTGACCGATGCTCGACGTGAGCGTGTTTGCGATTCGGCTCCCAGGTCGGCTAGCTGGCTGGTTCTGGAGCATCAATGCTAGCTGCGACCCCATCTCGTTTATCTCTGCCCGTATCGTGGGCCAGGCCGTGTTAAATATGTCAAACAACGTGCTCTTGCAAGGCTGGATCTGCAACTCGAGGACCACTTTGGGCAGATCAACGACATGAGGCCAGGAACGCAAACGTTCTAGAAAGAACACGGAGAGCGAACCACGCTGATGGGCGCAATGTCTCGTCAACACGCAGATACCGTCTGTCGTACGTTGTATTTCAGTTGTCTGCAGCCCATACCGCCTCTCTCCGTGCTCGTGCCCGTTCCATGTCCCTGGTTGAGCGGCCAAGACACTATGGGAGGCCTGCAGGAGGGCTGGATGGCCACGGGCGCCTTTAATTGCCTCTGCTACATCTACGTAGACTGCAGTGTTGCGCGGCGGTGCGGCGTTGGTGATGCCGATTAGCAATTATCACCAAGTTGGCCTGTTTCGACAGGCTGACCGAAAATGGCAAGAACATGAGCACTTACACGCTACGATGTACATGTTGGCGCTCCACTCTGTCTGCACATTGGCTGCATGGTCGCTCTTGCCGCCCCTCCATGTGAGCAAGTTCCTGACAACGAGGCCCTCGAGCCCCTCCCAACCCAAAACCCCCCCAATGCCTCGCCAAGCCAATTGCAGGCTCTGCCGTTGACAGTTATGTGGGTCTTGGCGCTGGAGAAGGGGAAGGCACAGCGTCGCAGTTTGGCAGGAGCTGCAGGCCATGCGCAACTTTGAGCAAGTTGTGGCGTCCTAATCCGTCCTAGCCGGTCCAAGCGGCCGGCAGTAGTGAGAAGGATTTTTAAGCCTTTGATCGATTTCCTCTGGCCACAAAAAGACGTAAAGACGTCAACACTGGAATATTGTCGTCTGTTCTGAGCAGAGTCGTCTGGCGAGGACGGACGACCAGTTGGCAGGCGTCGGTCCCGCCTTCCATTTTGGTTCACCTCACGCTCGTTGACTCTGACAAAAGCATGCTCACGTCGCCCGTCGGTTGGTCTTTCCTTGTACTCGTAGTCCTCGTCGTATCTCCTGCCGTCTTGGTGTGCATGTTCGTGCCGCTCTTTCCTCTTCCCGTGGCACACCAAGCCCTTCCTCTCCTCTAGTGCTGTAGTCCGTTTCTGCCGTTGTTTTCGTCGTGGCTCTTCCCCGTCTCTCCCATTTTTCTTTTGAGTTATTTCAAACCCCAACCAGAAAGTCAACGCCTCCGGTCCCCTGGTCTTGATCATTGTCTTTGGTCTCTGTCGTCAGCTCTCACCATACACCGGATGCAACGGCAACGAGCACACGGTGGACGATACCAGAGACATCACCAACCAGCGCCTCTCCCGCCATAACCAGAACTTCCATCTCCGTCTCCTCTGTCTCTTCCCTGTGTCACTGCAACGTCGATCGCAGTGGCCACGGCCTTGCTCCTCTCCTCCTCGTCTCTGTCTTTGCTTGGCCATCTCTCTTTGCTTGGCCATCTCTCTTTGCTTGGCCATCTCTCTTTGCTTGGCCATCTCTCTTTGCTTGGCCATCTCTCTTTGCTTGGCCATCTCTCTTTGCTTGGCCATCTCTCTTTGCTTGGCCAGACTCTCTCTGTCCCTTCTCCGTCCCCTCTCCTCCAACTTGACGGACCGCCCCCGCGTTGCCCATCGCCAAGCCGACCCCATAAACTTGCGCGCGCTCGTTTTATCGTCTCACTTATTTTTATTCGATCTTCACTCCCTCTCAAGACGTTGCTGTCCTGGTTTCGTTCCTGCACTGTTTCGGCTTCCGTGCTTTCCGGCTGTGGTATTTTTGCAACGTCGTTGCAGATTCTCTTGTCTTGTCGTACAGAGTCCTGTCATACACACGTTGTCTCTGGCCGTGGATCTCGTCAGTTTCCTTTTCTGGCCACTGGTCCTACCACATCCCATCCGACCTATACTACACAGACCGACGTCTGTCCTTCACATCCACAGAGCCAACGACGTCTGCATTTCTCCGTTCGTACATTTTATTTATTTTTACACCGACTGGGCCCTTCGTTCTGTACCACCACGTACTTGCATCGGACAATATTGGCCATCCAACATCTGCCATCGACACCCCCACATCATCGCCACCCGAGACCGACACCTACATCGACATAGATGTTGACCGGATCAACATTGTCACCATCGCCTTGAACATCGACGCCTCAACATCAGTTTCCTTCTCCCGCTTCACCCCCGTGGCCACGCCACACCCGCCGCAATCATGGACATGATGATGATGGGCACCAACATGTTCCAGACGACCAACATGGCGCTGGCCCGGACGTACTGGTACATTGTCGCTGCCGTCGTCGGCGCCTTTGTCGTCGTCCGGATTGTCAACTACTACGACAGCTGGGTCCGCCTGCGCGCCCGGTCGTCCTCGTCTCGCGAGTACCCGACAAAACCCATGTCCGCCTTTTTGCAGACGTGGGCCACCCTGACCGCCGTCTTCCGCGAGATGAGCTACCCGCAGCTCTACGTCCCGCTCCGCTACTTCACCTGGCTGACCCCGCCGCCGCTTGGCCGCGTCCTCATGCTGCTCGTCTACTGGGGCATCATCGTCGGCTTCATGTGCGCCGGCTCCATCATCAAGGACGTCAATTTTTGGGAGCGCATCGGCTTCCGCAACGCCTGGGTCACCGTCACCCAGCTGCCCCTGCTCTACCTGCTCGCCGGCAAGTCGTCCGTCATCGCCATGCTCACCGGCTCCTCGCACGAGCGCCTCAACTGGGCCCACCGCTGGATCGCCCGCACCATGTTCGTGACGGCGTCCGTCCACGGCTGGCACTTTTACAACGAATACGCCAAGGCCGGCATGACGAGCATCTTCTTTCAGGTCATGCCCATGGGCAAGTATGGCATGGCCGCCTGGGGTCTGCTGCTGTGGTCCTTTGTCGTCGGCATGGCGCCGCTGCGCCATCTCTGCTACGAAGTCTTTGTCCTCCAGCACATTGTCACGGCCGTTGTGCTGCTCTGGGTGGTCTACCAGCACGTGCCCGCCTATGCCAGGTACAACGTGTGGTTCGCCATTGCCGCGCTCGCCTTTGACCGCGTCGTCCGCTTCGCCATGCTCCTGTGGCAGAACATCAAGGTGCGCTCCCCAAATCGGTCCCGCTGCAAGGGCGGTCAACGCATCGGCCACGAGGCCCAGATTCGTGCCGTAGGCGACGACATTACCATTGTCACCATCAAGGACGTGCATTTTACATGGCGGGCCGGCCAGCATTTGTACCTGTGGATGCCCTGGATCGGCCCCCTCGAACAGCACCCCTTCACAATTGCCTGCGCCCACCAGCTGCCCGACACGTGCATCTGCAACAGCATCCAGTTGGTGGTGCGCAAGCATGGCGGATTCTCGAAGCGGCTGCACGACCGCGCAGTGAAGCTGCAGCAGGCGCATGGCCCGGGAAATGGCAGCAGCAGCAGCCGGGCCAGCACGTTTACGGCCTTTGTCACAGGACCCTATGGCGAGCCGGCTCGCTGGGACATTTACGAGACCCTGGTGCTCATCTCGGCATCGACGGGTGCCTCCTTCACGCTGCCCATTCTCGAGAGTGTGCTGCAGGCCGACCATAATGCCATCTGCACCAAGCGCATCGACTTTTTGCTCGCGGCCAAGAAGGGCGACGAGATTGGTTACTATGTGCAACGATTGCATGAGCTCATCGACAAGGCCAAGACCTCGGGCATCGAACTGACCGTCAGCATTGCCGTCACGCAAGACGCCAAGTCGCTGCCCGCACTTCTCCGTCGCGCGTCCGATGCACCGGCTCGGCTCACCGCCGCGGCCGACGATGCCGCTCCGCTGCGGGAGAACGAGAAGGGCTACAGCTCGTCGTCGTCCCTTGCCGCTACGTCCGCCGTCCCCGACGAGCAGGAGCCTGTCGCCACCTCATCCTGCTGCATGGCCAAGGAGGCGGATGTGGAGAAGTCGGCGCAGGTCATCACGCCAGCGGCTGGACCCGATGCCGACGCCGACGCCGACGCCGACGCCCCTGCCACAGTCACAACACGCCACCGACCCAGCAGCGTCGCGAGCGACGACTCGCATGTGCAGCAAATGACGACCCGCCCCGACATTGCCGCCTTTATCCGCAATGCCGTCGAGACCACGGGCGGCGAGACCTCGGTCGTCGTCTGTGGCGGCAAGTCGCTGGTGGCGCGCGCGCGGAACTGTGTGGCCAAGCTGTCGGACGAGCGGGCCGTCCACAAGGGCACCGACGCGCAAGGCATTCACCTGCATGTGGAGGAGTACGGCTTCTAGTCGTCGTCTTGTGCCCATTGTTTTTCTTGTTTCTTTGATTTTGATTTGAATGCTCGTTTCGAAAACGACGATATGACTTGCCACGTGTGTAGTTGGATTCCCCTTTGGTGTTCTGCCGGCCCTGTAACGGATATATTCGAGCCTTTTCACAGCTCATCATGACACAAATAGCGACTTACTTTAATTTGAACTCTTGAATTTACCAAAAACCGTTGCAAATATTCATCCCAGCATTGGCACTGATATCAACAAACCTTCAAAGACCACCTCTTCGACCCGATTAGGCAATTCTCTTACACTGGGGCTTTTTAGAGAAGATAAGGCGCCAAAGGCGGGGTCGCGCTTTTCTCGTAGTCTTCTTTACAGTGTTTCAGGCCGGTAGAAATATTTGTCCGGCAGCCGGTTCAGCGCCGTTTAGGACGCTGCAAGCAGTAAGGCGGGACAGGCGCTGAATGGTAAACACTAACGAAAGCTATGGCTCCAACGGCAAGAGCCATTGAGTCAGTCGCAGCCAAACAAGGAAGGAACGAGAGCTAACGAAGCAAAAGAGGCTAAAAAAGTCGACTCTATTTTTTTTTCTGGTGATAACGACGAGCCGAACAAACCGGATCACAACTGCTACGACTGCCAACCAAGGCCAGGCTCTTCCTCCTCGACTCTCTCTCTTTATGCCACCCTCGTCTGCACCGTTTTCTGTGCTGACTGCTGCCCTCCGCCGCCCGACCTATCTCTTGTCTCGAGCAGCTCGCCCATTTCAGCATCGATCGCGTCTGGTGACATCTCTCCCCGTCCGGCGCTTCCTTTCGACTTCTCCGGCGCCGCCTCCTCCTCCTGCTGCTCCATCCCGTCACCGCGTCCGCACACTGACTCCAATGGCCGCCGCTGCCGTCGACCAGCTCGCCAGCCTCGTCGAGGGCTTCGACCTGCACGAGGCCGAGAGCAAGTACCCCAACTGCCACCCGGACACCAACCCCTTCGACCTCTACCGCGCCCACCTCACCAATGTCCTCACAAAAGTCACTGGCGTCGACGCGAGCCTCGTCTACCCGGCGCTGCAGTGGACCACGGGCCTCGACAAGGGCGACCTGATCCTGGCCACGCCCGCGCTCCGCGTCAAGGGCAAGAAGCCCGACGCGCTGGCCGCCGAGTGGGTGGCGGCCTTCCCGCCCAACGACCCGCTCGTCGAGGCGCCGACGGTCAATGGCTACTTTGTGCAGTTCTTCTTCAAGCCGGCGCCGCTGCTGCGGTACACGCTGCCGCTGATCCGCGCGCAGGGCAAGGAGTTTGGCAACAACCGGACGCTGGGCCTCCAGGACCCCGCGGACCCGAGCAAGGGCCAGAAGCGCATCGTCATCGAGTTCTCGAGCCCCAACATTGCGAAGCCCTTCCACGCGGGCCACCTGCGGAGCACCATCATCGGCGGCTTCCTGGCCAACCTGTACGCCAACGCCGGCTGGGACGTCGTGCGCATCAACTACCTGGGCGACTGGGGCAAGCAGTACGGCCTGCTGGCGCTGTCGTTTGACCGGTACGGCGACGAGGCGGCCCTCGAGCGCGACCCCATCAACCACCTGTACGAGCTGTACGTCGCCATCAACAAGGAGCTCGCGGCCGAGAAGGAGCAGATCGAGGCGCTGAAGAAGGCGGGCCAGACGGCGGAGGCGCAGCAGCTGGCCGACGCGGGGCTCGACGAGCAGGCCCGCCAGTACTTCCGCAAGATGACCGACGGCGACGACAAGGCCGTGGCCCAGTGGCGCCGGTTCCGCGACATGTCCATTGTGCGCTACAAGGACACGTACGCCCGCCTCAACATTGTCTTTGACAGCTACAGCGGCGAGTCCCAGGTGCCCGAGGCCGCCATGGCCGCGTCTGCGCAGCGCATGGCCGACCTGCACATCACCGAGGAGTCCGACGGCGCCCTCATTGTCGACTTTGCCAAGCACGTCCCCGGCAAGGAGGGCAAGCGCCTGGAGCGCCCGCTCGTGCGCAAGCGCGACGGCACCGCGCTGTACCTGACGCGCGACATCAGCGAGCTGCTCGGCCGCGCGGAGCGCTACCACTTTGACAAGATGATCTACGTCGTCGCCTCCGCGCAGGACCTGCATCTCAAGCAGCTCTTCAAGATTGTCGAGCTCATGGGCGACAAGGCCATCGCCGACAAGTGCCAGCACGTCAACTTTGGCCTCGTGCTCGGCATGAGCACCCGCAAGGGCACCGTCAAGTTCCTCGACGACATCTTGCGCGACGTCGCCGACAAGATGCACGAGGTCATGCGCGCCAACGACGCCAAGTACCAGCAGGTCGAGGACCCCGCGGCCACCGCCGACATCCTCGGCATCTCGGCCGTCATGGTCCAGGACATGACCGGCAAGCGCATCAACAACTACACCTTTGACATGGACAAGATGACCTCCTTTGAGGGCGACACCGGCCCCTACCTGCAGTACGCCCACGCCCGCGTCTGCTCCATTGAGCGCCGCGCCAACCTGTCCGACGCCGACCTCGCCTCCGCCGACACATCGCTGCTCACCGAGCCGCACGCCGTCAACATTGTGCGCCTGCTAGCGCAGTGGCCCGACGTCGTCCAGAACACGCTTAAGACGCTGGAGCCGACCACCGTGCTCACCTACCTCTTCAAGATGACGCACGCGCTGAGCTCGTCGTACGACCACCTGCAGGTCGTGGGCAGCGAGCCCGAGCTGATGAAGGCCCGCATGGCCCTGTACGTGTCGGCGCGCATCGTCCTCAACAACGGCATGCGCCTCCTGGGCCTGAACCCCGTTGACCGGATGTAAGGCGGCGGAGGGGAAAGAAGAGGAGGCAACGGAATGTGCTATATGCTATTGGATTTTGGAGATACTCGGACGTATTTTACGTAATGAATGAAAAATTGAACGAATACAAGGGGAGCTCATATGTCTCACTCGGCACGAAGTTTCATGGACCACATTGTTTATTTCACGTGCGGGCATATCAATATCAAAACAATATAAAACGTTTACAAATGGATTTACGTCGTACATAGTAGTCGACTGTTGAAAAAAGGACAACTCACCTTACGTGCAGCTCGTTTAATGGACATGGCACTCACCTTGGACATCACTTCTTACGAAAGATGCCCTCAATGCGTGACTTTGCGTCCCTGTGAGGCTGCATACGTCCGACCGCACCGATCAAGTTGCTGTACGCACGCTTCGGCTGCGGCTCCTCGGGCTTGTTCACCTCTGCAAACAGCTGCTCGGCCTCGGCCGCGCCGGCGCCGAAATTGCCGTCTGCGAGACGCTCCTCGATCAAGCGGACCAGCTCTGCTGCCGGCGGCCGCACATACGGCTCGTACGCCGCGCACCGCATCACCAGCTCGCGCAGCCGCCACTCGTACAGCCGCGACGGTGCCGGCACTTGCTGCTTGCGGCCGCCTGCTTGGCTGGCCCACGTCTCGGCGCGCAGCGATTCGTGGTCGAGCATCCACGCTATGGTCGCGATCATACGGACGCCTTGGGGAGCAACCTTGGTGTCGTTGGCCACTTGTACAACCCGGTCAAACTCGGCTTGGTTGTCGAGGAATCGTGGGAACGCAGGGTGCCGCCAGTCGCGCACGGGGACAAACCCGGCGTGGGGGGCACTGTGGAAGCTCTTGCGCAGCATGAGCCCCTGCATGATGAGGGCCATCTGGTAGATGTTGGTCTTTTCGTCGTACTGCCCTGCGATCTGGGCCCCGGCGGCGCTTGGCCGGTCGGTGACAGCCTCCCACTCGGCTGTCCACTGCTCGGGCGTACAGTAGCTGGGCTTGCCACAGAAGCGATATTTCCAAGTAAAATTTGTCTCATCAAGGTCCACCTTGGATCCATCAACGGCAAGGCCAAAGTCCGCGACCTTGAGCTTCGGAATGCGAGCGTTGGCACAGACTTTGCCGCAGCCGTCGTTGGACGCGTCCACGAGGACGTTGCTCGGGTCGAGGTCGAAATGCACAATGTTGTGTACCTCGGAGACTGACGATGTCGCTGGCACGTTGCTGCTGTTGCCATTATTACCTGTGACCGCAGCGTTGTGCTGTGCCGTCGTACCAACGTGCAGCGCATATGGATCAAGATCGGCCTCGACAGGCAGGTCCTTGGGCTGGCAGGCGGTGGGATACTTCATGGCCAGGCAAGCCTTGGCGAGGCAGAGCAGCAGATGCCAACAAACTTCGTTGGAGAAGCCCAGGCCCAGCTGCTCCGCCTTGGCGATCCAGTGGTCGAGCGAACCAAAAGGTAGATACTCTAGAATCATGACGTCCTTGGCGTTTTGGACCATGTCCTTGACGGTGGCGTCGTCTTGGGGCTTCGGGCACACTGCTGGGTCGTCGGGCATCACGCCCTCGACAGCCTCTGTCTCGTAGCCACCGGGCAGGGCCCGCAGCTCGTCAACGCTGAGCATCTGGACAATGTGAGGGGCGCCGTGTAGCAAGCGCGTCACGTTTTTCTCGTGCTCCATCTGGTCGTGCCCGTTGTCCTCCGACAAGGAGACCTTGGCGACGCACTTGTTGTAGAGGCCTGTCACGCTGTTTGCCGTCTCGAAAAGCGCTGCCATGCCCATACCGCCGCAGGAGAGAACACGACGAAAGCGGATGCCCGCTCGGAACAGACGGCGGGCAACAAGGTTGATTGTTTTCTGCACGTCTCCCCGTCTCTTCGTATTAAGGTCGGACATGGAATAGCGCTTGTTGGTGCGATAGTCCTGGGCCTTCATCTCCTTGATAAAGTGGTTCATATGCTCTTTGGTTTTGAATTCATAGACCTTGTGAGCGACCTTCCCGCGGTCTTGTATCATAGGGTGTGGCACGTTGTCGAGGATGGCTCGCGGGAATTTCGACCTCATGTCTCTGGCATAGATGTTGCCCCTGCGGTAGGCGGCAAAGGCTAGGTTGATCCTTTTCTGATAATCGCGCAGCTTCTTGAGCTCCTCCGTGTCGCGGTTCATTTTGCTAAAGCGGTGAAAAAGGAGAGAAAATAAAGGGGGAATATAGAATATGGATGGGGTAATTTAGTAGAGAAAAACAGTATCTCAGAACAAAAATAAGAAAGTTGAATGTGCAAAGTAGAAATAAATGTGGTATATCTCGCCAGGAGATGTGAAGTGAAGGTTGAATAAGAAAATAAAGGTCGATCGTTTGACGGCTTTTTCTCATCATATTCGAATGCAAAAAGGCAGACGGCTGTGTTTTATACGAAAATAGGAATCTCACGAACAGAAGGGGAGACCTGCAACAAATGGCGAAAAGTACAAAGAAACAGAGGCTGTGTGCGGCAGAACAACAAAGACTTGTGGACAAAAACAAAGTGACAAGCGTTTTGTTATTAGACATGTTCAAAATAAAAGGCTGCGCACGAGTTCTGTGAGAGACAATGCATACAATGGAATAGAGCGCAGGGTGTGTAAAGGAAGTATTATGCATAAAGTTGAAGAACAAAGCACTGTTTCATTTGTCCAAAATCCAAAGTGTATTTTTGTTGTAACAAAGGTGTATGTTCATTCGGCACTTCACCATTGTCGGCCCTACACCATCTGAATATTGTCGTTCCGCTTCAACATGGCTTCATATGCTGGCGTCGGTATGAAGCTGCTTTCGACATTCCACTGCACGAGCGTCCGCCGCGACGGCACCGCACCTGGCCCGTTGTCGCCCAACATGACCAGGTACAACACATGCCGGAATCGCCCGTTACCCATGTCGCGCGTAAGTCGTTGCACGACCACAAAGTCAACAACGCCCGGAGGGAGCGATGTCGGGTGCCGCTCGTCGTTTTGCGTGAGCATGCCAATGGGCTCATCGGGCTTGCCGGGCACAAATGCCGTGCTGAAGGGCGCCGTCTGGATGTCGAAGCGCACCGTCCAGCCGGCCACAGTGAGCGTCTGGTCCTGGATATCGACAAACTCTATGCAAAGGTCGAGCGCCATCTCCTTGCGGGCCATATCCTCGCGCACGCGTTCCGTCTTTTCCGCCGTCGGCAGCAGGTTGTCGGGAAGCAGATACGAGACCTCGCCCTCCCAGCCAACGAATGACCATGAAGGGAAGGCCGAGCGACGTCGAGGGGGCTTTGGTTTGACGTTGCCCGTACCGGAGCTGGCGCTGTGACACCACATGAGCGACACGGGGAAGTCCTGCAGCGGTAGGCCCCATACAAATTCGCTTAGATCGGCCATGCGGCGTAGGAAGCTGAGCATCCCGAGACAGGCATTGAGAGAGTCGCGGTCATATACCATCTTGCGGGCCGTGTAATCACTGATGCAGCTGGCAAACTGGGTGGCGGCCATCTGACGGCGACGAGCGGGGGTTGGCCCGGCGCCAGTCTTCTTGCCGGTGCTGCTTCCACTTCCAAGGGCACGGCTACGTGAAAGTTCTCGTAAATACTCTCCACTCTCTTCCTCGCCTGATGCCAGCAGATCCAGAACATGGGCCGGGTCATTAGTCTCGTCGACCGTCTCCTGCAAAATCACATTCTGGCAACGATAGTGTACCTGGTCCTGCCCGAAAATGATCAGGCGCTGGCTCAGGTATTCCTCTTGCAAAGTCCATGCGCGAGTCCGGTGCGTGCACGTCGGGTACTCCCACTCGGCCGTCATCGTCGGGTACATGGCGGACAATTCGTAGGCCGATCCACCGCCCTTGGTGTCGACAATTGTTTCCCGCGGCTGGGCCGTGCGAGCGCGCGCCTGTGTTGTGCCCCGTAGGCCAAAGAGAGAGCTGTCGCCGTAGAAGGCGACTAGCGTTGCGTAGGCACCAGCATAGATACGGTCCATAATGCTCAGCTGCTGTATTTTTACGGGTGAGGATGGGTCCTGGTCGATGCAAAGTGCGTCGATCCAGAGGTAACGGAAGCCCAGCTGCTTGGTGGCCTCCATGGCATCGGTAATGGTCGCGGGCAGCGTGCCCTTCTTCAGCGCGTCCGGTTCGGGAACGATGGGGCCCCATACGTAGCTGAGTGCCAGGTACTCACAATTCGGCGGACAGGGGACGATAGTCATCGTCTGTACATCGATCATGCTTGTTGTAAGGAGCTCGTCGACCCACACATTTTTACAGTCAGGGTGCTCGGCATCGCAGCGGCGAAGCCAGGATCGAATTGTCTTGAAATCGACGACAGGATCCCGCACCCGTATAGGCAGTCCGCTTCTGGTAGTTGAGGGCGGTGATGGCCCTGACGATGGCAAGCTCGGGTGGCCCACGATACCAATCGATGTATCGTACTTGAACCGGTAGTCTGCGGTGGCCAAGAGCTCCACAGCCTGCCTGCTGACCATGGGCTTCGCGATAATGGAAATGGACACCGTGTACTGCTCGTACAGGTGCGCCTTCTTCTCGCCTTTCAAGGACCCTCCGAGCCGGTTGTATGTTCGTAGCGGTTTGAGGAGATACTCGTCTGAAGGCTCAATGTTTGTGTCTTCCGGCGGGAAGATGCTGAACAGCAGCCGGCACAGTGGGCAGCTGTCGACGAACTCGATGCTGCGGTACGGGCCCAGACTGCGGTACAGCTGATAGTTGTCAATGGCCAACTCAAAGTCGCTCGTGAGCTCGTCCTGCACATCCTCGCGCAGCAAGAGGTCGAGCAGCCGGAGGCCATCGCAGCGGTCGCAGAGCGTGTCGGACTGTTTCTGGGTACTCTTTGGAGGGAAGGACAGGATTGCTTTAGGGCCCGGCTTGTTGGTGCCTCGAGGCTGCTTGCCATCGGGGCAGTCAGCCGTCTTGTGGCCGGCCTGGTGGCACAGCAAGCAGAGGAACGCCATCATAAAGTTGAATGAGGGGCAAAACGACGCGACTCAAGGCAACTGTGCAATCGTGGTAGTTGTCCCCCTATTTATATTAAGCCACCCTCTCCTCAGCCTTGTCGAGAGATTCAGACTCCCAAGCAACACAGCCACGTCGGAGATATTGGACAAAACGCAACGTTGTGGAGCATTGCGATCCTGCAGGCCGGTTCCCCTCTTCATGCAAAGATTGATAGGAGAAGCGCCACCAACGCCTAAACGGACCCTTGTTCTGCATGCACCGGCAATCCTTCGATACAGAGGCACATAATCGGGCATTTTTGGCTTTCGTGGTTTAGTTTTTTCTCGCAAATCGATGGCCTGTTGAATTGTTTCTTCGTGGTCGACCTCGTGTCTGTGTCACAAAATAGATTAGTATGATGAACGATGAACATACAACACCAGGGGTGTGTCATACATCGGATTGTTTACCTTTCACGTGTGTGGTGTGGTAGCAACTTTATGGTATGAAAAGGAGTTGGTATGAAAAGAGATGGAAAATACGAATGTAAAAGGGGCCCATTTGACAAATACAAGGTGTATCACAGTAGAGGAAGGTGCGGCGCGTGAAATTTCAACGTTCTGAGAAGGAGCGCTTCGTCGGTTTCAGTTAACCGTACGCACCTGCCCTTTTCCACTCTTTCACTGCAATTCCAGGTCCAGTATGAGATTCTATTGTATTGTAAAATTTCCCATTTGCTATATGTGTGTAATGAGATCGCAAGGCCTGTGATCGATCCAAAATGTATGCAGTAGTGCCGAACATGCCAATGCTCCCCTCGTTCGTTCACGTGTCTCCATTCAATGACGCCAAGTGTATAAACAAAAATGCAGTGCAGAATCAGTCATAAGAAGAGGGTTCTCGGTCGGGAAGAGTCTCTTCCGGAATCGAGTGGTAGCCACCTGACACGGCTCATGTCCGCATCGCATCCGGACTGAGGTCCTTCTCGACCATGGCCTTGCAGATGGGGTGGTAAAAGTCGCGGTTCTTCTCAAAGGTGGCCAGGGCCAGCGGGCGGTCGACCTGGTTGAGGGCGCGGTACAGCGACCGCACAAACTTCATGCGGCCAACGGTGCCGAGCAGGTCGGCGGTGCCTTGGTAGGTACTCTTGTCCTGGGCGCGCAGGGAGACCACGTAGTAGGCCGCCTTGACCTCGACGTTTTGCGTGTCGACCAAGCCGTAGGCGGCGCCCATCCGCTGGGACTGGTCTGCGGTAATCGGCTCGGTGAAGCTCTGGATCTCGCCCAAAAAGACGATGACTTGGTTGGCCGTCCAGCCCCCAACGTCCTTGGGCGAGGGCACAAAGTCCTTGGCCTTCCACTGCTCGGCAAGCTGGTAGCAGACATCGATGAGCGAGGTGTCGAACTGGGGCTTGGGCGGCAGGCCGGGCGTGTGGAAGCGGCCCTCCCAGTCGATGCCGGCCACGGCGTCCTTGAGACTGGCAAACTCGGGCTTCGCAAAGAATTCGAGGAACGTGTCGCGGAACTCGTACGAGTCGAGCGACTTGCCGCTCCACTTGGTAAAGTAGTACGGGATGAACTTGTCAAAGTTGGCACGGCCGACGAGGCGCTCGAGGTAGTAGACCATGTGGAAGCCCTTCTCGTAGGGCACGGTGCTGAACGCGTCGTCCGGGTCGATGCCGTCGTGGTTGATGAGCAGCTTGGTGTAGTCGTGCGAGGGGCCAAAGCTCTGGACGGCGCCCTCGAGGGCTTTCCAGCCGATGACGGCGGAAAAGTCAAAGTAGGCGTCGCCGTGGATGGCGGCGACAATGCGGCGCTCCAGGTACACGGTCCAGCCCTCGTTGAGCCAGTAGTGTTCCCAGCTGCTGCTGGTGACCAAGTTGCCGCTCCAGCTGTGGCTCAGCTCGTGCGCAATGACATCCACGTTCTGGCGGTCGCCGCTGATAATGGTCGGCGTCGCAAAGGTGAAGATGGGGTTCTCCATGCCGCCGTAGGGGAAGCTGGGCGGCAAAATAAGCACATTGTACTCGCCCCAGGCGTAGGGGAACACGAGCTTCTCAATCACGTCCAAGTACTTGGGCATGTCCTGCTCGAGCTCCCACTGGCAGGCCTTGAGCTGGTCGGGGCTCGTGGCGACCACGGACCGCGCGCCAATGGGCGCCGTGACAATGTCGCCCGAGGCCAGGGCGAAGAGGTATGCGGGGATGGGCACC